TACTTACACAACCAATATTGATGATGACGAAGTTACAGTTACTGGATTATTTGAAAAATCTACTAACGAAGCTGGAGCATGGGCTAGTGCTACATTTGAAGAGGCTGGTGAACGTACTACGTTTACTGAAAGAATAGTTACTGAAATTGATGGTATTGCTCAAACTAAAGATGCAGAAGTTGTTGGATATGATTATGGTGAATATGGAATGTATTATTTGACATCAATATTAGCAGATCCAGTTGAAGCTAGATATACTATTACTACAGATGGACCAGATGGAGAATATACAGGTATTGTTAGAGTTACATCAGATGAAGAAAATTGGTGGTTCACAACCACAGATATAATATCATCATACACTAGCACATATACCATTAATGATGATTTTGAACAAGCTACTCATATTGTATATGCATCAGTTAATGAAGAAGGAGAATGGATCACATCTACATCAACTCATACTCCAGAATCACAAACTAGATTAACTACTTACACAACCAATATTGATGATGACGAAGTTACAGTTACTGGATTATTTGAAAAATCAACCAACGAGGCTGGAGCATGGGCTAGTGCTACATTTGAAGAAGCTGGAGAGCGTACTACATTTACTGAAAGAATTGTAACTGAAATTGATGGTTTTGCTCAAACTAAAGATGCAGAAGTTGTTGGATATAACTATGGTGAATATGGAATGTACTATTTGACATCAATTTTAGCAGATCCCGTTGAAGCTCGATATACTATTACTACAGATGGACCAGATGGAGAATATACTGGTATTGTTAGAGTTACATCCGATGAAGAGAATTGGTGGTTTACTACTACAGATATATTATCGTCGTACACTAGCACTTATACTATTAACGATGATTTTGAACAAGCTACTCATATTGTATATGCATCAGTTAATGAAGAAGGAGAATGGATTACATCTGCATCAACATATGTATCAGAATTACAAACTGAAACTTCAGAAACTATTATTACTGAGATTTCGGAATTAACCTCATCTAATATTGAGTCATCAACATCAGAATCACAAATTGAAACTTTTGAGACTATTATTACTGAGATTTCTGAATCAACATCATCTAATATTGAATCATCTACATCAGAATCACAAATTGAAACTTTTGAGACTATTATTACTGAGATTTCTGAATCAACATCAGAATCACAAATTGAAACGTCAGAGATTATTACTACTGACCTTTCTGAATCAACATTATCTAGTATTGAATCAACAACATTGAATAATGATTCATCAACTGCACAATTTCAAAATGATAAAGAACCAATTGAAACATTAGAAATGATTGTACCAGATGATATATTTATAGTAACTACAGAATTTGAAGAACAAATTGAAACTTTTACATCAAATGGTACTCATATAAAATTAATGGATGGTGAACCAATAACATTTGAAATATTAGGTGATATATTAAGAGTTCCAAATTTTGGTTATATAAAAATTGGTACACAAGGTGAATTAATATTAGTTGAATTTGAAAATGCAACTGGTGGTTGGTCATATGAAAATGAAATTTTAAGTTTGGATTATGATTTTAATAATAGCTTGAAAAAACGTGATGCTGAAGAAGTTTCATTATATGCTTGTCCTGCTGAAATTGGGTATTATATTAAAGTTAACTTTGGTCAAACTTGTGCATATCTTGAAATTAATATTGAATCTATTGCTCCTGAAGATCCATCAACTACTGAAAGTATTAATATTGTAACAACTGAAATTGATGTAATAACAGAAAGCTCAAATGTTGTTGGAGAAGTTACTGAACAAAGTGAAATTGAAAGTATGGAAATGTATATTACTGAATCTGAAACAGAAGCACTTGAAACTTCAATTTTCAATGAGGAACCAACTGATGAATCAAGTGGTAGAATGATAACCGAAAGTATACCAATTGAAACAGAGGTAGAGGTAGTAAATGAAGTAACAGCAACTGAAGTTAATGTATTTGTAACAGAATCCATTGAAGAAGTATTAATAGAAGTTAATGCGATTGAAACAGAATCAACTGAAGAATCTTCAACTGAAATTAATGTAATTGAAGAAATTGAAACAACAGAAGGATCAACAACTGAAAGTAATGCAATTGAAACAGAATTTGTTGAAGAACTTGAATCAGTTGACACATCATTAACAGAAATTGAATCTGGAAGATCATTATCAATTGAACCTACAGTTATTGAAACAGAATTAAGTGAAGAAACATCAATTGAAAATGAATCAAAAGAAACATTAATTGAAGATGAATCAAAAGAAATATTAATAGAATCAACTACAGCATCAATTGAAACTGATGATCAACAATTGAATTTAGAAACAGTAACTGAAAAAATTTCACTAGAAACTGAATTTAAAGAGGATTCATTAACAATTGAAGAAACTTTAATTTATTCATCAATAGTTTATTGGAACAGTAGTAATAGCTTAATTATTGAAGGTATAAATACTGAATTAAAACCAATGGAAGTCACTGAAACTAGTTTGGGAATTGAAGAAACTGAATTAATTGAAGAAATTGAAAAAACTACAACCACTTTATCTGAAAATGATCAATTTAGTCAAACTGCCGAAGCTGTTGTTGATATTGTTAGTATAAAAGCAGCTGAATCATATGAAATAAATTCAAAATCTAGTAATTCAATTACTTCATCATTAACTACTATTTCAATTGATGATTTAATTGATACAACAATAACAAGTAAATTAATTGAAATTATAACAATAACATCATGTAATTCATCATGTCAAACTTCATTAATTTCAGAATTTACAAATGTTGAATGTGACAAAAATGAATGTAAATATAGTAAAATTTTAAATACTAGTGTTGAAACTGAAATAATTGATGCTGATGAGAAAGCCAATAATCATAGTACTAAATCAAGTATAGATTCAACTACAATTGATCAAATTTCATCATCAATTTCACCAATTTCATCAAGTTCATCATCATCATCGTTGTTACTTTCTCAAAATCAAAATCAAGTTGGAGGTCAAGTTGAAAATCAAATTCCAAATCAAGAACAAGAAGAAGAAGAATTCAATTCTATAACTTATGAAGGTAAAGGATCAAATAATTTCAATTCATTAATTCCTTCAAGTTTAATTACATTATTATTAGTTGTTCTTATGATGTAAGAGCAGAAAAATTTCGAAATCAAAAGTAATAAGGTTAATCTCGATGATTATAAAACCTATTTCTTATCAATATTAATTTTTATATTCAATTTTTTATATGGTATTATCATTTATATTTTTAAAATTATTTTATGGTTTATTTTGTTTTTTTTTATGATTTATTAAGTTTATATATTTTTGTATTTTGTTTTAAGTTAATTTAAATATGTTTGTATTTTATGATAATTTTTATTACATGTAGAGTAGGCAGTAGAGATTAGCTCTCGTGAAATTGAGTAAGTAGTTCGTTGTTTGTTTGTTGGTTGTTTTACAATATTTTTTTTTGATAATTTTTTGCGGCAATTTTACTCATTTTTTGGAAAAAGAAGTATTAAAGATATTAAATATCATAAGTTTGGGGAAAAAAACTGAAATATAGAGCATGAGTTGAAAGGATAGTCAGTGCTTGTTCAAATGAAAGTAACCTTAATTGTATTTAAACAAATTAGTAGTTTAAGAATTGTCATTTTGAACGGCTGGTGTTGAACATTTTTCAACTACCATACAATTTAACATGAAACATCCAGCAATTATATTTATTGAGGGGAGTGTCTATCTAATATCTAATTTTGCGTGTTAAGACTGGTAGCATAATTAACTATGTAGATATTTAGTATGTATTACATAATATTAGTAGCATGTATTATGTAATACACACAAATAGGGATAATTTATTTACTATTATAGTAAAATATATAAATAAAGTATACACATAGTAAATTTGTATATATTAAGTTTTTTTAGTACTATCGCACACTAAAACAATTGGTAGTACTACACTATATATAATATACTACTATACTATATTACTATGCTACTAATAAAATATATATATATAAATTCTCACCTAATTTTTTTACCATACAAATTTTTTTGTTTGTTACTACTTTTTATCTATTACAACCATAGTATAAACCAATTATTTAAAGTATGTACACATAATAACTATTAGTATTACCATACAATAATAATAATATTAGTACCACTATAAATTTTTTTTAAATTTGAAAAAAGTATAAATTGAATCAACTAAGACACAAATTAAAATTCAATATAGATATTACTATCAAAGAATAACAATCAATTGAATATACAAACTACAACAATCAAAATGGAGATTCAAACAATTTCAGAATGATAATCAATTGAAGTATAATCAAGTAGGGGTTTCAGAATTGGGGAGAGAAAATTACAATTGTAACAACCGCTTAAGGGGAATTTCAATTGGAAAGTCACAACAAATCAATTCAAATCAATTCAACATCAATCAGCTCAATTTCAATTGCCATTAGAAAGTTGAATTCAAATTTATGAAATTATTTTGACAACCAAAAAAATTTAGGGGATTTTTAAAAAAAGTGGGAAAATTCAAATTTCATATTTTCTCTCTCCATAACAAAATGTTTTGATTCAACTAGCACTACCCTCAACATGCTACCAACTCACCAGCAGAAAAAAGATAAATTTCACGAAGTATAAACAAATACACAAAACACGAAAAGTTAACTATCTTCCATAATAATAATAATTGATTGATTTGTTGTGACTTTAAAGAAATTTGTTTTCATATATAATATTGGAATTCAAGTGAATTGATTAATAATACTTTTTTCTTTTATACTTTTTTTCAGTTTTGATTTATATTTTTGGTTTTACTTTTCACTTTCAATTTACATTTTACTAACTTTGCAAGGTTTATAAATATGTCTGCTCCAGGTGAAAAAAGAAAAGCTTCAAGAAAAAAGAAAGATCCAGATGCTCCAAAAAGATCTTTATCTGCTTATATGTTTTTTGCAAATGAAAATAGAGATATTGTAAGAGCTGAAAATCCAGGTATAACTTTTGGACAAGTTGGTAAAGCTTTAGGTGATAAATGGAAAGCTTTAAGTCCAGAAGAAAAAATTCCTTATGAAAATAAAGCAGAAACTGATAAAAAAAGATATGAAAAAGAAAAAGCTGAATATGCAAAAAAAAACTCAGTTTAGAATCAACAAATACACAAAACCAAAAATCAACAACAACAACTTCTAATTTAAAACAACAACCAAAACAACAACCACAAATACAACAACCACCTCAAATACAACAACAACAACAACAACAAGCACCACAAATTCATCAACAACAACCTCTTTCATCTACTACTTCAATTCCTCCTCAACAAATTTCTCAACAATATCAACAACAACCACATCAACCTCAATCATTTGTACCACCTCAACAACAATATCCTTATCAATTTCAAAATCAATTACCTCATCAACAACAATATCAACAATTTTATCCAAATCAACAATTTACTCAAACTAATTTAAATCCAAATCAAACTCAACAACCAAATCAACAAAATCAACAAAATCCTAATCAAAATCCAAATCAATCTTCATCATCATCTTCAACTAATCAACAAAATCCAAATGATTTTTATGATAATTCTACATTTCAACAACATTGGATGTAGTTTGAGTATTTTATTTAACTAACTTGGTGGTTATTGTTTTTTTTTAATTGATAAATTGTTAGAGCAAAAAGAGAAACTAATTACATGTTTTATTAATCTATTATTTTTTATTATTTTATTATTAATTTTTGTTATTATTATTACTATTCATTCATTATTTTAGAAGTTGTTGTTAATTTTAACTTGATTTTTCATGTTGGTTCGTTAAATTCCAGGTTTTAATCAAATATTTTTGTATTAATTTTTTTTATATATCTTATTTTTTGTTAGCTTACTAATAAATGATTACTCTTAATTGAAGTATTACGTCTGACTACTCTAATATTGGTTGATTAAATGGATAATCACCAAAGAGGTTCTTCTTAGGAAAAATACGGCTCAAATAATATAAGTTGGAAACCCTTTCTTGATATATCACCATTGGTTTATTCATTCTCAATTGAATATCGATGCTTACGAATCTATAATAAATTACAGCTTTGCCAGATCAAATAAGATAGATCAATTAATCTCAATAATAAAAAAATCGACAATTAATACAAATCAAAATTAGACAGTTTGATCGGTAATAATCATCGATTTTTGAAGAATACGTGGGTGAAAAATTATAAATTGTTGACTTGCAAAAGTAGAATGATTTTTGATTTTCAACATGTTGTATCTTAATCTTTAATCTTGTGCTTGAGTTGTTCAAAACAAGGCTTAATGTTGCCAGTTTTCATCATATGTTTCATGACAATGTTTAAGAAGTTGCTACTTATTATATGAAATGTTCTTTAAGCATTCACACTGTTCCTGCAATCATTAGTTCTAAAACTATTCTCTCATTCTGCTTTGAATTGTAAAATTTATCAAATCTTTAGATTTTTGAATTTTTTAAGTTTTGGAAATCATCAGTTACTTCAAACACCTCATTCCAAACAAGTTATAATGGGGATTTTAGAATAAGGTCTTTGAAGTAATTGATGATTTTCCTTTAAAATGTTGTGGAAAAATGTTTGGTAGATCATCAACCTTTCGTCCTGTTTTTCAGAAGAATTAAAATCTCAATCCTTTATTTTTTTTTACAACCAAAAAGTTCATTTTAGCAACCACTTTAATAGAACTAATGCATTAAATTGAGAATGTCACAATTACCACCACCATATTATAATGATGATAAAAATTCATTTGCATATGCTACGGTACATAAGAGATGGCCCAAAATAATAGAAACTGCAATTAATGATATTCAATTAACAATTGATGAAGAAACTTCTAATGATATAAAAGAATCAGGTTTAAAAATTAAAAATCAATTAAAACAGTTGCTAGAAGATTTTAAAAATGATTCAAAAGTTAGAGAATTTAATGATATAGAGTTAAAAGCTAACCCTGATCTAGAACATTTTAATAAAAGTTTAAAGAAATTGAATCAACAAAAATTAGTTACATGGCAAACTGGTCCTTGGTTATATTTAGAATGTTATTTATATCAATATATTCATAACTTCTTTATCCTCACTGAATCAGAATATTGGTCAAAATTTGATATATTTGAAAGACTCAAGACAAAAACTTTTAAACAATCAGAAACAGGAGTATTAGAATTATGTAAACGTTATAAATCATTAAATAATCAATTATCCAAGATAGATCAAGAAAGTTTATATTTATTATTTAAAGAATTTATTGATATTTCATTATGGGGAAATGCTACAGATTTATCATTATTAGCTGGTGATATAAGTTTAGATGAAATTAAATCTGTTCAAGGTGAAGAAGTTCGTAAAAAAAATGAAGAAAAAATTATTGTTAATGATATAAAACAAGCATGGGATTCAATTACTTTAATTGATGATTCAAAAAGAATTGATATTGTATTAGATAATTCAGGATTTGAATTATTTGCAGATTTAATATTAAGTTTATTTTTATTAGATTCGGGCCTAACTTCAAAAATTATTTTACATTTTAAAGAAATTCCATGGTTTGTAAGTGATTCAATGATAAAAGATTTTTATGATTTAATTAATCAATTAAAAGATTCGCAATTTTTTCCAGAAATTTATAAAAATGATTCAGAATCTATAACTTTAGTTTTTGAAAAAATTGAAAATTATGTAACTGGTAAACAAATTATCATAGAATCTAATCCTTTTTGGACATTAGATTATAATTATTGGTATATACCAGAATTTCCAGAACTATATAATGATTTAAAAAATTCTAACCTAGTTATATTTAAAGGTGATTTAAATTATAGAAAATTAACTGGTGATTTACAATGGCCCAAAACAACAACTTTTAAAGAATCAATTCAACAACTTGCAGAAACGGATTTACCTATATTATCATTACGTACTTGTAAAGCTGATGTTGTTGTTGGATTACCTGAAGGATTAAATGAACAATTAATTAAAACTTATGAAGAATTAGGTAATGAAGGAAAATTTTGGAGTTCAAGTGGGAAATGGGCTGTTATTTCATATAATAAATCATAAATTATAGAGATAAAAAATGATAGAGACCAAAACAATGAGATAGATAAATAGATATATAGAGTATGATAAATATTACTAATGACTGATTAAATTATGACCTCTTTTAAAATCCCCAGTTGTAAATTATATATTCCATATATATCTAGATTTATGATATCGTGACTAATCCAATACTATATGTCATCACCCTCTCATGATCAAACACTACACAAACTGTAAATTGCAGATTCAACACGTATCATGACATCTTGATAAATCCAATACTATTAATCATCACTAAAATCCTCTCACAATCAAACACTGTGTTTTAAAATCAACTTTCACCAGCTTTTCTTGAATTACAAGCAACAATTTTAAATTTATCAACATTAATTTCCATTTCATTATCATTATTCCCACCACTACCAGAACTATTAGGACTTATATCATTTAATTTTATTAATACATTCTTGATTATAAAAGTCCAAACATCATCACAAAATCTATAAGTATCTAAATCACCTTTAAAAACTAATTTTGATTTTGCTATATTATTTTCATTTTTTAAATTTTCGGATATAATTCTATCAAAATTATTTAAAATTCTATTTGCTAATTGTGGTTGAATTTTTTCATCTGATATTAATGTATCTAATGCATCTGCTAATGTTACTCCTATTGTTGATCTTCTATATAGTTCGTAATATGCTGGTGCACTCATTATGGATTAATATAGTAGGATATATGTTGATGAATTGAAGTGTTTGGTGGTTAATGGTTTGGTTGTTTGATAAGAATGTAGATAAAGAGTGTTGATAAGATTATGTGATACAAAATTTGATATTTTTATTTTTCTGTTTAATTCTTTTACAATTGATTGCAAATTTATTTAACCAACTCATCATCAATGGATCAATTAACAGTATCAGAAAGATTTAAAATAGCATGCAAACAATATGATGAACTTCTAGAATCAACAGGTAGACAAGATTCAATTGAATTTCAAACATCATTACAAAACTTAATAAAAGAATTTGAATTAATATTAAAAATTATAAATCAATTATCATTATTTAGTGATAATGAAGAATTAAAAGAATTATCAACAAATTATATTCCATATTTAAATATATGGTTTTATTTATCACAATTATATTCAAGACTGTTGATAAGAAACAATAATATATCAATTGATAATAAGCCAGACTATTTGAACATAAGTAAATCATATCTTATTGAATTTTTAACAAATTTGAAAAATTATCAATTATTAACTAAAGATCAAGAGACAAAATTAAAATTAATTGATGAAGGAGAACCTTTTGCATTATCACCACAATTAAAAAGACAAGAAAAGATTGAAAATTTTAAAAAAGAACAACAATTAAAAGAAAAAATTGAATTTTTAAAAGAAATTGATAATGATAATGATAATGAACTGAATTCAAAAATTGATGAAGATACTAAAAGATCAATATATATTAATCAACTACAATTTAATTTATTAAAATCTTTTGAATTAATTGATTTATTAAATATGGAAATTCAAGTACTAAAAAATAAACCAATTAATAAAATAGAAGAAATAAATGAAGAAGATAGCCGATCAAAACCAATAACAAATAATGATCCAGCAGGTTTTACAACAAGAGTTGAGAAACTACCTACTCAATCAAAAACAAATATATCAAATTTAATATCAAAACAAGGTAGAATATTACAACCATTCACAATAACAACAAAAGAAAAATTAAAAAACAGAGTATTTGGTACTGGACAAGTATTACCTTCAATGACAGTAGAAGAATATTTAGATTATGAATTAGCAAATGGTAAATTGATGAAACCAGAAGTTAGGGATCCTATCAAGGATGATGAAAATTATGAAAGTGATGAAGATGATGATGCTCAATTAGAAAAAAGAAAATGGGATGATTGGAAAGATGAAAATCCAAAAGGTGCAGGAAATATGGGTGCTAATATTGGTTAATTATATTAGTTACATGAAAGAAATGACAAAAAGCTTTATTGTTTATGTATTTATACAACATGACATATCACGACTTTACATTATTACTTAATCTATTTCTTTTAACCATTCAAAATATTCAGTTTGTAAATTATTTATATTAATAATTTCTCTTGATTCATTTTTTTGAACTAAAATCCATTGATCAGTTTTATTATTAAAAGTTTTTAAAACATTTAAAATTATAATATAAAGTTCTAAAATTTTTAATTTCAATTTATCATTACTTTGGTCTTGATCATTAAATTGATTTTCAAATTGAAGTTTAAATTGAAATTCATTTTTATATCTCCATATAAATTGATATAAAGCTTCACATGATCCTCTTTTATCTCCCTCTCCCAATTCAAATTCTTTAACACTAGCTGAGTTACCAAAATTTCTCCAAGAAAATAAAATTTCATAAATTTTTAAAGATTGATTTAATGATGAATCATTTGCAATTTGATTTAATATAGAATCAATAAGTTTAAAATTTTTTAAAAATAATTTATTATTTGAATTTTCGAGTGGAAATAAAATTTTATATTTATGTTCATGAATTAATTTTGTTATAAATTGTTTAAATAAATTTTTTATATGTGAATAATTTTGTAGGTTATTTAATGATTCTTTTACCAATTCATAATCTGATATATTTAAAGAATTTTGGAAAATATTTAAATTATATTCTTGTTTTTTTTCATCATCTTCTGTATTTTCAATAGCTAATTTTTCAAATTTTAATGAAATTTCAATAAGCTGGTTATTTAAACTAATTGAATTTTTATTTGATAATTGAGTTAATAAAATTTTAGATAATTCATGATAATAATCTGATTTAGTTGGATAATCAGATAATATAATTAATAAAGGTCTTAAATTTTCATTTTTTTTTAAATCATAAATTAATTTTATATTTATATTTTCAAATTTTTCAAAATCTAAAAATATGTTGAAAAATGTTTGTGGTTCTTTGTTAAGTAATGATATAATACCAATTAAAAATAATTCTTCAACATTTGTTTTAGATAATTTGTCAACAAAATATTTTTTCAAATATATTCCTTCACCTTGATTTATCAATTGTACTACTGAATCAATTATAAAATTATCTTTTGATAAAATATCATTATATAAACAATCAAAAGCATCATTTGTTTGTGAAGTATTAATTAATTGTTTTAAATTTATATTTTTATCAACTATTGCTGACCAAAATAATGAATTATTTATATCACTTAAACCTTTAATTTTATTATTATTTGAATCTGTTGTGAAATTTGTATTCAATATAAATCTAAAAATATCATATTTTTGAATTATATTAACAACATTATTTAATAATTTCAAAATTTCATCATTAACTTCACAAATTAAAAATAATATAATTAAATTTAATAAAATTGTTGTATGTTGTTGAATAATATTTTTAAATGTAATAAAAGTAGAATATTGAAAAAATTTACCTAATTGATGATATGATTCAAGTTCATTAATTAATTGATAATCTCCAATTGTAACTAATGATTGAATAATTTCTAAAACATTTGGAATCTTACTTAAATCAATTAAAATTAAATTAATTTCTTCATTACTTAATTTATTATCAATAAATGTTTTAAAAAGATCATTAACATAATCAGAATTTAATTCTTTTTGAAATGAAAGTATAGTGTTGTATAATTTATGATATGATTTCGAAGATAATGTAGCACTGAATTTATCAAATATTTTAATTAATTCTCCATCTGGACTTGATAAATTTTTATAAACAAAAGATTCAAAATAATGAGAATGTCTAAAAACACCAAATCCATTTGAATTTAATGTAATATACTTTTTACCAAATATTGTAATAGCTAAAACTTCATTACTTAATTTTTTAAATTCTTTACATAATGAATATAATTTAAACCAAAGATATTTACTATCTGTTTCTGAATTGGAATTAATTAAATTATTGGCTGTTGTTTTTAAATTTGTATCAATTTTAGGTATTTCAACTTTTAAATGCTGACTTAATATTGAAATCGAAGTTGTAACTATTAAATCATTGAAAAATCCAGAATCAAAAATTTCACGTTCATAATAATCTGATTCATGAAATGCTGATAATTCTTTATCATCTTGTGGAGTTGGAGACGATATTTGAATTTCTAAAATTGATCCATTTACGAAATTGATTGTATATGAAACTAAAATCGAAGTTGTATTTGACTTCCATAGTATGTGATAATTTAATTTTTCATCTTCTGTATATTCAACTTCATAATCCTGTATGAACCAAATTGTGTTTTGAAAAGTTGAGTCATGAAAGTAAACATCTGATGTTGATAACAATGTATTAGGTAATTCAGGTTGTATATAAAATTGACCTTGTTCTTTTAAAGTGGTACCATCTAATTTAAAAGTTTTAAAAGCAAATCTACTTTTCTTTGATTCTCCACCTTCAGTTGTTATCAAGACAGTAATATAATGTTCACCATTCAAACTTATCAATTTTAAATATTTTGTAGGTATAGTAGTTAACCAAACGTCTCTTGATTTTTTATCAAATAATGATATTTTAGATAAAAATTGACTAGTTTCTGTATTCCATATTTTTAATTCTTTACTTACAGTCAAAGTTATAAGTAATTGATCTATTTTCAAAACATCAACAATTGAATTTGAAGATATTCCATTTAAATCAGTTCTTTTATCGCCAGCAAAAAATCCACTAAAAATTGAAACAGGTTCATTAAAGTTTCTAATCTTTATATCTGATAATGGTTCATGCCTATAAAAATTAAGTAATCCACCATCTTCCAACGAAACAATAAGACTTAAATCATCAATTGATTTTAAAATATATGGTTGTGATCTCATTTCAAAAGAATAAGGTACAGATATATGACCCCATTTTTCGAAATCAGATAAATTTAAATTTCTACCTTCAATGAAAGTTTCAATTGATAATTGTAAAGTAATAAATAAATATTTTGAATCAATTAAATTTATATATATATTTTGATCTTTTTGAATTATACTTATACAATTAATTGATGAAATAGGATTGGGTAAATGAATTTTTATATTTTGTAATTTAACTCGTAAACTATTTTGTTTGAAATCAATAGGTGTAATCAAGATGGTTTTTAAATCGTTAAAAATTGAACTCAGAATCAATGATACAAATGGATTTGAATTTAAAGTTAAAAATTGACCAGATGTAGATGATTGTTGATGAAAATATTCATTAGGATCTGAATTTATTATTATTGATGATGAAGTTGATGGTGAAGTTGATTGATATTTTAATGGTAATTTGACATCTAATGTCGGTAGATCATAAGAATACCCAGAAACATTTGAATTTGAATATGATACTTCCATATTCTTCTATTTATAGTATGTGGTTTGTTATCTTGTAATTAATATTGTTTACTTTTCAAAACTTGGTTTTAAAATTTGAAATTTGAAAAGAGAGAAGAAATTGAAATTGATATTTGCGTTTAACACACAACATTAACATCAACAACTTTCAAAAGAACAACAACTAAATGTCTTCAGTGGTATATTATAAATTTCTACATCAAAAGAACAAGAGTGTAATACACTTTGATGGTACAGCAATAAGTGTATTTGATTTAAAGAAAGAAATTATAACTCAAAATCAATTAGGATCTGGAGTTGATTTTAATTTAAAATTATATCATTCAGAACAACCAGAAACAGAATATGAATTAGATAATGATGTTATACCAAGATCAAGTTATGTTTTAGCTAAAAGATCACCTGCAAATTCAAGAATGGGTAAATTTAATAATGCTTCAAGATATATAACCGGAAAACCAAGAATAAATAGAAAAGTTTTAAATACAACTAATGCCACTGCAGCTGCAACTACTAATGCAATCCCAACAACTCAATTAGGTGAAAATGCAACAGAAGAAGAAAGGATAAAATTGATGTTTGAAAATCAATCAAATGCTTGGGCTCAAACTCAAGATGATTTAGCACAACATAAAATGATTTATTATAAACCAACTTCAACAACAAGTGGAACAAATCAAAATGATGTACCTCCACCTGGATATATATGTTATAGATGTGGTAAAAAGGATCATTGGATAAAAAATTGTCCTACAAATAATGACCCTAATTTCGAAGGTAAAAAAATTATGAGAACAACAGGTATACCCAAATCATATTTGAAAACCATATCTCGTGAAGAAGTAGAAAAAAATTCAACTAAATTTTCAACCAATGATGATGGTGATATAATAGATAATGAAGGTAATGCAATATTAATAACTGAAGAAGGTGAATATGCAATTGCAATGGCAGATTCAAAAACATGGACAAATTATCAAACAAAATTACAAAATGCAGCAATGAAATCAAAACAAGAATATGATTCAAGATTAGTTTCATTAGTTAAAAAATATAATAAACCAGAATTTATAGATGTGCTATCAACAAATTATGAAAAAGTATTACAACCACCAATTTATATGACTCCATGTTGTCAAGATAATTCAAGTTTAAAAAATTTAAAAAATTTTAATTACAATCAAACTGAAATAGAAAATACTCTTATAGAAAATGATTTCCATTGTCCAAATTGTGGTAAAAGTGATATTTATATTGATTCATTAATTAGAAATGAAAATCTAGAAAAGGAATTGAAAGAATTTATAGAATCTAAAGAATCTGAAATTGGAATGCAAGATCCTAATAAAAGATCATTAGAAGATGCTAGTTTAGATGATGGTGAACCAAGTAATAAAAAACAAAAACAAGACAATTTACAACAACAACAACAACAACAATTTCCTCAACAACCACCTCAATTTCCTATGGGAATGATACCACCACCACCATTTGGAATGCCAATACCTCCAATCAATTTTCCGCAAAAGTAAGATAAATATGTAATGACTAATATGGTACGACTTGTATACTATGTATAGTAATAAATGAGATCATGAATGATGTATAATTCTATTGACTAGTAGACTATTTAAAGGTGTGTTTATATACAGTACCGATTTAAAACATCTCTCTCTATAAAAATTTTCAAAAAAAGTAAACAATTTATAACGACTCTTCTCTTTTCAAATTAAAGTATAGACTTCCATTAGTTGTCTATACAATTTTATAACTTCAACAATTGATTACTTAATCTAAAACGTATGAGTCAGTCATTCAACAGATTTTGAAACTGTTCTTAAAGCAGGAATCAACTATATATTGAGATAGTTTTAATTAGATTTCATAAGGATGATCAAAAATAATTAAAAATTCAAACTAGAGTATGTGACTATTAATTAGAATGATCACAACGTTATTCAAGTTTACTGATTTAGAAATTTATTTTTTATAAACTATCTTATTATTGATTTCATTTGCAAAAGAGCTAGTTTCAAACTGTAATTGGGTTTATCAAAAGTTACTAACTTTTAAGAAGAAAATGTATGTTCAATTATTATTCGATTAGTGAAAGAATAGAATATTTTTATGATGATTTAACAAAAACAAAGCTGGAATTACTGGCTGAAATTCTGTGATTGATAAGTTTTTGCACAATACGCCACTGATTATTATTCAACTCAATTCTTTTCATTATTAGATTCAATTAGAATATATCATACTAACTACTGTCACTAAAGTGTATGTTTAATCTTTTGAATTATTCGATTTTTCAAATGAGGAACTTTTGCACTGGGCACTGATAAAAATTTTATGAGTGACAACGCATTTATGGTGGGCCTCAGAAACCCATCGTTACTGATTTTATGAAATCAAGTTGTTTTAATATTCGGTTTTAGTACTAACTCAAGTAAAGTTTCAATTAGAGTTTTGAAAAGAGCTGTCAGGACAATTAAAATGTACTTTAATGTATGTATCTCACAAATTCACCATTATTTAAATGATGATTACCTAGATGACGAGTCAGAACTCGGGTTTCCCGTTGATGACAACCTTTTTTTTAATACCATTCATGCAATTCTGATTTAAATGGCAATTTAAATTAAAATTTTCACTAACACAATGAAGTAGTTGTTATGTTTTGACAAAATAAAGTTTTTTGAAACATGTTCATGACGTTCTAGAAAATATTTTAATAATCATTTAAGCAAGAAATTAATTTTACGATAGCTTTGAAAATAAATTAAAAGGATGATTCAATCAAAAAGACAAATAGACAAGCATATGTCTGAATTCAAGTTGAAGATAGTCTTTCCACGTCTGATTTTTTCTATTTTTCAAAAACTATCAATTTGAATGAATGATTTTTCATTGAAATTTCTTTTAGAAAGTCATGAATTCGTGTTTCATGAATGAAAAACTGAATGAAAAAAAGTATACAAAAAGTGTTTATGATGATCTCACCACATTTTTCACGACGGTCTACTGTTTGTTTAAGGACTGTTAATCCTTAAATGTTGATGATAAATCTGGCCTTGACCGGCCGTGGTACCTGATTACACTTTTTAACTTTTTAATAAATAAATAGAATATACTATTATAGTAGGAAATATAGATTCAAATTCGTGAACAATAAACTATAATTCGCTCTTTACTTGCCATAGCTTAGAAGGACATTGTTGTCTTGCTCTCTTCATTTAAATTTAGACAAATTTAACACTTAATCGACTAAAAATTCGCAATAAATTTCTAGTGTTGCAAAATTTTTTAACGAACTCTTTTCTTACTCTTCTTGAAAACTTAAACTCAAATAAAAGTATGTTCAACTAACTTACTAAACATTCTTCAAATGAAATCAAATAAAAACCACAAAAAGTGATGATTTATTTTTCTTACATATCATGAGTTTTTCAATGAAATATAAAATTAAAACGATTTGCATGTCAGTCTGATTTTTTATTGATTTTTTTATTGAAGATTGAGTCCTTGAATAAGATTGATGTACTAACTTACGATAGGGTAATGGATTTATTCGAACATCTTCATTATTCCAAATCCGAAACTCCAATTAAAAATGCAAGTTTATAAAAGATATGAAAAACTGGCAATCAAATAGCTCAAATATTCATGACGGGGAAGTTGAACGTGATGACATGAAATGATCAGAAATTTTGCTCGCTCAGGTCTAGTCACTCAACCATAGGTCAAAACAATCAATTTCAGGGCGACGTGATCTCCAGTTACCGACCTTCTAATGTTTGTTGTCTCCTTTCATCTATCATGAACTTCTCTCAACTGTACATGCTGTTGCATAGTGGAAACATAGAATTTCGAGTTATAGGATTATTTGTTTGTTTGATCATGCGTCGCTATCAAAATTTTTGTTTACCAGAGAACGTCTCGATAATGAGACAATTACTAAATGATAATTGCCAGAGCTAGATTATTACTTGGACATGTTGGTAGTTTGACAATGATTAATGAAGCATCGAAAGATGCTTTTACAAGAGACAATTTATACCTACTACAGCTGAAAGTTGTGATACTATCGAAGTGGTAATCGATGCTATGGTCCGAAATAACGTGTCTCCATTTTGTAATAGGGTGCAAATTGAAAGAAGTTCTTTCTGATGGATACTGAAATTCATCTCAAGGGGGCTCAGTGATCTTGAGATCAGCTTACCGCAGGTTTTAGACGGGAAAGCTAAGATTGCTCTTATGGCTTGAATTAGCTTTTGTTTGTAATTCAACTTTGTCTACCTGATAAATTACTTTAATTTGAGCATTGACTGATTTCAGTATCAAATTTTTAAATTCATCGACAACAACAACTTGAATTTGAATTCATTACTGGTAGAACTACTATAGTTGAAGGTTAGAATGCAATCTTGATGGTAGTCGATATCTGAACAACACCTTGTTAATCCATAGACTGAGATCATCAAGTAACACAACATTTATTCCAGAAAATTAAATTGTTCACTATTGTCTTAAACGTGATAAAAAGGTATGAATTTGATTATGATTAACCTCCTAACAATAAGTATTATGAAATTAAACTCATAATCACAAACGAGATTTGGCTTTCAAATAATCTCTGTTTGTGATTATGAGTTTTATTTTAATGATAAGGAGATTCATCTGTTCTATCACCTTTTATCATATTTAATAGTGATATGGTTTTGTCTATAGATTATTCAATTTTAAAAATTTTAATGCCAGATGCTTATCTGCTTTGAGAAAATACACTTACAATGAGAATATCTAATTTTACAAACCTGTTTATCAAGATGTAAAAATTTTTATTAACCCTATATAATTCCCAGCAATTCTATATAAATTAAAAAATAAATAGTAACAAAAGATTTAATGAGCTGTTTTTTCAACATTTGGTAATTCTTTTAAGGATTGCCTAATTGAATCAACTCCTTTTAATAAATCTTCTTCACTAATAATTAAAGGTGGAGCTAATCTAATAATATTATCATGAGTTGGTTTAGCTAAAACACCATGATTTTTCATTAATAAACATAAATCCCAAGCAGTTTTACCATTAGTTTTGGATTCATCTATTACTATAGCAGATAATAAACCTTTACCTCTAACTTCACTTATTATTCCATTACTTTCTGATTGTAATTCTTTTAATTTTAATTTTAATAAATCACCTAATTTTTTTGATCTTTCAACTAAATTTTCATCTTTTATAACTTGTAATGCTGCAATTGCAACTCTACAAGCTAATGGATTACCACCATATGTAGAACCATGAGATCCAGGTTCTAAAGTTAACATTATTTCTTTTGATGATAATACTGCACTTACTGGATAAACACCTCCAGAAATAGCTTTACCTAATAATATAATATCTGGTTTAACATTTTGTGAATGTTCATAACATAACATTTTACCAGTTCTTGCAATACCAGTTTGAATTTCATCACAAATTAATAAAACATTATATTTTTTACATAATTCAGAAACTTTTTGTAAATAATCTGATGGTGGTACAACAATTCCTGCTTCACCTTGAATTGGTTCTAATAAAATTGCAGCAATTTTATCACCAGCATTTTTAAAAGCTTTTTCAATATCTTCAATAACTCCATATCTTATTAATTGACCTTTTTGTTCACCAGGAATTTGAGGACCAACATTTTGTAAATATGGACCAAAATTAGTTGTAGCATCTTCATCAGTTGACATTGAAATAACTCCTAAAGTTCTACCATGAAAATTATTTACTGCAGATAAAATTATTGCTTCATTTGGTGGTATACCTTTTTTAACATAACCCCATCTTCTTGCTAATTTTAAACCAGTTTCTACAGCTTCTGCACCAGTATTCATTGGTAATACCATTTCATAATTGAAAAATTCAGTTATATATTTTGCATATATACCAAATATATCACTTGAAAAAGCTCTTGAACATAATGTTAAATTTTGAGCTTGATCTACAAGGGCTTCTATAATTTTTGGATGACAATGACCTTGATTAACTGCTGAATAAGCAGATAAAAAATCTAAATATTCATTTCCTTCGGGATCCCATACATGTGCACCTTTGGCTTTTTTAAATACAACAGGTAATGGATGATAATTATGTGCTGAATATTTAGATTCTAAATCACGTGCTTCTTCTGATGAAATATTAAAATTTGGTTGAGACATAATTGATTTGCAATTGTTGAATTCTGGTTATTAATAGTATATTATGGTTATAGTTTTAAAACAATTGTTGAAGTAGAATATTCAATGATATATATATTAATTTGAAATGACTTGTTTAAATCAACGAAATGATTGCAAAAAATTTTTATTTTTCTTTTGCTGTATAAATTTGATCGCTATAGGCAATTGAAACAGTAAGACTGATCAAATTAATCATTATATATATAGAGTAATAGGTAGATCATTATAATCTAGTACTAAATCAAAATATACGAAAAATGTTTCAGTTAATGGAAGTTAACAACTGATCGTTAAATAATTTCTTCCCACCCCTCTGTTGCTACCAAGTACAATTCCAATTTATAACAAAATTTATAATTAAACTTAATTAGGAAAGTGTACTTAACTTAACTACATAGTAGAACCATGTGGTAGTGTATTTACACACAAATTAATTATCACGAAAGGAGTTTTTTTTTACAACCTATCATTCAATTTAATTATTAAATTACTACAAAGATATACCATATTCGAGCAATTTGATCTCTGAATCAATTTTTCATACAATTCATACTATATTTATACAATCAAAAGAATTCATTGAGATTTAGTAAATCTAGCGATATTTCGCATTACACAATTAGATCACATTACAAAATTCATTAACAAACCAGATCTTATCATTTAGCAACACATTTGTCGATTGACCACACTTTTTACATCGACATACACATAAATTCCTATTTAAAGCAAACAACTATAATTCAAGTCAATACTATTATTCACAAACTATGGAGAGAGAATTTAAAAGACCTTATATATCATCATATTCATCAAGTGAATCATCAAGTAATTCATCATCAACAAGTAGTAATTATATAGATGAAGAAACAAGAGCAAAAATTATACAATGTTCAATGAATGCAAGAAAATCAGTAAGTGAAGGTTATAATAAAGGTCAAAGAATTAATTTTTCTGGAAATTATCAAAGAATTCCATTACCTTCAAATTTAAATAATATTCCTCCAATGTTAAGTTCAAGTGAAAGTACAAGAACTTTATCAAATTTAGAAGAATGGGATAGTTATTTTCAAATTAATAATGCTCCAATACAAACTCTTGAAAGTTTTAATGAAAATGGAAATAGTAGTTCATTTAATCTTAATGGTATACAAAATCCATTAAAAAGAAAATTTCAAGATAATAATTCAAATGATTTAAAAAATTATACTACAACTAATAATAATGATAATCAAAATTTTATTGAACCTGAAATTGCTAAATATCAAGCAAAATATGGTGCTTTAAGTTTTAATGATGATTTTTAAAACTAATTTTTTACTAAAGAAACTAATTGTTGTTTGTGTTTGTATTTCCTACTACTTATTTTCAGTTCTACTATCAATTTGATTAATGTATGCTTATTTTTGTTGATTATTTTTTGCCCCTGTATTCAATATTTCTCTTTAAATCAATCACTATTCTGGTAATAGATTCATGTTTAATGAAACATTCAAATTAGCTTGAAGAATTAGTCAAGATGTAAATTGAATGACTTCTTTGTAAATTTACGATTCAATTTTAAGAAAAACCTAATACGTCCGCTCTCTACCCAACAAGTCGAACCACATAAAGAACGAATCGACCGAATATCCTTGAAATAGGGCTGCATGTGAGAAACTAGTTAACAAAGTACTGTATATAATTTCACTCGGTACTTTAATTTTTTTTTCTTTCTTTTTGGTGGGGAAAGGAATCAAAAAAAAAAAAAGATTAATAATCTATTCATTATCATACAACAAATAGATCATATAGAATTTGCCATTAGCTTAATCTTGGATTTCAAACACAACAAACAACTACAAGATCTTACCTTTAACTTCAAACCATAAAACTTTGATAAGTTAAATCAAATATCATACCCAAATTACAACTAAAACAAATCAAAAATGTCATTTGTAGGAGGAGGATCAGAATGTGCTGTAAATGGAAATGTTGTATCACAATTAAATAAACATACTCAACAAGATAGATCATTACAACAACAAGCATCATCACAACATGGTAATCAAATATTAAATAATCAAGGTTTTAAAAGAGAAAATTTAATAAATGTAAGAGATAGACAAAATTTAGATCAATTTATGAATAATGGAAATAATTCACAACAAAATTCATTTCAATTTCAACAAATGAAACATGAATTAAATCATATGAATCAATTACCTCAACACCAGCAGCAACAACAAAATTGGTCTCAAGATTTTAAACAACAATCTCATTCACCAGTACCTCAACAACAAAACATCACAAATAATAGTCAATGGGCTAATGATTTTAACCAACCAGCCCTTCAACAACCTCAAACTTTACAACAACATCAAGATCATCAACAATATCAAAATCAACAAAACGGTTTCAACTCATATAGACCAATGATGAATTATAGACCTATGATGGGAATGAGTATGTCATCTAATTTCCAACAACGAAATCAACCACAATTATCTCAACAATCACAAAAGCAAGAAACTGAACAACAAGTAGATTGGGATGATCAATTTAAAAAAATTGAAGAATTATCTGATAATTTAAAAGAAGATACAAAATTAGCTGATGATCAAGATGATATAGTTATTGATGATAAATATCAAGCAACATTTCAAGAAGTTTGGGATAGTCTTAATTCAGAAGCATTAGAAAATGATTTTATTGAACAACAATATGAAGAATTTAAACATACTCAAAAAGAAACTTTCCCAGCAGATATGAATCAATGGGAAAAAGATTTTGCAAAATATGCTTCAACAAGAGCTCATTTTGGTGATTATCAATTTGAAGATATAAAAACAAATCAATTTATGGATTTACCACAAGATCAAGATCCTTATGAAATTGGTTTACAATTAATGGAAAATGGTGCAAAATTATCTGAAGCTGCTTTAGCTTTTGAAGCTGCTATACAAAAAAATGAAAATCATGTTGATGCATGGTTAAAATTAGGTGAAGTACAAACTCAAAATGAAAAAGAAATTGCTGGTATATCAGCTTTGGAGAAATGTTTAGAATTACATCCTGAAAATTCAGAAGCCCTTATGAATTTAGCAATTTCATATATTAATGAAGGTTATGATAATGCAGCATTTGCTACATTAGAAAGATGGATTTCAACAAAATATCCACAAGTTGCTGAAAAGGCAAGACAAGAAAATCCAGCAATTACAGATGAAGATAGATTTTCATTAAATAGAAGAGTTACTGAATTATTTTTAAAAGCTGCACAATTATCACCAGATCATGCAAGTATGGATGCAGATGTTCAAATGGGTTTAGGTGTATTATTTTATGCTAATGAAGATTTTGATAAAACTATTGATTGTTTTAATGCTGCATTAACTATAAAACCAGATGATGCAATATTATGGAATAGATTAGGTGCATCATTAGCTAATTCAAATAGATCAGAAGAAGCAGTAGAAGCATATTTTAAAGCTTTACAATTAAAACCAACATTTGTAAGAGCAAGATATAATTTAGGTGTATCATGTATAAATATTGGTTGTTATAAAGAAGCAGCAGAACATCTTTTATCAGGATTATCAATGCATCAAGTTGAAGGAGTTGATTCGGCTTCAAGTTTAAATCATAATCAATCTACTTCATTAACTGAAACTTTAAAAAGAGCTTTTATTGCTATGGAAAGAAGAGATTTAGTTGAATTAGTTAAACCAAATATGGATTTAAATCAATTTAGAGGAGAATTTGAATTTTGATGTATATAGAGTAGTTTTAATTAATGACATTTTAATGATAATTGAACTCTATTTTGAATTATCTATTCCGTAATCTACTAGTCTACTTAAGTAAGTAAAACGTCTAGATGAATATGATACAATAGGTCTTCATTGGGGCTACCAAATTAGCGCTAAAATTTTAGTGAGTCAAGTTCATGATTGACTAATTTGAAAAATTTCAGATAAGAAGAAGTAACCCCAAAATTCATTAATAATCACATATAAAACCTTTTCACACAATGACTTTTCCAGTACTACCATTACTATCTTCAGTTGAAGATCCACAATTTGATAATTTAAGTATAACAGGTCAAATTTTATTACCATTTGAATCAATAAATATAAATAAGCATTGGAGACAACAATTTCCTTTAAATTTACAAATATTTGTACAAATTAATAAAGATATAACTATAGATCAAATAATAGAGATTTTGAATGTTGGAATAAATAAAATTTTCATAAATGATTCTGATCAATATCAACAAGTTTTGGAAGCTGGATTACCTGAAAATAGATTTGCTTCAACTGTTTTAAAAAATAATTCATCATTGATTGTTAATAAAGAATTAAAAGATATAAATCAATATAATGATGATGAAAATAGAGAAATATTTTTTGATTTAACAAATAAACTGGATTTATCACAAGAACAAGTTAATAAATTAGCTCAATTAGGCTACATTCCAACAATATCATCAAAACAACTTACCACCAAAAAGGAAGAAGATTCAAAAATTTCAATATCTTCAGTATTTGTAAATACATTAACAACAGATAGAAAAGATGGATTATTTACAACATTAATAACATCACCAGCACCAGAATTCACAGCATTAGGAATAGTTTATTCATCAAAAGATTCTATAATAGCAGCAATTGAAGAAAAAGTAGGAGTATATCAATCAAGAAAAAGAACCCATGAATTATGGTATAAAGGTAAAACAAGTGGAGCAACTCAAAAATTATTACAAATTTCAAAAGATTGTGATTCTGATGTTGTTAAATTTATAGTTGAAAATAGAAAAGGATATGGATTTTGTCATAAACTGACAAAATATACTTGTTTTGGTGATGAATTAAAAACAGATGGTGTTGGATATGGATTATCTAAATTAGATCAAACTTTGGCTGATAGATTTGAAAATTCTCCTGAAGGTTCATATACTAAAAGATTATTTAATGATGAAAATTTATTAATTGCTAAATTAAAAGAAGAATTAGATGAGTTAATTGATGCAAAGGGAAATGAAAATGAAGTAGCTTGGGAAGCTGCTGATTTATTATATTTTATTATGTGTTGGTGTATTAAAAATAAAGTTAGATTATCTGATATAGAAAAAAATTTAGATGTTAAATCATTAAAAGTTACAAGAAGAAAAGGTGATGCAAAATCGAAGTATATAAACAACAATGGAGAATCAAAAGTTGATACTAAACCTGAGACTAAATCAGAACCAATTAAAGAAGTTACAAATGATTATAAAATGGAAACAATAGTTGTTGGTGATAATTTAAATTCATCAAGTGTTCAAAAAGCAATGTCAAGACCAGTACAAAAAACATCAGATATAATGAAATTAGTATTACCAATTATAGAAAATGTTCAAAAAAATGGAGATAAAGCATTAATAGAATTAACTTCAAAATTTGATGGTGTAGACCTTAAGACTCCAATTTTAAAAGCTCCATTCCCCAAAGAACTTATGGAAATATCACAAGAAATGAAAGATGCAATTGATTTATCAATGTCAAATATTGAAAAATTTCATTCTGCTCAATTACCAAAAGAAAAAATAATGACTATTGAAACTTGTCCTGGTGTATTTTGTTCAAGATTTGCAAAACCAATTGAAAATGTTGGTCTTTATGTACCTGGTGGAACTGCAGTTTTACCTTCAACAGCAATGATGTTGGGTGTACCTGCAAAAGTAGCTGGTTGTAAGAATATTATATTAGCATCACCTCCTGCAAGAGCTACAGGTAAGTTAACTCCAGAAGTTGTATATGTTGCTCATAAATTAGGTGCATCAGGTATTGTTATGGCAGGTGGAGCTCAAGCAGTTACAGCATTAGCATATGGAACAGAATCAATTATAAAATGTGATAAAATATTAGGTCCAGGTAATCAATTTGTTACTGCTGCTAAAATGTATGTTCAAAATGATACACAAGCACTTTGTTCTATAGATATGCCAGCGGGGCCAAGTGAAGTATTAGTAATTGCTGATGAAGAATCAGATGCAGATTTTGTTGCAAGTGATTTATTATCACAAGCAGAACATGGTATCGATTCTCAAGTGATATTAATTGGTGTTTCAATATCTAATAAAAAATTAAAAGAATTTGAAAAAGCAGTTTCAAATCAAGCATCAAAATTACCAAGAAAAGATATTGTTTCTAAATGTTTATCACATTCATTTATATTATTATGTAAATCATATGAAGATGCTTTTAAATTATCAAATAAATATGCTCCAGAACATTTAATTTTACAAATCACTGATGCTAAAAAATATGTACCAGATTATATAGAAAATGCAGGTTCAGTATTCGTTGGTGCATTATCTCCTGAATCATGTGGTGATTATTCAAGTGGTACAAATCATACTTTACCAACTTATGGTTATGCAAGACAATATTCTGGAGTAAATACTTCAACTTTTCAAAAATTTATAACTTCTCAAGATGTAACTGAACAAGGTTTAAAAAGTATTGGAAAAGCTGTTATGACTTTAGCTAATGTTGAAGGTTTAGAAGCTCATAGAAGAGCAGTTGAAATTAGAATGGAAAAATTAGGGTTACTTTAGTTAACACCTGTTTATATCTATGTATAAAGGCTTGTAATTAATTTTTATTTATTACTTTATCTTGGTAAATTTTTTAAATATTGTTTGTGTTTTTGACGTTAAAATCAGGAACATTGAAGTATTATTTTACAGTTAAGTCGGAAATTTACCCCCAAAAAATATTTGATTTATCACTAAAGCGAGAAACATACTATCCGACTTTTTATATGCAATAAGCTTACGACATCTTAAAACTTACGTCTAAATTGTAGGTATATTTCTGTCGACTTTAAGTAGGGGTCGCACCATAATAAGGTTGGCCAATAATACATTTTAATCATGGGCATAAATTTTTTAAAGTTTGGGGATGAATAAATTGAAAATTGAAATTAATTTGCAACAAGATTACAGAGAAATTAAATATTAAAATCATACAGATAAAAAAATTTTGATTGATCATATTACTTTTTACTGAAATACTTTAAGCATTTACTTCCTTTGATATATGTCAGTGAGCAATATTACAACTCAAGAAAGATAGTCATTCGTGTTCAAAACAAAAATATAGTGTGTATGTTTTTAATATTTGATACAGACTGGTCAAACTGAGTATTTTCTATACAAAGTCGCATAAATTTAGTAAAAAGTCGTGATTTGCGACTTGAACGTAAAAATAATTAATCCGAGAAAAGCGCAAATTTAAAAAAGTATTACACAAAATCGGAGATTCATCATCATCTTCGTATCTTTGCCGGATTCAGATAATAAAGAACATAGAGATGAAATGTTTGAAATCCAATCTTGAATCTCGCGACCAATATCATTGACTTATGAATAAGGTGTTGATTTATTCTTTTTTAAATCTAATAACGGGAGCACAAGCCCTATTGAAACAAAAATCAGTTGATGCTATATGAAGTACATTTGGGTGCAAAATTTCCAATTCAATCAAAACTGATCACTCCAGTTTGATAGATCGATTTTGCCATGTCCAAATAAAATTGTATTTATAAAAGGGTTAACTTTTAGTACTTGCTTTATTCTCTAGTAAGGAAATATTTAATTTGTGGTGCTTTTTGACTCTCAAATTTTGTTCAACTATAGTCGCAATTAATAATGAAATTTTGAACAAAATTAGGACTATTTTTAGCAAAAATTCTGTTTGAAATGCAAATATCAAGTTATTAAACAAGTTTTTGATTAAAAAGTGGAGATTTCATCTTTCACAAAATCTTTAACTTTATCAAAATGTGGTGCTTTATTTAATTTACCATCAGAGTTATAACTCCATCCGTGATAGTTACAAGTTAATACAGTACTTGTACCATGATCCTTTTTAACAACAGGAAAAGCTCTATGACGACAAACATTATGAAAAGCTTTTAATTCACCATTATTTTTTGATTTTATAATAAAAAAATTAATACCAGTCACATTGAATGAAAAATAGTCACCAGGTTTAGAAAATCTTGATTTATGAATACAATATAACCAAGATTTATGAAATATAGCTCTTTTCTCTAAATTAAAAATATTTTGTGAATGCCACCAACTTGCTGGTAATGTATGTTCTCCAGCTAATAATTGTTTTGAAGAATCATCAGTAACAGCAGGAGGAGTAATTACTTTTTGTGGTAATTTAATTTCTGAATTTGGTTGATTGATATTTGAACAGTAGTCATGTTTGAAATTTTAATCAATATTGAATGATTGAAACAATCTTTTTAATTTCAAAGGCTCATCGAATGGAAATGGAAATTTACTCATTATATATGAATTTAATAGAAGGGGGATATTTGATAACATTGAAGTTTGTTATCTCATCAATTAGTAAAAATATGGAATATTATGCTGGATCAAGTAATTTGAGGCATGAAAAATATATGAACACAAAAATTATCAATTAATATGTCAATTTACTTATCGATGAAAAAAATAATAAAATCGATTCTTTTTGTACTAGATCTACAGAGTAAGTTTTTTTTTTTTCACACGCGTAAAATCTCGATCTCGATCTCGATTTAAAATCGGGATTTTTTTGTATATTGATTAATTAAACAATTTTGTGTTCTTTGAACTTGTTTTTTCCTTCATGCCTCAAATTACTTGATCCAGCATATTTTACTTATAGATGAAGATAACAAACCAATATCCCCTTGTATCAAATTCATTCACTTATTCTATTATATATATAATGAGTAAATTTCCATTCTCATTGGACATGATTTTCAAATTAAGAATATCGTTTAAATCATTCAATATTGGTTAAATTCCCACTCGATAAGCTTTCGAAATTGAGGAGATTGATTCAATCATTTTATATCAAATATGGCTACTGCTTAATTATCAAATCAACCCAATTCAGAAATCAAATTGAAGTGTCAAAAAGTTTATGTTTATTATCTTATATTTATATTAATTATGATTTAAAAAATATGATATAATTCAAATAACTGAATCTAATTCAATTCAACAACAAACAACAATTTATTTAAGTAATCAAGTTATATTATATTATTTAAATCAAATAAGTTTTTTAATAATATCATAACAGAATTTTCAAATCCAAATGAAAAATTAACTGATTCAAATATTATTTTGTTTTGGAGTACTTTTATTTTATTATCTTTTTATTCAGTTAGATGTCCCAAGATTTATTCAATACTTTTATATAAATTGATTATCATTAATTGATTTAATGCAAACAATTTGTAAAGATTCTTCAATTATTGAAAATAATGAGTTTTTAATAAATTTAATAATTGCAACTTTAACAAATGAATTAAAAAATTAATTTGTTAATTCTCAATCAACTAATAATATTCAAATTTATGATAAAAATAATTTCATTCCATGATTCAATTATATTAATTAATAAATCAACATATTATTTTGAAAATTCAATTACTGATGATATTAGTGAAAATGATAAAATAATAATTGTCCATCAAAATATTTATTAGATAATTATAATTCTTTTACCAAAATATTTTTATTATTGGCAATTATTATTATTAATTTTAAAAGAAGGTATAATTGATACAAATTTGGATCATATTTTAAAAGATCAGTTTTCATTAAATAATCAATATCAGAATCATAATAATGATAATCAAGTTACAAATCAAGAATTAAATCCAAATATTGATTTAAATTCATCCTTAATTAAATGTTTTAATTTAAAATTTTATGATAATGAAATTTATAATAATTTATCAATTGTTTCATTACCAATTATATTTTTATCGAATATTTTTAAAATTACATTATAACTAAAAAGATTTTAAATTTAAATATAATTTAGTTTAATTAAAAATTATAAATCATTTAATTTTGATGTGGTATTTAATTATGAATAAAATTATAATAATGTTATGGTATTATGAAAAAGAAAAAGATCAATCAATAAATTTTTTAAAATTTGATAAATATTATATTTTACAAACTTTAATTTATATGTTATTAGATGATAGATCTGGATTAAGTAATAACACATCTACAATGACTGCAACTACCATTAATTCAGCAGTAGAAAATAAAAATGAATTAATTGAATTTAATACAAAATGGTTTTACATAATAAAAGAGAAAGAGAATTTAAAAAGAGAATTTAAAAAAATTATTTATAAATTGGCAAACTTTTTTAGAAATTGAATTTCAAATATATTATAATAAAATAAGGATGCTAATGATAATAATAATGATAATGATTTTAGATTTAAAAAATTTTTAAAACTAAGTAATTCAATTAATGATTTTATTGATGAATATTAGACAATTCTATATAATTCATATGATTGATTGAAATGAAATGAAAAGAATTAAATGAATGACTAAATATTAGAAATTGTTGCTAATAGCTATAGTTTTGCTCTATTATCAATCAAAAAATATTTCTTGATGAGAAGATTTTAATTTCCATAAATTAATAATTTTAAAATCGATTTTGATATTTTCTTTTATAATTAATTGATTAAAACATAATTCAATAATTTCAATTGGTAAAATAAATGTAAAATTTGTAATCTTTTCAAAGTCTTCTTTATTATCTTTTAAATCATTCTAATAAGCTTTAAATTTTTTAATTTGAGCATTTGAACAAATTATGCCTAAAATTTCATCATTTTTATAATTAAATAATCCACCACCTGAACTACCATTAAAGCAGAAGTTGAAGCAATTTTCATTCCATTTAAACTGTTCTAATATTGCTGTATATATAATTTATATGACCTGGGAAGGTAACTTTAATTTCTTCAAGTATATCTGCACCTAATGGATGAGTTTCAATATAGAATGTAGTATTTGCAATTGTAAGACCTTCTAAATCATCTGCATCATAATCTGTATCCGATTTAACTAATTCTGTAAACTTTCTAGATAATGAATCAGCAATATTTGTGTTCCCTTTGATATAATCATTAGTATTATCGAACTCTGAGAACATATTTAGCCATCTTGATAATCTTGATGATGATGGTTTTTTCTAATTAATTGAATAGTGAAGTGATTTATGATTCGTTTAAATTACAATAGTTGATCCGAGTAAAAAATGTCTAAATCTTGTTAAAGTTTGTACGATAGCTAAAAGTTTCTTCTCTCTAATACTGTAATTCCGTTGGTGTTTATCTAAAGCTTTTGAATAAAAAGCAACTGAATCCTTGATCTGAAGTTTTCTTATCTAATATTTCAATAACAGCTCCAAGAGCATAATCACTTGCATCAGTAGTAATTATGTAAGTTCCATTAATTTCTGGTGGTTTTCATACTAATGATGATTTTAAATCTAATTTTGATTGTTCAAATGCTTCTTTAACTTCTTGTGAATCTGCTCTTATTGGTTTAAGTCCTGCATGGTCCAGCTTTAGCTGAAAAATTCTTAATCAATCTTCTATAATAAGATATAAAGCCAACAAACAGTGAAATTTTCTTAGTGTATTTCCAACATCTTTAATTTTGAAATACTAAAGGTAAATGTTCCATATGTTCTTGTTCTGATTTTGTATAAATTAATATATCATCTAAATAAACAACAACAAATCTTCCAATAAAATCATGAAATATCATATTCATTATTCTTTGAAAAGTAGCAGGGGCATTACGTAAACCAAATGGCATAACTAACCATTCATATTGTCCATAAGTTGTACTGAAACTTGTAAATTTAACTGAATCTGATGACATTGGTATTTGGTGATAACCATTTACTAAATCTAATTTTGAAATAAAACCAGCTGAACCAACACTTTCTATTAAATCTTCAACTAATGGCATTGGAAAAGCTTCTGCAACTGTATCTGAATTTAATTCCCTGTAATCAATAACTAATCCTTTAGATTTATCTTGTTTATTGACAAAGAACTAGGTGATGAAAAGTCTGAAACAGATGGTTTTATATATCCTGCTTCTAATAATGTATCAATTTGTTTATCAAATTCTTCTTTTAAATTAATTGGAGTTCTAAATGCTTTTAACGCCGTAACTCTATTTGGATCTTTAGGAACTATTTTATGATTGAATTTTGAATCTAAGTTAATTGGTGGTGGATTATTACTAATATTACCTTGATAATCTTCCATAAGCTTTTTAAGAAACTCATCTATTTTCTTTGATGAATGAAAAAGGCGATTGTTGAATTCTGCCAGCGATAAAGGTTGTAGCATTTTCCGAACTGACGATTGCAAGTACCATGTTTCTTCAATTGGTAATTCAATTGGTAATGATTCATTTTTTTTTAATTCTCCAAATTCTTTAAAAGTATTTGATTTGTATCAGTATCTGCAACAAATGGTGGTGGTACATATTTTCTTTCAGTAGTAATTGATGCTGGATTTAGGTATTCATCTAAATCAATAGATGTTTCTGGTGGAATAACAGTTAAAGTGTTTGATATAGCTCTAAACATTCTGCTCAATCTGCACCTAAGACTAATGGATAAGATATAAAACTACAAACGTAACATAATATACTTGTTTGCATTGTTTTCCACATAACTGAAACATATGAATTAACTGTACCTAAGAAACTAGCATTAATACTATAAATCGCTTTTGGGTTTATCTATTCTTCCTTCCATTTATACTTTTCAACAACCAGTTTATGTATAAAATTCACATCTGCACCTGAATCTAATAATGCTGGCCATGGGTTAGCATCTTCAATATCTACCATAATTCTTTCCACTCTATTTGAATTCATACCCGCAGTTGATAAATAGTTGATAAATAATAATATTCTTCATCCTTAAGTTTAGCGTCGTTAGGACGCAACTAACATTTTGACTTTTCATTTGAATCTGATTTGGACTGACTTCTAGTGTATGCTATTCTTTGAGCATGACACTCAGCGTTTGTATGTCTAAAATTTGGTTGAATTGTCCATTGATCTGTAAGGTTTAGCTTTTTGTGATCTATTGATTGAAGTTTGTGGTTTTGCCGAAACTCTCTTAACAAATGGAACCGATCTATGAGATGATGAAGGTCGGACAGACCTAATTGGGGATGGATCAGGATCATTATTCTCGTTAACCGAAAACTCTCTGATGTGGTCTAGGTTTTTGATAGATGCTGCTACTGCCTTGCCTTAACCATTAATGTTCGCTTTTGAGGTTTCCACAAGTCTAATCTGAACCCGTTTTTCTTTAAGATCTTCGTCACTTAAAAGTGATGCTTTTTCAAAGAATTTTGAATTAAACTTATCCAAATCCATAGAACCTTGTTTTAATTCTTTAATCTTGTCACAAACCTGAGCTGCATGATCTTCGGATTTAAACCTTGCAATAAATTCATCAACAAGTTTTTCAGGATCAAATTCCTTATCAACTACTGCATCATCAAGGTTTTTCTTGAAATATCTAACGCTAATATATTTGAGACGTACTCTTTTATTAGAATTTGCAAAATATTTTTCGACCCAAACTAAAGCATCTCCGACAAAAATTTCTGACAAATTTTAAGTAAGTTGATGGGATCAATTGAATCATATTTTCAATGTGCATCAAAAGCAGCAATTAATTGATCTGCAATTTTTTCAACATAAAGCAAATCTCCTGAGTTTTTATTTCCGAAGAAGATTTTTCCAATTTAAATAATTTCACCTTTTCCAAAAGTCCTGTTAAATTGACTTTTTTCTCTTTTTTGTCTTTCAATATCTGTCTCTGGTTTATACTTTCTAGCAAATAGTTTATAAATTTTCATTTTTTGATTTTTTTTTTCACTGGCTAATTGGAGACGTCTAGTTGATTAAGTTTTTACATTGGGATATCTATTTGAATCATTAGTATTAAATTATCTTCATTTAAATATAATCCATAGGATTCTGTATATACATTTGTTTCAACTTTATAATTCTTAGTAGGTATTATGGGATTTAAATTTTGTATAAGTTGATTCAAAAAAATAAACGATAAATCTAATTCATTAATTATTGTTTTGATTTGATTTTTATTAATAGTTACTGAATTATCATTAGGTAAAATGATTGAAGCAGATAATGAAATTTCATTAAATAAAGGTCATATAACATGATGATTTGTAACTAACACATTTGATTTATATAATACATATGAACCCCAAGTATATTTATTCAAAAATTTAAATTTTAATTGGAAATATAGATGATAAAGTTTTTAAATTTGTTGTGGTACTGTCAATTGAAAATTCATTCCATTTTCGAAAATTTCAAAAATTTTTAAAATGAATGATTATTGTTAAATCACCATCACCACTTATTTATTCTCAAACTACCTAATGTTAAACCAATAATTTGATTATTTATAGAATTTATAACTATCCTACCATTCATATTATCTAAATAATTAAATCACATAATAAATAATCTCCATGATTGAATGTATTTATAATATGAGAATAATTTACAAGATTATTGAAAATAAATGGATCTGTTAAATTGAATGGACTAGATATTATTTTAATAGATACACCAATTTTGAAGCTTTGATCTAAATTTAAGTCAACTAGTTTCTTATTTATAGTCGTTGAGGTTGTTAATTTTAATAATGATATTGTTTCCTTAAAAAATTGATCAGATGGGAAAATATTAAATTCATTTTTAGAAAATTGAAAATCTTGATTTAATTCTATTTCTTTTAGTATTTTAATTTCATTCCATTGACCAATGGTTTTGGATTTGTTGGATTCATAGTTCAAATAAATTTTATAGTCATATATATTCGGTTTACGATTGATCGTTAGTACGATGATTCTTTCTTGTATGTTATGAGTATACCTGATGATGCATGTATGGTGTGTTTAACTTTTGATAGATAATAGGACTGGGGTGTCCTTCATTTTTCAATGCAAATGGTCTTATACAAGTTCGACATAAAGCTTAAATTAGTTAAATTTCATTGAATGTAATTTGATTATGCGATTAGGTATCTTACGCTTGAACTTAATTCTGGTAGTCTATCACAACTTATAGTTAAATCATGGCGCTTGTGATGATAGCCTTGATGATTCTAAATGGTATACCCGTTCTAAGTAGTTGAATATCATCTAATTGTCGTTAGTTAGTTATCATCGTAAGGAAGCAGGAAAATTTTCTTTTTCGATATCCAGTCATAACGAGCTACTATACTTTTACCTCATGGGCTATAGAGTTTGTACCTTTAAACACTTTATGTCTAACAAAAAAAAAAAAAACGAGACAAAAAATTAAAGGTTACTTCATCGGCCGAAATTTTTCAACATGAAACATGAAAAATTTAATTTCAAAGCAATAATTCAACAATATGACAAACTACCCATAGGTAGACCCCATACACTCTACACATTAGTTTAAATTTTTAAAGCTGTAATGCTATTTTCATCACCGTGAGAAGTTTTAAGAAGCGTACCATCATGAGACGAATGGTCAAGATGTTGTATTTCAACTGGCAGATCAAAAGTATTATAAAATTCACCATGCAATAACATCAATGGCATAAATACAAATTGAAAATAATGGTTTATCTTGACAAATCAAATAAAGAACAAACAGAATCAAAAGCTCAAAATGCTGAATTGATTCGGTTGAAATTAATGGTTTTAAATTTGTTGGATTAATAAAATTTATTGTTGGTTCATCTTCATCTTCATTTAATTCTTTTAGAAAATCTTTTAAAATTATGCTATGTTACTAATGTTTTAAATCCTTTTATTGGTGATTTTATTAGATTTGGTGTGTTTCCCAGTTAATTGATAATCAAAATCAGGTTTTACGATAATTGAATGTATTTTAGAATCTTTAAAAGAAAATTCTAAATCTTACAGACTGGTCTGTTCCAATTTTGGTTAGAGCTACTTTTGACTTTTTTTGGAAATCTAAGCCAGATAATGTTTTTGCTTAGTTTTGTCAATCCACATGAGTCAAAATGATGATGGGTAAGAAAACAATGTTAGAGTCACCAATCACTTCATCATTAATTACAGAATCATCAACTACAATATCATTAAGTACAATATACAATATGCAATATCATCAACCAAATAACTACAGAAAGTGTAATTGAAGGTGTAGCAAGTGCGACTGAAGCATTAATAAATGAACTCGGTGATTAAACAAATTCTGTAATCATAGCGGCAATAATTTAATAATCGTAACTGATAAATCAATTCCCACATTCAGATAGATGTTTTGCTTGACGAATTCCTGAACAATTTTATTTCCATTGATTGTCCGAGGATGTGTTGATATTGTTCTCGTAAATTCGATAAACCTTTTGATTTATGGTTAGATTTTAAAGATTAGTTTCTTAAAATTTTCAAAAAAGAGAAAAGAAACATATTCTTCTCAGGACGTTTTCAAAAGGGTCAGAACAACCATTGTGTCATGTTTGCTTTATACATTCTTACTTTTTGAATAATGGCATAGTTTCTATATATTTGAAGGGTTTTCAATGAAGAATTGTTTTTTTTTTAAATTTCCCGTTATGAAAAATTATACATGAAACAAATCAATTGGTAGCTAAGTAAATTTTACTTTTATCAAAAATTTTGGCAACACTTTTTAATACAACATTATGTGTTTATGAACCATTAACAATCATGATAATCCTTGAAGGATTTAGTCCCAATGCACCAAAAGATACCACTATTTTATCACGAAACATTGAAAAATGTACAAATATTGATTTGCTAAGAAAATTTGTTAAAAATGATATTAGCTGCCTTAGTGAATTAAAATATGACGACAAGTCAAAAACAAATTTAACAATAGCAAAATTAAGAGGAATTCAAGATATTGATGTAATTGGAGATAAAAAAGCCTGTATTTGTATTAGAAAAGATTCAAACGTGAAGATTTTGAAAGATTTAAATGTATATTCCTTAAGAAATCTGATTGGTGAAATTAAAAAGCCCAAATTAAGTTCAATAGTTTTCGATCCAAGCATTTTACTCGAATGTTGCCAAAACTCAGTTGATGCAGGAGGTTTTTTCAATGCAGAAATTTTTTTATCACGAACATCTGCAGCAATTATCGAATTTGATAAAAGTGAAGTATTAATTGTTAATACCTATGCACCCAATACTAATATCAGGGATAGAAATGATAAGACTCAATATCATTATTTTAAAGATTTAATTACTTTTTTAAGCAAGTTTGATAAGGAAATCTGGTTATTTGGAGATCGTAATGTTTTACCAAGTGTTAAAAATGCTATGATCAATAATTTTCAAATATGTGATCAGGAAATGGATGTCATTAAATTAATGGACACATTCAACAAAGATAAAAAACTAATTGAAGTCATTAAGTTATTATGTCCTGATGGAATAATTATCACGAATCACAATTATGTAAATTGTCGCAGAATAGACGCAGCTTATGTTCCAGTTAGTAGAAGCGGTCAAGTTACAAAACTTGAAGTAATTAGAAGTCCTAGATATGGGACTCATGAATCTATTATTTTACATTTAGGTGAAAAGGTAGTTCATTATAATGATGAAGAGTTATCAAAAATTCAATTGATGAATAAACTGGTAGTTGATCATACCAAAGTGGTAGAAATCAGCTGTTCATGCAGACATTATACTGGTCAAGTTTTAAAGGATGTATCTTCAGACTTAGTCGTTAGATCTGGTTCAAAGGTGTTTGAGATTCCAGAGGATTTAGTTAATACCAATGTCGTTCCAGATGGGTTGGGCTATTGTTACGGCTTAGGTATACATTATGCCTTTTTTGATATAGTTGTAATTCAAAGTAATGCTTTTCAATCTAACTATATTAATGATCTTGATGCTGACCAAAGAAAGGAAAATCCAAACGGAATTGGTACAATTAGAGTAATCAAGTTTTTAGAAACTGATTTAATAGGTATTACTTCAATGATGAAAGTAAGATTTAGATCACAGGGAACTAGACAGGAGCATTATTTCAATACCAAGGCCGAATTTATAAATGATGGTGTAGAATCAGCACTTCGTGGAATGTACGTTCCAGCCGCAAAAGCTTATAATTTAGTGATTCAATTTGGTTTAAATGACTACTTTGTCAATCTCAATAGAATTTTTGGTTTATCGGAATTTAATTATCCTGCTAATGGAAATGAGCAGAAAAATGATCCAGTGTTAGATGTTTACGGCAATGATATTAGATTTTATCTTAATGATATCGATTTCATTACAGTATTGATTGATAGAGAAATGATTGCAATCGATCCCTTATTAAACGCCTTAGGTTTGGATACAGATGCTGCTTCACGTATCATCAGACATAATATAACTAATTTAGAACTTGAAGATATTAAAACGGGTATTTTCGAATACTTCATGCCTATGAAATATATAATGGATCTTATAAGTAATGCTTTTAATAGAACCACTGAACAAGTAGCTAAAGATATAGAAAAATTGTATCCATTGACAAGAACAGATTTTTCAGGTGAATTTTCTGCAGGTTTCAAAAATTGCTGTTTGGATATAGTAAATTCATATGGCAATAGGGAAATAAGTGAAGATGAGCAAAATGAATTCATTTATTTTCAAGAGCTCATTATATTTAGATCTGTCGCTCGAACTAAAGAAAACTATATTTGTCTTATGGATTTGGTTAAATGGAAAAACAAAAACCTATTATTAGCATCAAATGGTGGTACGGCTGCTAGTAGAAATAAGGCATTTTTAGATAGAAACAAGATGGATGTCTATAATTACAAGAACAGGTTCGTTTTTGATCATACCAAAAATTTAAAAATACATCAATGTAGAGGATATCATGGCTATACACAAAGTGTTGTTTTTATTCCCCTCATGGAAGCCAAGCAAGTGGCTAAAAGATGGGGCTTGACTACTGAATTAGGTCCAATTCTTCATACTAATTTATTGGAAATGCAATTCATTCAAGAATTAACTGCCGACTACGACTATAATGAAGAACTTGATATCGATGTTACATTCTCAGGACATGGACTTCCAGAAAATTATTATAAGTCTAACAACGTAGCAAGAAATATAATATCAGGTGCCATACATTTATCGTCGGTAATTCTGGCAGGTGATTTGCTAATCAGCAGCAGAATTAGAGCTTATTGTAACAAAGTGCCTGCTGTGGAAATTAAAAATAGAATGGTCATGGTTACTTTAGAAAGAGCTAGATATTATGCAAACTACTTCAGAGTTCCACCAGCCGCCGTGTATCCTGCTTTACTTGATTTCAAGAAGTACAAGAAAATTTTCAATGAAAATAAAGAAAACATAAGATACTAAATTGGGTGGGCTTGGTCTGTAATCGAATAATGCTAGTTAAATACCTATTTATCACTAATATAATTTGCTTAGATTTATTTTCTCTAAAGTAATTAAGCTTAATTTTTCGATAGTTCGGAATGCGATATTAAACTTATCAGCTAAGATTTTACTAAAATGACAAGGCTTGTTAAAATAAAATCAAGTAAAACCCATAATTCAGCTGGATTATTTTGCAAAGGCGTATCAATTACTATTAACCAATTCTTCGTAATATTACCGTATACGATAAAGTCAATTTCGGATCCGGATTTTTTATCCTATGACTGTCATCAATAATCACATTAGATCGTTAAATGCTGCTTTTAAAATGGAGACTTATAAAGTAGTTCCTAAAAATAGATATTGTCGTCATTATGCTACTGTTGTTAAAGAAGAGTCTGATAATAAAAAAACTGTAGAAGAGTCATCTGGTTGGTTTGGATTTGGCAAGAAGGAGAAGAAGACAGAATCAAGAAGAGCAAGTAATCCTGGTGGTGAGTTTGATGGATTATGGGTTTACTTATATCCAAATAATGGTGTAAATTGTTATTCACCTGCTTGGTATTCAATTAGAGTTTTACCACTTTCTGCCACAAAAACAACATTACAATATGATATATATACCAAGAAGGGAATAAATGAATTTGAAAAAAAGGAATTTGTTGATTTTTTACAATTAGTTGAATTAGAAGATTTTGAATTATGTCAATTAACTCAAAAAAATTTAAATGAAGGAATTTATAGTTCTGGTTATTTACATCCTGAAAAAGAAAGAGGTGTTTTGTATTATCAAACTTTAGTTCGTGATATGATTAAAGAACATTATGAATTAGAACAAAAAAATGATGGAAAACCAATTGATCCTGCTTCAATTCAAGCAAATCCAAAAAATAAAGATATTTTGGAATTAGAACAAATATGTCAATCATTAGATTGTTCTAGTGGTACGGGAGATAGTAAAATGGATTGGTAAAACAACTTATATGGTTGTATTTTTACAATAAATTTTTAGTAATACAAATATTTATTAAATTTCAAACCTATTTCTTTTCTACTACAGTATTTACGCGAATCAAATACCTTCACAAGCCTTTAAATCTTTCAAATATCTTAACAAACGAACAATTTCTTTTCCTAAATTAGTATCAATAGTAGGAGCCAAAAAAGTATCTAATGTTAAATTAATATCAGGTATAATTCTAGGAAATGCATAACAATCAGTTAATTTTTTCATTAATTCAGAATGTTGATTATCAGTTTCTTCAGAATCTTCTAAATTTTTAGCAATTAATGCATTATCAACTAATGAATTTACAACAATTAATGCTTTTGTTAATGCAGATGATAATATTAAATGTTCCGCTGATTCTCTTGGAAATTTACCAGTTTCTGAAGATAATGCAACAACAATTCTTGCAAAATTTCCCAAAATTAATTCTCTATTATGCAAAATCCAATATAATGTTAATTTATTTAATGGAGTATTTAAATCTTCAACTGGTGCCATATCAATAATTAATTTTACACCAAATAACATTTGTGATACTGTTGGTGCTCTAATAAATACAAATTTTGAAAATTCAAAACTATTTGCATCATATGGTATTATACTCATATATAATTGAAAAGCTCTTGTTAATAAAATTCCAGTTTTAAAATGTTTAAAATCTTCTTCTCCTAAATATAATTGAATTAATTTTCTTGTATATTCTTGATCATATTGTGATATAACAAAATTATTTGTATAACTTGTTGTTAAACCTAAATTTAAACTTCCATTCATAACTGCTTGTAATAATGATCTATTATATGGTTCTCTAACTAGTAATTTAGTAAAAGCGTCTAATGCAAATGAAAAATAAGTATGAGTATCTAAATTACATCTAGGTATTTCCCATTCACGTTTAATTTTTGGTCCAAAACTAGCAATTAAAACAAATGATAAAAATGCTTCTTCTAATGATTGTAAATGAACAAAATATGATATATTATTTAACATCAAAAGACAATCTTTTAATAAACATAACCTTTTTCTACTAAATTGAAATTTTGATCTATGAGTTGCAATTTGTTTTATAATTGAAAACAATAAATCTTTAAAAATTCTATTTGATGCCATTGGTTCTTTATTATAATCAGTAAATGAAATATTTCTTAAAATCATAGTGATGGTTATTAATTGATCAATTAAAAAAATTTGATCATCATTAGCACTTTTAGTTTGTAATTTACTAAAATGATCTTTATTTTCCCATTTAAAAATTTGTAATGCAGTATAATAATCATCTATATGAAAATGTTTAATTTCATCATTTTGTGATGTTGGAGTAGATGGAGTTTGTGGTTCTTCCAATTCAAATAATTCATTAATATCATCTTCGTCATCAGATACAATTTCTCCTGTTAATGAATTGACAACATACAGAATATCTTCTCCATGTTTATTATTATCCCCAACGTATTGGTTAAACATTTCATCAATTTGAGTTTGTGAATCCAATTTTGTTACATCCGGTTTGATAATATCTTCACCAGATGGTTCACCATTTATAAGTTTATGTAAAACTTCTTTACCCAATCTACTCAAAGAATCCAATAATTCTAAACAATCAGTAATAGCAAAAGTATAATTAATATCAGATGTTGTGACCAATAATGTATTTAATGCATTTACAACTTCCGAACTTTGAATTCCATGATCACTTTTGATAGACATGCATAAAGCTTGAAGGTTGATTGCTCCTAACTCTGGTGCAAATAAGTATATTGGCTTCGTGACTTCAATTTCACCAGCTAATTGGGAAAGATCTTTCATAGTATGATTACCATGTGTTTCAATCATTCTTTTAAATGGTACATAATTCTTTAAAACATTAGCTTCTTCTTTTGAAATTACTTGTTTGATGTTGGCGATTGAATCATGATGAGCATTTTGAAATCCTGCTTTTTGTTGCTGTTGTTGTTTAAGCTTTTGTTGTTGGGACAGAGGATGTTGGTTTTTCTGGTTTTGTTGTTGCTGTTGAACATACTGTTGCGGTTGTTGAAATTGTTGTTGTATTTGAGGTTGTGGGGGTTGAAGTTGAGAACCTGGTGTAAATTGAGCATTGTGTTGTTGTGGAACTGGTTGTTGCTGTTGTTGTTGTTGACCGGGTTGTCTGTATTGTTGATTTTGCATGTACGGAGAATTTACCATTGGTGAATCATGATTAGAAGGATTACTTGCCCTTGACAATTTTCTTTGTTGTGGAGTTGGCGCATTGCTAATCATTGGACTTTGATGTGTTGGAAGAGATGTCATTGGAGTAGGGACCGTCATACCTGGTGAAAATGATTGAGTTTGTGAAGAAGCAGAATGTTGTGTAGGTAGTTGCTGCTGCTGCTGCTGTTGCTGTGTGATTTGTTGATTCTGCGGTACTTGTTGTGGTTGTACGTTTTGTTGTTGTTGATTTTGTTGTTGTAATTGATATTTTTGTAAAATTTGAGCTTGAAATTGTGTTTTTCTTTGTGAAAGATCTCTTTGACCCGCAGGCGTTGCTTGGTATTCTTCATATGGTAATAAGTTTGTCGCATAACATTGACTGACTTGTTGATCAATACTTTCTTTAACCCCGGGTTCTTGTAGGTTTACACCTTCATAAAGTCCCATTTTTGCACCAACTAATGCCCATGGATTTTGTGGTTGTTGCAGAAGATCCATATTTAAAAACCTTCTCAATTGTTGAAATCCTCCCAATTTTTGGCATAACATATAAAATACAAATAAATTTACGCGCTTATTTCTGATAACAATCGGTTGTTTTATAGGTGTTTTTCTACGCTGCATGAAATCAAATAACAAGGTATGGAATAATTCAAAGCTAAGTTGAGTGTTCATTGATGGTTTATGAGGTATACGTTGCTGTGGTTGAGTTTGCTGTTGGGTTTGACCTGGGATTGGTTGTTGTTGTTGGCCGGGTATTTGCTGATTAAGATTTTGTTGTTGTTGATTCTGATTTAAGTGCATCTGCTGAGTAGGTATTTGTTGTTGAGAAGGAATTTGCTCACGTGGAGGTATTTGTTGTTGAAATTGTGGTGGGAAGTTTCCCATATTAGGAGTGTTCATATTTGCCATAGGAGGATTATTTTGTATAGGAGTTGGCATTTGTGAAGGGTGCATAGGTGATCCATGAGTCGAAGTGTTTGATTGCTGTTGTTGAAGTTGTGGGCTTTGACTCAAGTTCTGATTTTGACCTTGCGATTTGGCTTGAGCTTGCATTTTTTGTCTATATATTTGTTGTTTCATCCTCATTAACATTTCCTGTTTATTTGAATTCATCTGCAGTTGAGGTTGTTGTTGTGCTAATTGTCTCATCATCATGTTGTTAAGATCTATTTCTGATGGTATCTGTTGTTGTTGTGATTGTTGTTGTTGCATGACTTGCGGCTGTTGAAAATTAGACTGCATCGGACTTTGCTGAGGTATGTTACTTCCGCCAGACTGATGTGCTATAGATAATGGCAGTTGACTAGATCTTGATGGTTGTTGTTGCATCAGATTTTGATTTTGTTGCATTTGCATTGGTGGTTGCGATTGTGTTGGTACTGATATGTTTGGTTGAGGTATTTGACCTTGATCTTGATCAAATATAGAATTCAAAAAATCATCACCAGAATTATCCATATAGTTGGAATCGCTCAACCAATTTGGATTAGACATAACGAGTGATAGGTGTATTGATTAATGATATTGGGTGCAAGTTTAATTATAGATTTTTATTTAATTTCGTAGATATATTTATTTTCTTTTTGAGAAATTCGGAATTCAACGCACGTGACTAAGCAAATAATTACCGGCAAGTAGATTCACTCTACCTGCAAGTTAAGCAAGAGTTTATGATATTACATATGGATTATTTATAGTTTACTCATTTCGACTGATCAATTATTTTATTCATCATTACTGCCAAAAATTATACCAACTTTTATGTAATTTTTTAGATAAAGCTTTATAATGTTCCATTTCTCCCCAACAATCTCTACCCCATTCACAACCAGCCATATTAACAACAAAATCATGATCTTTAAAAAAATATTGAGGATCATCAGCTTGATCTGAACAAGCACCAGGAGGAAAAGCATTTATAGTTCTTAAAGGTAAAAACCCAGTTCTTTCTCGTATCCAAGGTTGTGTTGAATATAAAGTTTCTAAAGCATCTTGTTCTTTATGTTCCCAAGTCATATGCATTTGTTCATACATTGCTGGATCCCACCATATATCTAATAACATTTCTGACCAAGCAGATCTTCTAATTAAAAAAGAACCTAAATTAAATCCACCACAATCTTGAGTTATAATTAAATCAATTGGTTTGTTATAATCAACATATTGTAAATCAACAGGTAATCCCAAGGGATTAAAATTAGTTAAAGTTCTATAAGTTGAATTATCTAAATTATTTAAAAAATGATTTTCTAATGAAATTTGAGGTTCCATTATATATGTATGTAAATCTAACCACCAAAACCATTCAGTTTGAGGAAATTGTCTCATTGTTTGTTTTAATATATCAACTTTTTCCCAACTTTCTCTCCATTCATGAGAATATCTCTTTTTTATCGTCATATCTTTTATAGTTAATCCATATCCATGTTGTTTTGCGTAATTTTTCTTATTTGCAATTGAAGATCTTTCAACTGACCATTCTTGAGGTGATTTCCATTTTAAAACTCCTCCTCCTTCATTAGCAGCTAATATTATAACTACTTTTGGAGATGATGTTTTGAAATGTGGAATGTAAGGTACATTTGTAAATAAAGATAGACAAATGAAAGTTATTAGTATTAGTACTAATTTTTTATATTTAGTTATGAAATTAAGTAAAGAATCTTGTACTGATGAATATGATAATGAATTTGATGATAGTTTTTCGTAACTACTTGGTTTGAAAGGTCTTTTTGATTCGGATTCATCCAGATAATCATTTGTATAAGGTAAAGCAAAACTCCCACTCATTACTTTTGTTGAAAGTTTGTGATTATTGGGGATAGGATCAATTCCGCTGTTCTAGATCTGTCAAGTGACTCTAAATTGTTGTGGTAGCTAGATTCTGCTGGCTTGATAGTTCACAAATTATAGTGAATCAACTATTTGCGTTTCAGTGATCAATTGAAATAAAATATTTTATTCCAGTTTTTGTAAACAAAAAGAATATTAATTTTTTTACGTGTATTCTATTAACATTAAGGCATTATACATTTAATTAAAAGGTCATCTCAATGGTAATAAATGTTGTTCTAAACATTGTTGTCTACATAGAGGACATTCAGGATTTTCCCTAATCCAATCAACTATACAATCCCAACAATATAAATGACCACAATTTGCAGCTGATGGAGTTATCATTGGTGATAAACATAACATACAATTTCTTGAATTATCTTCTAAATAAGGTAATTGTTTTGAATCGTTTAAATCTATTAAAATTTTTGAATCGAAATTTTCACTTAATTCATTTAATTGTTTAATATTATCTATTCTTAATTCAGTATTTTGATCTAGGGTATTTTCATTGATAGTTTTTTCCTTTGGTGATTTTTCATTATTTATAAGATCATCGTTGTATTCTTTTACTTTTAGCAACATCTCCACAAGGAATTGTATGATTATTAGTCCACCAAGTAGTGAATAATTACCTCGTTTCATTTTTTCTGGTTCTTTATGATGTCCAAAGGCATACCTCAATCCAAAAAATCTCTTTGACAATGAATAAAATTCACCTTTGAAATAGAATATAGCAATGTGGAGATTCAATAGTGTATCGAGAACCGAATAATAATTTGATAAAAATTTTATGATCCAATTACTAGTAGAGTCCAGTTTTTCATCGGTTTTTGATAATTCAAATTCTTGTTCTTTTTTAATCCTCAAATACTTTATAAATCTGTTTATCAAATAAGGCACAATTGCATATGATACTAGAAATCCCAATCTTGGTAAGAATCGAGGTAGCTTTTTACCGGATTTAGTGACATATATTAAATCAACATATTCTTCTCCTAAAGTTCTTGCACCTATTAATGATGTTAAACCTATATATATTGCTTTAGCTAACACCGTGATTTCTTTTGAGTATGTATTTACAAATCTTTGACCTTTTAGAATTTGGAATAAATCTTGTAGATGATCTCGGTATGATGATTCAAAATATACATCTTTCTGATGTGCTCTTACTAATTCAAGGTGTTAGTAAATATTATACGATAAGGGCGAATTAAATAAACATTATAACATACCAATTGTAGCAGCGTCAGCAAAAGGTAGTTGCTTTTCTTGGCTCATTTGATTAGGTTATGACTTATTTATGTGAGTTTTGTAGTATTCTTTCTTGATGTATTTCTTAGTGATGTAGATTTTACCCCACGGAATTAACTTCCTATTTTTTTTCAACTAATATTGTCTATTCGGTGAGAGAACAAAAAATACATAGACTCTAATTAATACAAAAGAGTTTGGCATAGGGTATACCACCAAACTTCAAACAAACGAGATATGAATAGACAAGAAGAATCTATAATCAAAATGAAAAACATTGAACATTTTAAAATATATAATCATTCTATTATAGACGAGAAATTGTGGTTCTGAATTTTCAGATCCATAATTTGATCTTATTTTCATTGACTATTGAAATCTATAAGCTAGTCATCTTAATTTTTGATTAATATTAAACTCCTCTCTTAGAATCTGTCCCAACTAATTTAACTGAATTAAAAATAAATTTAATCCAATTGAGCAAGTACAGAATCTAAAGCTTTTCCTAAATCCAAATTTGGATCTTCCCAATTAATTGAACCAGAAATTATTGAAGTTGGAGCAGATTGAGTAGTAGTTTTTGGTTCTTTTAGTTTTGCATATTCATCTTTTGCTTGTTGAATTAATTTTTCTTCATGATTCCATCTTTTGGTGTATTCTTTTTTAGCATGAGATGATTCTAATGAATATCTATGATAAGCACCATAAATTATACCTGCACCTAAAGCAGTATATCTCCATACATTGAATGTTGTTGACATATCGTGTATTATTATTTAAATGTGAATATGGTTGTTTTCTTTATTTGCAACACTTTTCTCTTCAATATTGAAATTTTTTTTCAGTGTTCTACATAGTAAATCGTAATATTAATATTGATTGGTTGACTATACTTATCACGTGATCGCGTTTACAACACCGATGTATCAAACCAAGTAGTTAAGGCATATTCAACATTACGTCGATATCGCATGCATCTTACAAAAAGGTAGAAAAAGCACTGAATTGTGATAAAAAAATCTCCAAATACTGAGAGTTCTGATGTGCATTTCTTGCAAGTTTGTTTATTGTGTGTTAGCGAAGTAGCATCCTCTCAATTTCTCGAGCTAAATTGAAAGAAACTCAAACTTCGTAGCAAAATGACACAGAAGTGTCAATGAACGATGCGCTTATGAAAGCATGAGTGTTATGAGGTGTAAAATTTGCTCTGGAGTAATAGTTTCAATCATAATTACCACATCAATAAAAGTTGATAAATTGATAATTAGTATTCTAAAAGATTATAATCATCACTACGTAATAATTACCAAATTCCACCAATTAGTTTTATTTGTCAATCAGCATCAATTAAACAAACAAGATTGATTGATCTAACTGCTTATTTTTGTCGTAATTGTATCGAATACATAAAATAACAAAAGTTTGGTGTTTGATAAAACACTAAAAAAAATTAGAGATAAAGTTACAAAGTTCATGAAACTTATAAAGTGAATGATAAATTCTATAAAAACATTAAAATTTTGTTTAATAATTGTAATAATATCAATGTTACTATCGTTTATATCAAAAAGGTCAATAATACCAACTTTCAGTCAATCATTTATAAAAAATACAATAATACATACAACAAGATCATTTTCATCAACAAATTATAATTCAAATTCATATACAAGTTCAAGTTCAAATTCTTCTGGATCATCATCATCATGGAATTCTAATGGGGGTGATAAGTCATATTCTACATCTTCAACTAATCCTTCATCTTCACAACCACCTGCATCTACATCTGCATCATTGAATTATGATTCTGCATTAACAACTTTTAATATTTGTAATATTGCTGTAGCATATCAACCAAAAAATAGAAAACCAAGTACAAATTTATTTAAAAAGAAGAATAATACAGCTGCATTAGATTCACCGACTGGTGAAGATAATTTATTTGTAACGAAACAAATTAAAGATGGATCTATAGCAATAGGAGTAGCAGATGGAGTTGGTGGATGGTCTGAAGCTGGTTATGATTCTTCTGCAATATCAAGAGAATTATGTTCACATATGAAATATAATTTTGAAAATAGTAAACCAGATTCAAGCATTACACCAAAATCAATATTAGATGAATCATTTAAACAAATTTTAAAATCAGATAAAGTTGAAATTGGAGGAACAACAGCATGTTTAGGAATTATTACAACAAATTTAAAATTAAAAGTTGCAAATTTAGGAGATTCATGGTGTGGATTATTTCGAGATTATAAATTAATTAAAGAAACAAATTTTCAAACTCATAATTTTAATACTCCCTATCAATTAGCTAAAATACCACAACATATATTAAAAAAGGCAGAATTAGAAGGTAGAAGATATATAATTGATTCTCCAAATTTAGCAGATGAATATGAATGGGATTTACAAAAAAATGATCTTATTATGTTTGCAACAGACGGAGTTACTGATAATGTTATACCACAAGATATTGAAATATTTTTAAAAGATGAATTAGGCGAAGCGAATAAATCAAATAAATTAGATCAAGTTGCTAATAAATTTGTTAAAGAAGTTGTAAAAGTAAGTAAAGATAGTAATTATCCAAGTGCATTTGCTCAAGAATTAAGTAGATTAACTGGTCAAAAATATTTAGGTGGTAAAGAAGATGATATAACTATTGTTTTAGTAAAAGTTTTATAGTAGAAGTACATACATTAATTATAGAATATAATCCTTTAACACTAGACAGTTCATATTCTATCAGAAACAATGCTCTAGATTGTAAGGCTCGAGAACCGATTGGAGACATGTGCATAGACATTTGTAATGATCGCTCAATTTAAAACTTTTATTGTCGCAAATTGAATGATTTAATAATTTACACGAAATGTTTCAGATTATTTATACGACTGCTTGTAGATATTATTTGATTATTTAATACATCAATTTACATCTAAAATTTAATCCAACTTTCTTTAAATTAAATATGTCAATCAACATATAACCAAACTCATCAGTAATGACTGAATTTAAGTGTCCCATTTGTAATGAACAAATGATTAATTTATCACAATTAAATCAACATATTGATGATTTACATAATGATAATCAAATGAATAATACTTCAATTATAAATTCACATGATAATCTAACTTCAACCTCAAATAATAGTGAAAACGATAAGAACAAATCACCAAAACCAATATCCAAATCACCTAGTTATCGAAGAACAACACCTGTTAAAAAAATCAATAAACTTGCATTCACAGAGCAAGGGTTTAGTATAGGAGATACAAATAGTAGAGATTCAAGTCCAGAACCAATTTCTAATTTTTCATCTACAAATTCAAATAAAAATTCAACTTCATCAACAAACAATAGTGGTAATCATTCTAATGAAATATCTCGTAAACATTGGAAACATGCTCAACTGCAATCACAATTAAAATGTAAAATATGTTCAATAAAATTAAATGTTAAAAATGGTATAGTTAATTGTAGAAAATGTGGAGAATTATATTGTAATGAACATACTCATTATCAAATAAAATTAAGAAATCCAAATCCTGATGATCCAACGGAAAAATTACCACAATTTGATTCATCATCAAATGGTAAATTAAGTAGATGTTGTCAATTATGTTTTATGGAAAAAATGCAAGCAGAAGTAAATGTTGTTGATTTAACTAAAGAATTTAAATCTAAAAGACAAATTCAAATTGATTCCAATCAATTACATCGAACCAAAATTCAAAGAAATTTTATAAAATTAATTAATTTAATGATTGATAAAAGATTTACAAAACAACCTTCCAAACAAAATTCATCATCATTTATACAAACTACATCAAAATTCATATCAATTTTTCAAATAGATGATGATGAAAAAGATCTTGTTGGAAATAATTGGAAAAATGATTCAATAATAACAAATTGTACAATATGTTTTACAAAATTTAATTTTATTATAAGAAAACATCATTGTAGATTATGTGGTGAAATAGTTTGTGATGATAGTAATGGAGTTCGTAAAAATTGTTCAATGTATGTTCCAATTATGGCATTTATGGAAAAATTACCAAATTTAAATTATTCTACAAGGGTTAAAGATAATTGGAGCAATATAGATGATGATTTAAGATTTAGATGTTGTGTTAATTGTAAAAATGCAATATTATATGATTGGAAAAAGCAAAATGGATCAACAACAACCATAGAAGTTGGAGAAGATTTATCTGTTTTCACAATGTATGAAGGTTTATTTTTACAAAAGCAACAAATTTTAAAACTCATAAAGAAATATGAAGAAGGTTCTATAAAAACAGATCAAACTAAAAATTTAAATACTAAACAACAAGAAGATAATCTTAAAATTGGTCATAAATTAATGTTACACTTAAAAGAGTTTGAAATATCACTATTAAATTTTAAAAAAAAATTCTTTACAATGGAAGATAATAAAATTATAGTACGTGACGAGTATCAGCTAAGATATAATAAAATTTTAATGAATATTTATCAAAGTATTGCAACTTTTTTACAAGAAAATATTATAAAATATAGAGATATTAATGAATTACAAAATTCTTTAATAAAACAAAATTTAGCTAATGAGTCAGCTACAAATGATAAAGATTCTTCAGTTTCAATAGAATCTAGTCCCTTGCCTAGACTCACTAAAAAGCAAATTAGAGAACTCCGGGAACAATTGATGGTATTAAATGAACAAAAATTCCTAGTTGAAAAAACTATTGATGAATTTACAAAAAATAGAAAATTTGATGAATTGACTTCATTAATAGATAATAAAAATGAAATTGTTCAAACTATAAATAATTTAGAAGAAGAATTAGGAGAATTTGGATTTTAAAAAATAGTCTCTAATAATCACAAAATTGAATTAAATAAAAGTCTATATCAAATAAATCTATTAAATTTTCCCGTTTGAATCAGTTGAATATGATTCAACATCTCTATTAACATCATCACTAGTACTTGTAGTTTCACCTAATTCTTCAGCTTCTTCTCTATGTAATTCTTCTTCTTCTATTATTTCTTCTCTATCTTCTTCATTTGTATCTCTATGACTTAATTGTAAATCTTCTTCATCACTGCCTCCTGCTACTTTCTCATCATCAACAACCTTTTTATCATCATAATGAACCCATTTTTTCATGAAAGTTGTCAAAACTTGTGCAGTCATAACTTGTTCAGCTTGATACAAGACTAAAGGTACTAATAATATTCCTAATCTTGGATTATTTGAACCATATTGAGAACTAACTAATGAAACACCCAAAGCAGCAGTTTTAGCTGGACCACATAACATTATAGCAACAGTATCTCTTTTATTATAATAAAATGGATTAAATAACCAATATGACCATTTATAAACGAAACTTGATTTTTCATTTGGAAATTCCCATAACCATAACTTAACCCAAAATGGTCTTGCATAAAAATAAGTAATTACAGTAAAAAATAAATACATACCAAAATTAAAAAAACAAATGAAAATTATAGATTTATGACTAACTGATGTAAATGCATGTTGAGCAAAAGCAGTAGAAAAAGATTGATACATAATTAATAAAAGCATAAATGATCCAACTTTATTTAATTTAAATGTAGTTAAAGTCCATTTAACTTGTTTTGGGAATAAATTTTGTAAAACTTGACCAACAAATAATGGTATAAAAACAGATAATCCTAATTGTTTCATTGTTTCTCTATATAGATCACCAATTGAACTATCTCCTGTTGGTTGATAACTTGGATTTCCAAAATCCCATGTTCCGGTCATATATAATTGTAATAAAGCAGGTGTAATAAATGCTCCTAAAACATTTCCAATAAAAACTTCACATAATGTTAAAATATCATTACCATCAGCTTGTTTAGTCATAACAACATTAGAACTTACAGTAGTAGGACAAGCGTGAGTTACAATAAGACCAACTAATAACCATTCATCAATTTCTCCATTATGAGCTGCTTTTATACCAGTTGCAATACCATATATAATAGAACTTGTAATTAAAAAACTTAATGATAAAACAGTAAAATGAGCTCTCCAATTTAATGAATTTACAAGCAATTGTTTTGATGACATTGATAATCCACTAATTAGAAAAATAACAGCAACAGCTCCATATCCTATTGAATATTGAGCTTTTACTGTACCACCTTGTTTTGCAAATTCAGGATATGAATGAGCTAATGCTATAAATGCTGCTAAAAATATAAAAAACCATTGTTTAATTAAAAAATCTAATATCTTTTTGGACCATATATATATTTTTGATGATTGGATCTTCTGGATAGTTGGTGATGATTTTAGACTTTCAAACATAATGCTTATAGGAATTGATTATTGTATAATTGTTGTTGTGAAATGCTATTTGCTTGTCTTGTTATATCATGAGGATTGAACCTATTATCTTTTAGCGGTATATGAACTTTCAAATCTATATCTTGTACTGAATAAATTGATATATTATGTCTTTATTATATATAATTTAATTAAAGTATGACGATATTAACAGTACGTATTTTGTGTAAGAAAAATATTTTTTTCAGTATTGATAAATATTTTAGCTCGGTTAGATTAAGTATAGAGTATAAACGGAACTATCATGAAAATTTGAATAAAATAGTGGTGCTAAGCAGACAAGTTAAAAAGCTCAACATTTCAACACAATTACTTATATTAGACCATTTCAATCCCTTTAAAAATCGGCTAAGAATATGTGCTTTTCAATATTAATATTCTTTACTCCAGACTTTTATAGATTCGGATCGAGAAATAAATTTCTATTTTTTTTTTTTTTTTTTATGCAGAATTTTAAAATTTTAAAACTCGTATCGAATACAAACTTTTCAAAAACTCAGAATATACAAAAGAATGGGATTATAACACCAGTTTTCAAGATCATTAGAACCCAACATGTATGACTGTAGTCCCCATTAGATTGTTTGAGTCGTTTTGATCTTAACTATCTATTTTGGACCAAATCTAAGAGTTGGTTGTAGCATCATTTATTTTAGTTTTTCATTCTTTCGTGGCTAATCCACAATTTTATTTTTACAAACGGCTGAGGTTAAACTTTAATTATTCTCAAACAACTTAATCAGCTTGAAACACGCAAAAACAACACGCAAACTACGATATTCAATCTTAATCTTCAATGTTCGAAAGATGAAGAATGCTTCGAAATCATTTAAATTTTTAATGATGATGGAAAGACTCGGCCATTGTTTCTGGGTTGATCCCAATGTGCTGATTTAAAGTTTTGGAAACTGAGAGTTTGATGCAATGATAAAAGCAAGAGGTCAACATCAACCTTGAAAGATTCACTTAATGCAATTGATCTGTTAATAAAGGGTCTACGCTCTTGAAGTTAATACTTCTTAAGTTAGAGCTCTTTTACGATTCATTTTTTCGTCAATTTTCAAAAAAATAGCAATGTTAAAAGGAAAATTAATGCAAGAAAATGTGAAAGAGAGAGAACGTTTTGTAGAAATTCTGAAGAATAAGTTCGATAGATCAGATAAAAAGAAATCAATCCCCTGAACATCTTCCTATAAAGTCTGTTGAATGATCTTCAATTACAGTTTTTTAGGTTCTGATTGATTTACGTGACTGATATTTAAATCTTACGACATACACTTTGAATATTATTTGTACAACCTAATTAGTTAAAATTGTAAACAAAAGAATTTTATACCAAACATAGAATTAAATAATAATATTTCACTTTAGACCAAAAATTTAAATCGATGCTTTGAAACACAGAATCATTATCTAACAATTAAAGACAAGGAGTATTATATATTCATATACAAACAAACAAATATTTTATAAAGCCAGTGCAATTGATCATATACCAAAATTATTAGAATTGAATGAGAACTACAGAATCACAACAATCTTATATAGAATTTGTTAATAACTTTTGGGGTGTTTCCCCAGAACAAAGTTTTCATATAATTTCAACTAGAATCAATGATTCACTTCTCACTTTAAAAGAAATGATAATATTTTATCAAGAAAAGATATCAATTGAAAAAGAATATAATAAAAGGTTAGAAAAATTATCACATAAATGTCTGATTGGATCAAGAGAAACTGGAACTTTAAAAAAGTCTTTGGATAAGTTATTAGTTGAAAATCAATCAATGATTAATTATAATTGGAAATTTGTAAAATCTTTAAATCAATTGAATTTGGAAAAACTAGAACAATTTAATAATCTATATATAAAGAAAGTAACTAAATTGAAAAATCATATAGATAAGTTAATTCATAAAAGACTGCAAGTGCTAAGAGACCTTAATCAATATAAATCGAAATATCAAGAAGAATGTAGTATGATAAAGTCATTAAAATTATCATTACAAACTACATGGGGAAAAGAATTGGAAAAGAATCAAATCAAATACAATAAAATCGCACAATCATTGAATACAACGAATAAAAATTATCAACATTCAATATCAATTTTTAAAGAAATTAATGACATATATAAGAGAGACTGGGTAATATCCATTAACGATTTCTATAAATTAGAAATTGAAAGGATACAAATATTAAAAATAAATTGTTTCACTTATTGTAATAATATTGCAACATTATGTGTTGATCTAGATCAATCAATTGATTTAGCAAGATCAGAATTTGCATTGGTTGTTCCTCAACAAGATATTCAAGAATTTGGGATAAATTATGGGACAGGTAATAAAATATTTGATGATCCAGTTTATGTTGATTATATGACAGGTTGTGATGAACCTCAAGTTGGGTATACAATTCTGAATCTAAAAAATCCTGATCATAATGAGATTTTAACAAGAACTTATTCCACTTATTCAGCTGCATCTAAAACAACAACAAATGATTCTGCTACTCACAATAATAATTATCCAACTCATCATCATCATCAACCACAAAGAGATTTATACAACATGCCATCATCACCTATTGAAACTTACAAAGAAATTAATTCAACTCCACTTTATACCCAAAACAAAACTCAATTACCTAAATCACCTTTCACTCCATTTTCTCCGTTGAAAGATCTACCTACAAATGGAAGGAATCAAATGACAACATCTCCAAAAGCAAATTTGGCATATAACTATAAAGCTCAAACTCCAATTACAAATTATAATGATGGCAATACGAATTCACCATATAAATCAATGCTTCCTACAACAACACCTACGAAAATTCCACCATTGAAAAATCAAAATGATATTAGTCCTATTAGAAAAGCACCTTTGGATCTTTTATCCCATAAAACTCAATCTACAGTTAGTACATCAGAAGATAATGACGTTTTTTCCCTTGCTCCAAATAAAGACGATAAATTAACTAATAGTCAAGGATCTAATTCATCTCATTCAAATTATAGTTCATCAGAAAGAAATTGGGCATCACCAAGAAGACGTGAAAAACAAATTCAACAAATGCAAGATCAAATTACTAGAAAATCAACAGGTGATTTTAAATATAAACGACAACAACCTCAAATATTAGAGGAGAAACCAATTCAACAACAGAAAGTGCCAATAATGAAAGATTTCTCAATAGATTTCATAGCTAAGGCATTGGAAGATTTGAATTCAGGTGGAGATGGTGATGTAAATCAATTTAGACGATCAGTTCGATCATCTAATGGAGGAAGTCCTATAAAGCAATCTAACGGACATCATCAAATACAACTTAATAATCAATATAATTATAATGATATCAGTCCGAAAAAAATGAGACCCAAATCGGATTATATCGATGATCATAATGAAATAGCTCAAAGGTATGATTCAATAAACTTTACTAGACCAAAATCAATGATTGATATCGCAGAGACAAAACCAATACAACAACAACAACAACAACAACAATTAACAAACCAAAATCCATATCACAAGATCCACCCTTATCAAAAATACAAATCACAACCACCAACTCCATCAAAACCACCCCAACAACAAAAATTAACACCAATAAATCAAAAACCATATCTAACAAAAGCAACAGCAAAATATTCATATAAACCACAACATAAAAGTGAATTATTTTTTAGAAAAGGTTGGGAAATGTATATTTTGCATAAACAAGAAGATAATTGGTTCATATGTGAATTAGGTGAGAATTGTAGTGATGAATTTATTGGAATGATTGGATTAGTTCCTGGTAATTATATTGTTGAACATGATTAAAGAGTTATTGGAGATATTTTTTAATTTATACAGTTTTATAGGCACTTTTTTATGTTATTACTATGTATATCTATGATCTACCGACTCTTGAACATTCAATTTTTTCACTTAAAATCGATCTGTTGAGTCCTCTTCAAATTATTGTCATTGCTTGATTCACATTTCATTCTTCCATTTATTATTGTTTAAACTGGTCTTCAATTTTAGCATACAATGATTGTAATCGCTTAATTTATTGCGGCAAGAGAAATTGGTCTTGCAGCAAAAATTCCTTTTTTTTATCTCCGAGTTTTGCATCTAAAAATAATATCTAGTATCATTTTCAACTACTTGAACTACGAACTTGTTGAAGATGATTGCAAAACCAACAAGTCAACTCACAAAATCTACAAATTCAATTGAAAATTTACCTCCCTTTATAATAGGAGGAGCAGTTTTCAATCATCAATATTCAAAAAATCCAGAATCTTTACCAATTGAATCCATATTAAAAAAAGCTTTTTCATCAGGATTTAATGCAATAGATACATCACCTTATTATGGACCATCTGAAGAATTATTAGGGTCCGCTTTAAAAAATTTAAGCACTGAATTTCCAAGAGATTCATATTTCATATGTACTAAAGTTGGACGTATTAAATTAAATGAATTTGATTATTCTCCTTCAAATGTTAAATTTAGTGTTGAAAGATCTTTAAAAAGGTTAAATACAAATTATTTAGATGTTGTATATATGCATGATATTGAATTTCAATCGTCTGAACAAATTTTAGAAGCATTAAAAGAATTAAAGAAATTTAAAGAAAAAGGAGTTATTAGAAATATTGGTATAAGTGGATATCCTGTTAAATTTTTATATGAAATTGCAATTATGTGGAAAGACAAAACTGGAGAACCATTAGATATTGTACTATCTTATTGTAATGGTTGTTTACAAAATAATATTTTATTTGAATTTTATGATAAATTTAAAAATGAAGCAGGTATAAAACAAATCTTGAATGGTTCGATATTATCAATGTCATTGTTGAGATCTGAACCTCCACATTCATTCCATCCAGGTAGCAACGAACTAAAGCAAAAAGTTCAAGAATTATACACTGATTTAAAAATTGACTTAGCTGAATTATCTACTAAATATGCAATCAACGAATGGTTAATTAAGTATAAAAGTCCAATAGTGTTAGGTGTTTCTAGTATTAAAGAATTGGATGTTGCAATTGACTCTTTAAGATCACTTGAGGAAACAGGATTGCTGGAATCTGATGCAAACTTGATCAAAACATTTCAAAAAGGATTATGTGATCATTGTAATGAAACTTGGGTTAGTGGGAACCATTGATTATAGATTTATAGACTTTTGATAGACATATAAAGCATTGTTAGTATGATAGTATGATGGTTATGCGAGAAAAATGCGCTTTAAATAATACCAACGCGTTACTTGTGTTTGTAACTCAAAATGTTCTACAATTTGATTCCATTTTTACTTGTAACAAGCGTCAAAGCACGTTTAGCACCAATTTCATATCACTTCCAACTCACCTGAAAAAAATTAAACAATGGCGTATAAAAGATCATACTCAAAACTGAATCAACAATCATCGAATCAAGATCAAACACAACAAGAAGAAACAGAAATAATTCTAGATTCCAAAAAAAGAGTTACAGTAAGAAAATTTAATAATGTTAATCTAGTTGATATAAGAGAATATTATATTGATTCAAATGGTGAAAAAAAACCTGGTAAAAAAGGTATATCATTAACTGAAGAAAGTTATTATAAATTGATTGAATCTCATAATAAAATACAAAACGCGTTAGATATTTTAAATGGAGGATCTAAAACAAATAAGGAACCAGTGAGTAAAAAACCAAAGATTGATAAAGTAAATGATGAAGAATCTAAAAAAGTGGAACAAGATGGTGAAGAAGTTAATTTGAAAGATGAAGATTTTGTAGACAATGATAGCAAGGATACTAAGAAAAAGGCGAATGCTAACGAGGAAGATGGAAAAGCTGAAGATGAAGAAGTTAGTGAAGAAGAAGACTAGTTTCGGTCTACCATATAAATTCAAAAAGAATAAATCATACTCATGTTCATAGATAGTCACCAAGTCTAAATATCATTAAGCTGGAATATTACGCGCGTATTTGCTAGTTCCATAAATATATAAGAGTTTCCGCTTTTCGAATTCCAATCTCAATTATTATAGATTATGAAATAGCAATATTAAAATTTTAAAATGTACAAATCTAATCTCAAAGGTCACAAGACCTTTATCTATTTTAATATACCGATAGATATTTCAGTTTAGTGAACTTGCATTATTTTTCAACTGTTTATACCGTGTAGAATATTAGAAAAGAAATGTCAAACATAGTTAGATCTACAATTTTATATAACTTTTCTAATCACAAATTCCGTAACTTCATTCCCTTGTCTTATCTTATGTCACTTAAAAAAGTTTCACCAATAGGGACAGTTTGAATCAATATGATTAAAAGTCAATCGTTACAAGGCTCATAAAAAACCATTAACAAACAAACCAATGAAACCATATCTGGATTTGTTTCATTTTTTTCAATTGACTCTTTTCGTTTTGAATCAAAGAGGCTTGTGGCAAAAGATGACGCAAATTTATTTTTTTACCGAAGAATAACTAGTATTGTTATCGCTCTTGATTCATTGACTGTCTGAAATTACATCCTTCTACTTAGCTTGAATTAAATAGAACAGATTGATGAGTGGCCTAATATATGAGCAGCAGACCTTGATAAGATATTAAAGTTTTTAGTAAGTTTGCTGTCTGATATTAAAACTTTGTTAAAAATTTAATCATAAATAAAGTTCTTACACAAAACTTTTGATCAATGCAATTCCATTTCTTTTCAATATTTTATTAATAAAAACAATATCTTAATTTTCAACTAATAATTTTGTATAATTTTCATGAAACTTTTGTTTATATCATCATTTTTAATAGTCTGTGATTAATGAGAATATAGCTTAAGGAAAGAATGATAGTTTAATTTGAGAACATCATATCTAAATCATTACTATAATAATATATCTACGTAACAAACTTTCACCAACATAGTAATTTCATATAACTCGTATAATACAACCTAATTTCATTGAAAGACTATAGATTCATACTTCATACAAAATGGAGAGTTCTGATAAATTATTAAATGATGAGAGTGAATCTACTATCAACACTTCTCAAACCTTGAATAATCACATACTGTCAAAAAAATTAAATCATAAAAAATCAAAAAAGTCTAGGGTACTTAACAATTTAAATAACAATACTACAACAAATCAAGCTAATGATTCAAGTAGTGATATCAATAAAAGTACGTCGTCATTAGAAAGATTAATAAATTCAGGTTCATATATTGATCATAGAAAATATGATGATTTAGCACATTTACATTCATCACCTGCAAGATCAAGACGAAGATCCAATGGTAATGTTTTCAAAAAAGCAAATAATAATAACAATTACCAATCTATACCATCAAATGGAGATTCACAGGATCTTCAACACCCAAATGTTCAGCATGCATCAACTTCTCCTACTTTACCTTTAACAAATCGAAATTTACAACTGTTACTAAGAAATTCTTCAACTTCAACAAATAAAGGTTCTGAATACAATAACAATCAAAACCATGATTTACGAACTGACAAAACGAATGGAAATATGTCCCCCAACACAATTGCAGTAGATATGGATCAATTTACAAAAGAACAAAGTCAATTTGCAAGATCACAATCATGGCAAAACCCATTTGAAACAGAAGATGGTGAAGCTCGTCATATATATTCGGATAAATTCAATAATAACCAAAATCAAGAAGAACAAGATTCATATTCTGTAAATTCATTGGAATTTGGGGAATCAAACCCATCTTCAGATCATTCAAGTGACTCTACTTCATTGGATGATGTTTGCTATTATAATTATGATCGAGAAGATGAAAAAAGAAACGAATGGCCGAATTTAGAGGTTTTGGAAGAATTCATAAAGGAGGAATATGAAGAAATTGAAAAAGAACAACATGAAAAATCCATGGACCATCATCATACTGTTAATTTCGGTAAAGATGTAATACATGATAATCAATCTAATAAGTATGCATCTAAAGTAGGATCACCAACTTCAACCAAAATCAATCCTTCATCACCTCCAAAAGGAACTTCTCCTACAGAAAAAGATACTAAAACTGAGAAATATGAAGAAGTGCTGGAGCATGATAGAGAAAGTTTTGATGAAAACACACCATTGGTTGATAATTATAAAGTTAATGAATTAGAGTCTCTAGATCTGTTACATGATTCATTTAGAATTAGACCAACTCCAACTCAACCATGGGAAAAATCAAAAGATCAAATACCTACTATTCTTAATAGAGGTCCTAGTTATAGTAATCAACAAAATAGTAATGGAAAAGATGGTGAATTATGTCGATTTACATATTTTAGAGAAGATTTACCGAAAACAATACATTCACCAACATTAGGAGGACTAATTAACAATGAAGAATCAAATTTAACAATATATGAAAAATTAGTTGAATTATTTAGACCAAATTTAAAAATATCTGGTGCACCATCGACTAGTTCACATTCGCATCAACACAAAAAGCAAGAATCATTGAGCTCAAGTAACTTACAAGCTTTGAAAAATACAAGAGCAGGTAATGAAACACCATTACCTATGACATCTGGTGACTCTTATATAGCCGATCCGTTTTGGTTAGATGTATTAGATCCTACTGAAGAAGAAATGAAAGTTATATCAAGAACATTTGATATTCATCCATTAACTACTGAAGACATTTTTTTAGGTGAAGCAAGAGAAAAGGTTGAGTTATTTAAATCTTATTATTTTATTTGCTTTACTTCATTTGATGTTATATATGAAAGAAGAAAACAAAGAGCAAAAGAACAAGAAAAAAAATTCAATAAATTACAAGAAATGTATGATAATTTTTCAGATAATGGAAGTATATATGGAAATTCAGGGGCAACTTTCAAAAATCAATTAAATAGATTTTTTAATACAATTTTCAAAAAAAATAGAAGAAAACCATCAGCTTCAGTTCATGATATTCAAATGTCAACTACTGTTAAATCAAAAACCAAAAAGATTAGGGAAGGAGAATTATCACCTTTAAATATGTATATCATAGTCTTTAAAAATGCTGTTATAACATTTCATTTTTCACCAACACCACATCCAATAAATGTTAGAAGAAGAGCTAGAATGTTAAAAGATTATTTGACAGTTTCATCAGATTGGATATGTTATGCATTAATTGATGACATTACTGATTCTTTTGCTCCAATGATTGAATCTATTGAAGTTGAAGTGAATCTGATAGAAGATGCAATTTTAAGAATGCATTCTGGTGAACATGATGATTCAGATGATTCAGATTCAGAAGATGAAAATGAAAGTTATTATCATGCTAGTACTTTTAGACGTCAACAACCTCATCGTCGAGAAAAACCTGGAATGCGTCATAAAAAATCACAACCAGATAATCATGAGAATGTTTTCATTTGGAGGAAAAGATCAAAATCAACGGTTGATCATAATAATAAAGGTTTGTTTACGGTGAAGAAAACAAAATCAAAATCTAGTTCATCTTCTTCATCGTCTTCAGAAACCGGCTCATCAAAAATTTTAGGTTGGAAACGGAAAGGTGATATGTTAAGAAGAATAGGTGAATGTAGAAAAAGAGTAATGTCTGTTTTAAGATTATTATCATCAAAAGCAGATGTTATTAAGGGTTTCAGTAAAAGGTTTAACGATTTAGATTCAAACAGTTCAAATGCAAATTATCAACATCAATCTGAAATAGCAATGTATTTAGGTGATATTCAAGATCATATAGTAACAATGATTCAAGCTTTAAATCATTATGAAAAATTATTAGCAAGATTTCATTCAAATTATTTAGCTCAAATTAATATTGATATGACTAAAGTTAATAATGATACTAATGATGTTTTGGGTAAAATAACAATTTTAGGTACTATTGTTTTACCTATAAATGTTGTTACTGGTTTATGGGGAATGAATTGTTTAGTTCCAGGTCAAGATTATGATGGATTAGCTTGGTTTTGGTGTATTGTTGGAGCAATGGCTTTATTTAGTCTTGTTGCTTATAATTACGCAAGGAAAGTCACAGGTTTATAGAATGTTCGTAAATAGTAAATGTTTTAATGCACTGACTTTTTTAGATACTTTAGTTATTCACTCTTTTATAATTGGTACAAAAGTTCAAGCATGGGGAACAATTAGCTAATCTTATGCAATGGGTATTCCTTCAATTAAGATTTAACTCACACAAATTACACTCTAATCAAGTTAAAGAACAGTATGAAGGAAGTTACAAGTAACCACAATAGTTTTTCAAAATTGGTTGTTGGCAGGCGCCAGTGGACTCCTCTCCATCCCACCTTTCAATTTTTAGATTTTGAGATTTTGGTATCAAAAGATGCAGAATTTCTTTCTGATTAAGACTATATATGGAAGTATGAGCCGCGTGGCATTTGTTAGTGAGTTATTTCAATTTAAAGGTCTCGTCCAAGTTGCAAATTATTAAAAATCGATAAATAACTCAATCGGAAATGCATAAACAAGACTTTTTATCCATATAAATGAGATTCAAAATTATCTAAGCTATCCATTGATACCACCTTTAAGTAAAATTCGACAAACCTTGTAATTTTGTAAAAACTGGATTTGCAATTTGTACTTTTGAGGCCAAAGCAGTAGGCTATATTGTGTATTCAGATTACGTAATTTTTTATAGATTAAGTTTCATCTAAATTTAAATATAAAATTTAAAAGATCAAACATTGCCTTCATACATTTTGACAACCAATTTCATACAATTGTTTTTGTTAATTCAATTGACGAAGAATTGAATCAATTAGCATCTATATCATAAACCACATATTAACATATCTCATCAATTATTCAATCCAACAAAACAATTCAAAATGAGTCTTCAATTATCAATAGTTTTTGGAATTATGGTATTTCAAATGACATTTTTATTAATTTTAGTATTACCAGTTCCATATATAATTAGATCTAAAATAATTGAATTATATAATATAGTAACAAATTTTAAAAATTTTAAAGTATTTTTAATATTTTCAATATCATTAATGTCATTACAATTAATGGATTGTTTACAAAGATTACAAAAATTTCAAAAAAATGAAAATTCAAATTTATCAAATGGTTTTGTAAATTATGATAGATTAGCTTCAAAATTTTATTCTCAAAGAAATTTATATTTAAGTGGTTCAATATTATATTTAACTTTATGTATATTTACAGTTGTTACAATAGTTAAAAAATTAGTTTTAAAAGAAAAAATTTATAGAGAAGAAATTTTAAAACAAACTAGTGGTAAATCAACAACAACTACATCAGATAATAATGATGCTACACTTGCTGAAATTGAAAAATTAAAACATCAAATTGAATTTAAAGAAAGAGATATTAAAAATTTAAAAGAACAAATAAAAAATAATCAAGCTGCTTATGATAAATTAAATGTTGAAACAATCATAACGAAAGATGATTAAAAGTATTGAACTGAAAATTGTTTACGGCCATCTTAATTATGAAGTATTTAGCTACATTATTTGTATTTGGCTAAACTAAATGTTATATATATTTTTTAGTTGCTAATATATTATACAAAGCTAAAATACAAAAATCATTATATATGAGAACTATATTGACCACTAATTAAATTTCTAAAAGATGGAATTTCTTCATTATTACCACCAGCAGATTCATCATCATTTAAATAAATTTTACAACTATTTAATACATCATTAGCATTTGAAATTGCAAATTTTAATTGTACACCAGATTCACATTCTTTACCTATACCATTAGTCATAAATCTTGCAATTAATTTTTCTTCATTTGCCCCATTTGATTTTAATTTGATTAAATTATTATATCTCCAAGTAATTCTATTTTTATCTTTATTAAAAGATCCCTGTGGTTTTGACAGTGCTGAAGTTGCTTCAACATTTGAATCTAATGCAACTGATACAATTAAATTTTCTAAAATTATATCTATTGGTAAATTTGATCTTAAACTAATCATCAAACTTGATTGATGAGGTTCAAATTTCCAAATTTGTTGAATTAATATAGGAACTTGTAAATTTTTAATTAAATATTTTAATCCACCTAATGTTTTTTTGGAAATTGATAATGGATCAATTGAATATTGATTATTACCTAATTCTGTAAAAAATTGTTTATTAACAATTAATTTATCAAATTTATATGGTATATTAATTTGAATTGGTGATTGATTTTTTAAATTTCCATTATAATTAAAAGCAACTTCACCTAATAATTGTGAAGAAATTAATTGACCATCTTTAAAATTTGCATTTATAATTTCTGCAATTGATGTATTTAATCCTAAATTTGATGAATCATCATTTAAATTAAAATGTTTAAAATCATTTTTTAATAATGATCCTGTATCTTGATTTACTAATGGTTTAAAATTTTGATTATTAATAAATGAATTTCTTGAAATTACTGAAGGTGGTTGAATAAATGAATCTCTTGTATTTGTTGATGATGATGTAGCAGATGGTAAATTATGGAAAATTGTTGAATCTCTTGATGTTGAATTAGTTGAAGTTGTAGTATCATGATGAACAACTTTTCTTGATGGTGGAGGAGCTGGTTTATTCGATAATGATGACGAAGTTTGACTTTCGTTGAAGTTGTGGTTGTTGTTGTTGCTGTCACTACTATTGTTATTTCCCAATTCTGAAATACCTGTTAATGCACCAGCAACTGCTCCTGCTGCTGCACCAGTAGCACCAGCAATTCCAGCAGCGACGGTAGTAGCTAATCCATTACCACCAGCTTGAGTATCAACAACTGGTTCAATAGGTTGTTGTTTTGATGAAGGTGATTCAATATTAAAACCATTTTGTTCACTTCTTGGAGTTGCACTGATTGGTTTTTGATCATCTCCAACCTCAAATGAATATTTTCCATCACTACTTTGTCTTGATCTTTGATGAGTGTCAAGGTAAGCGCTAGCTGGAATACTTTGTTTTGGTTGTTGAAATAATTGTGGAACCTGTTGAGACAGTTGTTGTTGAGAAGTTTGTTGAGGAATCTGTTGAGATTGTTGTTGATATTGTTGAGGTTGTTGAGGTAATGATTTATTGTTTGATTGAGAAAATGATCCAATTGCTGGACTTTGACTTTGACTTGGAGTTTGTTCATTAGTATCTAATTTATGTCTTTGTAATAATGAAGATCTTCTTCCATTATTTATTGAATCTTCATCACTTTCATCTTCATCTTCTTCATCATCTTCCTCATCGTTATCATTATATTTAATAACATTTGGTGAATCGATTGGATCTTGAGTAGATCTGATAAATTTATCATGAGTAGGTGTGATTGGTTGTGATTGTTGTTGTTGTTGATGTTGTTGACTAGATCCAAAGTTAGATTGTTGAGTTGAATAATTTTGAGTTTGTTCCGGAAATGCCGATTGTTGTGATGGTTGTTGAGATTTTTTAGTAGGTTGTAATGGTTGGAATGGAGATCTTTGAGTTGGTAAAGCAGTTACACCAATGTTTGAATTATCATTTTGATGACTATTAAATGAATCTTGTCTTTGATTACCAATTGGTGGTTCTAAAGTTGATCTTCTTGTTGCATTTCTTGAAATTGGAGCAGATCTTGTAGTTGAAGTTTCAGTTGATAATGAAGCATCTTCTGGTATAGCTTGTTCATGATTTAATTGATTTTGATTTTGTTGATCTTTCTTTTTCTTTCTACCAAATATTGAACCAACTCTTGATTTTAATTTTGATTGTTTTTTAGGAGATGAAGAATCAGATCCAACACTACCGGTAGAAGAAGTATGTTTATCAAGTCTACCAAATGAACTCATTCTTTTTTGTTTTGGTGGTGGTTGAGCATTTCCTGTTGCTCCTGCTGCTCCTGTAGATGAAGATGGAAAATTAGATTTTGGTAATTGAAATTGAGTATTTTGTAAATAATCTAATTGATTTTCCATTTCATGATCTAATTTAAAACTTCCTAATAAATAATTAGTTGAATTTTCATTATTTTTTAATTCTTTTGTTAATTTTCCATTAAATAATTGAAAATAATTTAAAATTATATCAAACATTAATTGAATTTCAATTTTTTTAAAATCTTCTAAATTTTGAAAAGTTTGAGGAGCTTTATAATTCCATTGATATTCACCATCTTTTGTTAAATTTTGACTTATTTCATTTAATTCTTGACCATTTACAATTAATTCTGAAATTCTAACATCTTTTTCAATTAAATCTTTTAAAGGATTTATAATTTCTTGTTTTAAATTTTTTTGTAATATTTCATTATTATTTAAATCTAATTGAACTGAATTTAATAAACAATTCCAATTCCTTGGAAAATTATTAAATCCAATATTACTACGTTTTCCAATTTTATTAGCTTCTTCAAGTAATGATTTTAAAGCTTGATTATGAGAAGAAATTGCAGAACTATATTGATTGAACCATGCTATTAAATCTTTGTTTAATCCGGTTGATCCCGTGATAACATTGGGTACTATAGCAGCTGCTTGTTCTGGTGATTTTGATGTTAAAATAGTTGTTGCAAAATTGTACGATTCTTCCATTGTTGAAACCACAATTGATTTGTTCTTTTTTATCTAGTGTTATAATACAAAATTCTCTTCTAGTGTTATGCTAATTGAATTGATTTAGATGATATTAGTCTATGATTGATCTGTTAATTAATACAATTGGTTTTAACTAGAAATCTATTGCTAAAATTTATAACCCTATTATTAATTTAAAATTGAAATTTTTGTCCCTCTCTTTATTTCTCTCGCTTTAAACACGAGTTTTAATAAAGAATAGAAGAATCTTAACTTTAAATAAACTTTAATTTATTTTTTAACAAGCTCAAAGTCATTTCTGGGATTGTCGTGTTTTATTATTTTAAGACTTATTTAGTGAATCCTTCAAAAAATTAAAAATTAGAATTAAAGGCTTACCATGGCTTAGAATTTGGACCTGTGTAAAATCATCATATTTTGATTGTATGTGTTGATCTGTCGATATGACAAAACAAAATTTATAACCCATTACTTAAAGTTCAAGAAGTTATGAAAAAATGTTACAAACGGTGTTTCGATCATCGAATTAAATCAAGATTTGTTTTACAATCAGTACAATTTGAAATCGTTTTGAAATTCTTGATCTTAGATAATTACAATACATAATTTGGAAACTGTTTTTATGAATAAATTATTTCCATAATGGTAGTCAAATTGGATCAAAGGAAGCGAAATATTTACATAATCAAAAACATCATTTGATGGCATGGTTCTACTTAACAAGAGATGTTTTTACCGAAACTTTACAGAAACAAGAAAACAGAGGTCTGCAATGACGGTGAATAAATATAGACATTTAGGAGAAAAGAGTCACTCAGACAAGGAAAAAATAGTTGGTTGAAAGGGTCTATCATAGAAGCAACACTGAGACATCAAAATATTTTCTTTTGGTTCTAGGAACTTTTACAGAGTTTTGTCCAAACCCGGGTCGTAATGTACAACTTCTATCTTCAAGTGTTGAGGCTGAGATGATTCGTGTTTTTTCATGTTCTATCTGGGATCTTAAATGAGGGAATATGTCTTTAAATTTGGTCTACCGTTTTTATTTGTTCGGATGCCTTCTTTCCCCTATCTGTTTATATTTATCAACCATTCTTACCGGCCAGCGTTTGTTTAATTCTGCAAAAACTTTGTCAGGTTAAATTAATTAGTACGGGTACAACTCTACAGATCTCTGGCCACGGGGTATGGCATGGTAAACAATTCAATGAATGTGTCCCGAAACTGGAATATCATGAACATAGTTATATTAACTGGTTTTTTACCAACTACATATGATAACGATTTAAAAAAGTTTAGACTAAAACAAAAGAGAATATCCAATTATATCAACAGCAAAGATAGAAAGATTGCTTAGAATTTTCCAATAAAATAAATGAGAATGAGTTGGAATTCCAGATTCTTATGATAATGTATAAATTGAATCTTTGAAATTTTTATCGTTTTGAACCTTGAATGATTGGTGGATGGTTTTCTCGAATCGCAGGTTATGTCTATGCGTTTATTCTATAGGTTTTATGGTTGTATTTTTAAATCTTTGTAATGTTTCACTTGTCGTAAATACTTGTTGATAGATATAATTTTGGAATAAGTTATCTAATCTAGATTTTCGGGAACTTTAACTAGTGATACAACGACGTAGGGCACTTAGTCCATTTGTTTTTCAAAAAAAACTTCTTGAAGAGTAAATACTTCAATTTGAATAATACGAAATCTCTATGAGGGAGATTTGAATCTGAGAAAAGCTCTAAGAAGTTTGGTATATAACAGAACTGATTTGATTCAAATTATGATCTTAAAAATATCGTCTGACATTTGATGCATTATTTTCAGTATTCTCCATAATTGATTGACAACCAAGAGTTCATCATTATATCATTTACCCCAACTTTTCATACTCACACCATCTAAGATCAACAAAACAAGAAAAATTTTTAAAAAATATAATCATCATATTTCCTGCAATCATTTCATTTTGAAAAAAAATTGATAAGAGAATTATTGTATCAAATTTAGTATGGAAGTAAAGATGTTAATTAAGTGCTAAATCAAACGTTTGGTCCCTACTAATTTAATCGTTCTCATACCGCAACAGCACAAACCTTAATTCATTGAACATATTTAGTGAGATATGAATTTTAACAAAAAATAAAAAAATAAAAAAGAATTTACCGGGGGTTTTTTTATATAATCGCAAATCAATTTGAAAATCAATTCAAAGTCTGATCTGTATTTCTAGATTCAATTCATTCTCAGGTGATACGTTGGTTTGGTTTCCTATTAATATGAAAATTAGTGATGGAAGAGAAAATCTTGAATAGAAACTCAGGATGAAAGTCCCGTTGATTTAAGGAGATTGTAATTTATGATTGTAATATTTTTAAAACTTTGATCCTATCTATCTTAAAAAAGAATAAATGTGTGAATTCACTTCATTATTATTAATATTTTTGATACAGAATTTCAGTTATTTCCACCGTTATAGGTCAAAATATTAAATAATATATTTTGTAAGGTATATCGAGGTATAATATTATCATGAAACTAGCCCAAAAATTTTATTTTGTGTAGTTTATCTATAACCATTCATAAGTGGCTTAAATTTTTAGTGTTAGGTAGATAATTAAATATCATATCTCGTCTAAGTGTTTTACGAGAGTATATCTAGTTGGAATACAATAGGATATGAAAAACTATATACATTCAATCTCATATTGTTTTATATTTGAAGACAGAACCAAAACCTTTTTCTTAGTTTTAAGTTTTTGCATTGTTTTTTTATTTATATGAAGTGTTTTTCAACAATAAGAAATTGAAATATGAAGTACCAACTCTCAACAAATTTTTCAAATCAAATCAAAGATTAAACATAATTCTATTGGATAGTGATTTCGGTCTATTTGAGTGATTTAAGGATATTATCGCTAACTTGAATTAAAGGAAAAATCTGTTGATAATTAATACTCTTTAATGATCTAAAAATTATTTTTTTTTGAAATCAATAACGTTTGGATACTATTTATTCAAATTATTATTGATATTATATAATTGATGATGAAATAGTTTCTTACAGGTTTATTATAATAATTTTGCATTAATAATTTACTATCTATATATTATATATCTTTGTACTATATATATTGCATATATTATGTATAACTTCTTATCTTTAAAGTTTTACTTCTTATCTATTAATTTAAATATTTTTTATTATTACAGGTTTCATGTTTCACGTGACTGAACTATTTTAATTGGTCAATCGCTTTATCATATCAGCTAAATTTGGTAGCAGTGAAACAAAAATATATTTCTTAAATTTTTTGAAAAGATAAGAGAAATAAACTTAAAAAACAATCAAACAAATAAAGAAAAGGATATATGAAAATCGTTTATTGTTTTTTTTTAACTTTGTTTTAATTCAATCTACATTAAGCGATATAATATGATTCACTTCAAACAAACAAAAAAGAGGGCGTTTTGGCATCGTTTGTTTGAAGCAGTCATATATCAGGCAATTTCAAGTCACTTAAGTGGTTTTTTTTCTACACTAAATTCTGAAACTAAACTAATTAATAATAATCAATTTAAAACAAAGAAAAATATAGAGATAGAAGAAGAAGAAAAAAAATAATATCTTAATAAATAATATCTCTTATCTTTAAACAATTTGCAAAGTCAAAAATATTATTATTCAACCATTTTTTTCTTTTTCCTTTTTCATTTCGTATATGTATTCGAAATCATAATACAAATTTCAATTTTGAGTATCCTTTTTTAAAAATCTGAACATTTTTCATTTTTCCATCTGTTGAAAATATATATATATATAAACAGATCCTTCTTTTTTGATAAATTACATATACTATTTTCATTTTTGTTTCGTTTATTTTGAATTTCAAATTTTGAATCAAGTTTGAAACATAATTGATTTTTTAATTCATTTAATTTTCATTTCAATCTTATTTATACTTTTCATTCCTTAACAATTCATAATTATTATCACATTTGATTAAATTTTACAATTCTTAGAAACACGAGACTAATATAAATAAGAATAAACAAAAATCAATATGTCGGATTCAGGTTATACAGAATCAGGTACAGGAGGAGATGTTTTTAAAGTAGATTTAAATAAACAATTTGAACAAGCAGATATGGTATGGATAGCAACTGCTGGAGTATTAGTTTGGATAATGATACCAGGAGTTGGTTTATTATATAGTGGATTATCAAGAAAAAAACATGCATTAAGTTTAATGTGGGCAGCATTAATGGCTGCTTGTGTTACAAGTTTTCAATGGTTTTTTTGGGGTTATTCGTTAGTATTTGCTCATAATGGTTCAAAATTTTTAGGAACTTTACAGAATTTTTGTTTAATGGATGTTTTGGGGGCACCTTCAATTGTTACAACCGTTCCTGATATTTTATTTTGTTTTTATCAAGGTATGTTTGCTTGTGTAACTGGTATCTTGATGGTTGGTGCAGGTTGTGAAAGAGCAAGATTAGGTCCAATGATGGTATTTTTATTTATTTGGTTAACAGTTGTTTACGCTCCTATAGCTTATTGGACTTGGGGTGGTAATGGTTGGTTATTTAATTTAGGTGCCCTTGATTTTGCAGGAGGTGGACCAGTTCATGAAAATTCTGGTTTTGCTGCTTTAGCTTATTCTTTATGGTTAGGTAAAAGACATGATCCAATTGCTCAAGGTAAAGTTCCAAAATATAAACCTCATTCAGTAAGTTCAGTTGTTTTAGGTACTGTATTTTTATGGTTTGGTTGGTTTGGATTTAATGGTGGTTCAACTGGTAATGCTAATATGAGATCTTGGTATGCATGTGTGAATACTAATTTAGCTGCTGCTACTGGTGCTTTAACTTGGATGTTTATTGATTATTTTAGAACTGGTGGTAAATGGTCAACTGTTGGTTTATGTACTGGTGCAATTGCTGGTTTAATTGGTATTACTCCTGCTGCTGGTTATGTTCCTGTTTATACTTCAATAATATTTGGAATTGTTCCAGCAATTATTTGTAATTTTGCAGTTGATTTAAAAGGATATATTGGAATTGATGATGGTATGGATGTTTGGGCATTACATGGAGTTGGTGGAATGGTTGGTAATTTTATGACTGGTTTATTTGCTGCTGATTATATTGCAATGATTGATGGTACAGAAATTCAAGGTGGTTGGATGAATCATCATTGGAAACAATTAGGTTATCAATTAGCAGGAACTGTATCAGTTGCTGCTTGGTCATTTGTTGTTACTTCAATTATATTATTAGCAATGGATAGAATACCATTTTTAAGATTAAGATTACATGAAGATGAAGAAATGTTAGGAACTGATTTAGCACAAATTGGTGAATATGCTTATTATGATGATAGTCAAGATCCAGAAAATTCTCCTTATGTTTTAGAACCAATTAGATCAACTGAAGCAATGATGGAAAAATTAAAAGCTTCAACTTCAAATAAAAAAGAAACTACCGCAGCAGGTAATGAAGAAATTGATGGAATTGCACCAAGTGATGAACATGATGACTCACTTGATAGTGATACCAAAAAATAAATTAAGTCAATGAATCAAAGTTTTAGTGGATCTTATTTCACTTAACTTAAATTGTTTGAATAATTAAAAAAAAAAAATTATCTTAATTAAATCTTAAATTTTAAATGTTTCTAGTTCTTCTTGGTTAAAAAAATAGTTATATATTAATAGTTTTAATGCAAAAATTTAATACTTATTGAACATTTTATTCTAGACTTTATTCTATTATACTTTACAATGTTCGTTTTCAATACTTGCAAAAGTGATATTTAAGTTCTTATGTTAAATGCAAGACTGTACGGTAATTTGTACCACCGTTTAATGGCACTATCATCAATAAAACACAGTTCATATTTTAAGAATCGCCCAAAACTATTATGAATATTGAATAAACGTATTCTTTTTTTCCTTATGAATTTAATTGTAACATCTTCCCTTTACTCTCAAAAATTAGTTGCCAATATTGCCCATCACCTAATTGAGTTATTGTTTCTGAGGACCGTTTAAAATTTCAACTTATCCTGATTTAGCTTAATGCATTTGGTTCTACCAACTCTAATACTTTTAAAACTTCATATTGTGTATTCGTTGTATCCACAATTTCGTTTTTTTCATCATTGTGGACCTAGCCAGTAATCATTTTTCTTTTCTTCATATTCTATCCAATAAGTTCACCATCCAAACCATGACCCACTCTCTTCTTCTCGTAAAGTATCACCTAATTTGGCCAGTCTGTAATCACCATTACACTTAGTTAATTTTTCAAGTTCATATTGCGGAACGTCAGCATTATCATTATCATTTACCAATAATAATGATGAAGTTAAAGTTTCACAACATGAGCTGGAAGAATTAAATGAATGTATAGTAATCTCCATTCTCTTCTTGCGCCAAATAGCATCCCTTAATGCATCAAGCCTTTCAAAGTAAGTCTAGTTTTACCATAACCGATAACTTAGCACCTTGTAGTCTATCATCAATAATTCTAATTCTGGTACTACCTTTTTCTTTTGTTTGCTCTTCAAAAGCTAAAAACTTTGATACTGGTTTGAGGATTACATTTAAAGCATCCCAAATATCCGTGAAGAAAAATCTCAATTTAATAATATTCAATTTCAGATATGAATCATCATGAAGTGATCATATCTTGTTCTTTGATTTTTTCACCATCCAAACTGATCATGTACTTGATAATTTTCTCATTCAATCTTCTAATGTGAATTCTCTAGATAGATCCAACCCAAATCTATTCATGAAGTAAAAATCAATATCAAATACGACTCATATATCAGACTATATACTATCAAATTGCAAACTTGCTTCACGGATATTAGAGATACCTTAAATGATAAAAATGATCCATTCTTTCAAATTTTATAAAATTTTAGAAAACATATGAATATTGAAATATTATAATGTATACTTGATTCACTTACCTTCAATGAAGTAGTAATTGACTTAACACAAATCCATTCTGATATATCGTTATTGTTATTCTTTGAAAGTTGGAAAAACATGAATAACTAACTCTCTTTATATATATTCTCAGCAATTTTTTTTTTTCAACTACTTTGCACCAATACAGCCATTTTTTAATTATTAGGCTACACTAATAATTACACTTGAAATAATGAAGCTTACCTTACTGCGGATAACTTAGTTCTAACATTGAACCTAGGACAAGAAGACCTTAATTTTTAAAGAGATCATAATCCATAAGATACTAATACTACAAAATTAAAACTTCAAAAGTCATATCAAATTAATATAAAATTTATAAAAGGGTATTAAATAAAGAAGTAAATGAATTTATTAATATCAAAATATAATAGTAATACAATTGAAGTTAGTGGTTCCTTCCAAACAAACAAATAAACAAAATCAAACAACTATTTCTAATTAAATTTAATCACTATCTGAACCATGATGAATACTTGCACTTTCTTCATGATGAGTATAACTTGGATCATAAGCAGAATCTCTTAAACTTCCTTTTCTAGTAAATTCAACTAATTTAACACCACCATTTGAATTTATTGAATTATCGTTACTACCCAAATTCTCATTTGAATTTGATTTCTTTTGAGGTGATGATGATGATGATCTTAATTTTGTATCATATATGAATTTTTCACTTGATATTGAACCAAGAGATAATTGTGATAAATTGGGATTTTGAGTTTTTATATTTAATGATTTTCTTGGTGATGATAAATTTGATGATTTTAATGGACTTGATGTTGGTGAAGGTAGTTGTGTATGATTAAATGTATATGAAGTTGTATTTAGGGATTGTTGTTGTTGTTGTGGATTTAAGGTTGTATGTGTGTTTGTATTTAAATGTTCTTCAGGTACTATATCTAATTGTGAAGGTGATTGTGAAATTCTTTGTCTTTCAGGTGATGACATTTGCAGTTGTTGTTGATTTGGTAAAGGACTTAAAGCGTTATAATCAGTTATATTACCTTCTGAATCTAATCTTTGAATATTTGAAGAATTTTCTCTTCTTAATAAAGCATTTAATGATTGATTACTTAAATATTTTGATGAAGTTAATCCTGAATTTCTTATAGATTGATCTTCAACTAATCTTACAGAGAAAAGTTGTTCAGTATTCACTGTGGATAATGAAGCATCACTATTTCTATTATTATTATTTGTAGTTGTTATTGGTTGTATATCATCAGATTCAGTATTTGCTCTCCAACTTTTCATCGGTTGTTCTTGAGTATCAAAAAATGTTGTATTTTCGGATTCAACATGAGTTAATGAAGAAGATGATGAATTTGGTGATAAATCTTCTAATTTCATTAAATTAACTTGTGATTCATGTTTTGGATCAATTGGTAATATTCCACCTTTTGTAAAAGTTCCATCATTATTATTTGTAGTAGTTGATGAAGTAATTGTTCCCTTTTCTGAATCTGAATCTTGTTTATTTTTTCTTCTTTTATAACAACAACAAAATAAGAAAAGACATGCTAATAATATTAAAAATACTGGTATACCAACACCAAGTCCAATTGCTAAATCTCTGTTTCTGTTTGAATTTGAATGAGATGTTGTAGCAGCAGATGTTGAAGTCTCTGATGTTTCTGTCGATGTTGCAGTGGCAGATGCTGCGCTTGAAGTAGATGATGATGATGATGTAGTTGAACTTGAAACAGACAGGGAAGAACTTGTAATTTCTTTATTAACTCCCCTTATATTAAAACTTCTTGATTCATCTTCTGAATCCATAGATCCTTCTATTGTAATTTTTAATTCATCAAAATTTTTTGGAGTCAAACCATTTAATGTTCTATTGTTATTATTGTAGTTTAACCAATTTGCATCATCATATGAAACTTTAATATCGGTTTTATTAATATTAGTAAAAATTGAACTTAAAATTTGATATTGAAACCATTCATCTTTTGTAGCATTTACATCATTTAATGAATCAATAGTGAAAATAGATCCAATAGTATCAAATGAGTAACCAATATCTACTGTATTACCATAAATATCTCTAACAGTTATTGTAAAATTATTAGTTTCCGAACTATTTGGTAAATTACCAATTAAAGCATAATCATCCTCATCTAATGATAAATAATTTGGTAAATTATTTCCATAAACTTCTGAAATATTATCTTTTGTAATTAATTCACCATCTAAAAATACATTTGATAAAATTGGTATAATTCCATCAATATCTTGTTCAAAAGTACCATTAATTTTTATAGTATCATTTAAATTTGTATTTAATTGATGACCTCCAACAATTAATTTAAAATTACCTGATGCACCAGCATAACCATAATAATCACTCGCAATAAAACTAAAACCATATTCAAATGATGGAGCATTTTCTGAAGTAACTTGAGGTACAGTACCTGAAAATGTTAAATCATCACCATTAAATGATAACCAATTTGGTAATGAACTTCTATCAGCTGATCTACCATAATAAGCAATAATTGGTCTATTACTTGATGAATAACTTTCAAAAATATCTTTATTAAATTTTAAATTTATATTTTCACCTGGTTTAACAACTAATCCATTATTACCATTAGTTTTACCAAATGATGTTATAGCTTGATTCATAATATTTGAATCTACAAGATGTAATCCAGTATCATTTGATACAATCATATTATAATCATTTGACATTGTTGATTGATCACTTTCATCTGTACCTTGTAAAGTAATTTGAAATTCTCCAACATTTGATTCATCGGGTCTACCAGAAAATGTTCTTGAATTTGAATCAAATGTTAACCATGATGGTAAATTTGAAGCTTGATAAGTAATTTGTCCATTACTATTAGATTTATAAGTTGTATTTGCTATTGTAAAAGAATAATCTTCATTAATTCTTCCAACATTTGGTAATTGTTCATTAAATGGGAAACCCATATATATAGATGCCAGTATTAACTGTATAAATATTAGAAGATTAAATATTGTTATGTTCATCTTCTATTTGTTTTGATTTGTCCTTAAGTTCATAAGATGTTGTTGTGAGTAGTTTTTTGGAATTAAATGAATGAATGTGTGTATTTTATTTTTGACGATAAGTTGAATTTTCCAATTAGTTTTATAAAGGAATGACGAGATTTCAAAGTAAATTTGATGGGAGTAAATAGTTGGAATTGATCGATTTTGTAATTTTAGTTTTATGAATGAGTAATTTAAAGGAATGGAGTGTTGATAGATATGATATTGTAAAAAGGATAGTCAAAAGTAGGATAAATGGTTGTCAACTGATGATAATTTCTCTCTGATAATATTTTGGTTGTAAAAAAGAATGTTAAAAAAAATTAACACGAAAAATAAAAATATAAAAAAAATAAAAAAAAAAAAAAAGAGAACAATAATAAATTTATATTTTTCTTTCTAAGATAATAAACTACGAAATAATTTTCAGAAAGGAAAGTACTTGTACCCAGCTCTTTCAACACTGCTTTATCATATGATACCAAACAACATCATATGAAAACTAACTTACTTTATTATAAGACCATTGGAATCCAAAAAACTTACCTAACTAGTTTTGGTCCTTTCTCGTAACGTTTTTGTGTAACTTTAGTTTTTATTTTTTTTTCTCGTAAATTAAATTTTTATTATTATTATCATTTTAGACGCGTATTTAAATTATTTTAAACATCTTAACATACATACTTAATAAGTGTTAACTTATATCGTCAAAATACACAAACTCAATATGACATTCAAAGGGGTCTTTTCTTTGTTGTTTTTGAATTTTATGAATAAACTTCTTCAAAATTTAATTGAGTAACCTAATTGGGTTAAATTCCTAATTGTTTGAAGAATACGAGGTAACTTCTTAAAAAAGAGTATTACAACTGTTTTTGAAAAGCAGATTTGATGAGCAATTATATGTCCTTTCTTTCGACCTTGTAGTTAAAAATAACCAAGCCGAAGGTAATATGAGTAAACTTGGTTGAAATACACTTACGTAGTAGTTTAAACATGATTTAAGGTTTGACTTGAAAACTAAGTAGAGTTGTGTTAAAGCCGTATTATTATATTTAACCATTTTACTATTATTAGTAAAAAAATATTTTAAAAGGTAAACTACATCCGTACTACAATATAAATTAATCTTCTCCTAATCTCTTTTTGAACTAATCAAACTCCAGAATAGAATCACAAGCTCATCATTAAAGACTAATTCTATTAATCTAGTATGATCGTGATGTATTTTTGGTTATTTTTCAAATGTATTTTGAGTGTATTTTGAGCATAAATGTGGAAATTTGTTGAGATACTATGATTGTAATTCAAATATTTTAAAGAAAAATTGCTCTAATCTTTTTCATTTAAAATAATTTTATTACAAAAATTTGAGAAACTGACCATGTGAGTTGCTTAATTTCAAGATTTAACTAACTTTACTGTATTAGCTCTTATTGGCATTGAAAATTTCTCACTTCAATGCTTTCTTTTGGTTTCAAATAAGCCACTTTAATTTAATTACTACAGCATAGTATATATTCGTAAAAAAATCTGAAACACGTAAATTAATTTAAATAAGTCGTTATGCATATGTCAAATCAATTAAATCATTTCAATCTGAGACATTATGCAAAATGAATTATGAAACTTCATAAGAGAACATAGTAATTTACAAAATACATATAAAGAATAAACAATGTAAATGACTTTTATGAAAATTAATATATATAGGGTATTGAATTCAAAATATTCAAAAATTTTATATTGACAAAAATTAAAACCAAAATAACAAAAGTTGAAAATTTATGAAATGATTAATAGATTAAGATAAACGAAAAAAAGAATGTGAAAATGGCTTGATTGTTCTTGTTTTTTCTTTAGGTTCTTCAATACTCTTAGATTAAAGCAGCAATAGCAGCAATTACACCACCCATAGCAACACCTGGTAAGATAGCATTATTTTCTAATGCTTCACTTATTGAAGCAATTTCGGAATCAGCAGAAGCAGTTTCTGTAGCAGAGACACTTTCATCAGCAGATTCTTCAGCAATAACTTCTTCAGTAGTTTCTGGAGCAGTTGAAGTTTCAACAGCAGCAACAGTTGTAGCTTGTTCTTCTTCTGATTGCGCTTCACCTTCAGCAGCAACAGTAGATTGTTCTTCTTCAACTTCAGCAGCAGTAGTAACAGCTGGTTCAGGAGCAACACTAGTTTCAATTGGTTGAGTAGCTTCAACACTTGAAGCTTCTTGAGCTTCAGTAGTAGCAACAGCTTCAGTAGTTGCAACAGAAGTAGCAACAGCAGCAGCAGCTTCAGCTAAAGCAGCAGATGCATCATCTGGAATAAACCAATAAGGCTCCCAAACACCAGCACTTGAACAAATTGAAGTAGCTAATGATTCAACAGTTATAATAGCATCACCTTGACAATTTTCAGCAACACAATTAGCAATTGCTCCACCAAATTGTGGCATAACACATAAACAACCAGTATCCCAATATGGACAAGGGGTTGAACCAGTTGATTCAAAAAAACATGGTTGAGCACATTCTGGTAATTGATCATAAATTCTATCAGCAAATCCATTAATTGAAGCTGTTCTTGGAACACTTGGAAAAGTGGCGTATGGATTTTCAGCGGTTTCAACAGTAGTAGCCATTTTTTATGTAAATTTTGATAATGCTATATGAAAATTTTTTTGATTTGCAAAGAGCTAATTGAAAAATATTTTGAAAGATCAAGCAGTAAAGATATACCCATTACTTTATATATAACTTGTTAAAATAAAAAAATAATCAATAAACTTTTTCAATATTATTAATTCGACCAAAAGTGGGACTATCATTGACTGTCTGGGAACTGAGTTTTTTCCCTCGAAGCAATATAAATAATTCAATTTTCTTGGTTTCAAATTATTATATTTATTAATACTTAGTAATTTTAAAATAATAATTTACTACTCAAGTTTGTTTAAATTTTGACTTACAAAAACATGATCTTTAAAGTCTCAGTCATTCTGCTCATGAATAAAGATCATCTACCCTACAAAGCAATAGCAGTAGAACTCAACGCGTGTAACAAATATGTTCAATAAAGAGATTGTAGAGTTTAACTTTCAATGTTTACCAACTTGAACTTTATAAAACAAAAAGTAAACAAAATAATAAAATAATTTATTATAACTCGTGTTTTATTCAAAGTAATCTTGGCCAAAAGTTCTTAAAATCGGCTTTCCCCCAACTAAGTAAAATTTGGTTGGTCTTCTTAATATGTATAAAAAAGAAACTATACAAGGGTATGAAATATAAAGTGTAAAAAAATGAATCTTAATCAAAAATTCAAACTTTTTTTCACAAATCTTATTGTTTTAAAGCTTAATTATTTAAAATCTTAATCTATTAAACATGTGAAGGCGTATTCTTTTAAACTTTCTAATATTCAGTTACAACTTTTAAATTTTTTTTCTAGCGGAAGTTTGAGGCAGTACTTTTGCTCAAGGTATTCATCACTTGGTGATTTATCATTGGATTTTAATTTATTGTCCTACTTTATTTTTATTTTTGAAATTTCATTTTGTGTTCTTTTTGTCAATAATTTTTTGCAGCCAAATTATAATCACTTTTCCGTATGCAGTACACAAAAGATTCAAAAAAAATCAATTGATGAAAAAGATAACTTCATGAAGCAAAAATCTGCAAGATCTATGTCCCGTAGATATAAGATATAGATATAGATCTTATAGATAAACAATTTCAACAAGTGAAAATCTGCATGATTCTAGTAGAGTCTAAAAGGTAAATCGGTTTAATGAAAAATTTGAAACAAATGTTAATTGGACTATTAAGATTAAATGTATTAGACATACACAAAGAGATGAAAAATTAAATTGAAAAACATTTTGAAAACTAGATCTTTTGGAAAATTATGAACAGTGTAGCAAACTGTTGTTTAAGATTTCAGAGAAGAATCTAGATTAAAGCAGCAACAGCAGCAATGACACCACCCATAGCTAAACCTTTAACAGCAGCACCATTAGCAACTTCAACTGAGATTGATGAGGCTTCTGCATCAGCACTTGATGATGCAACAACTGAAGTTGAAGCTGAACCGGATTCATGATCGTGATCGTGGTCATGATCATGGTCATGGTCATGGTCATCTTCTCCTTCAGCTGCAGCACTTGATTCAGCAGCAGCAGTAGTTGAGCTATGTTCTTCATGTTCTTCAGCAGCGGTAGTAGTGTCATGATGTTCTTCTTCAGCAGAAGTAGCAGCAGATGTAGTTTCTTCAGGAGCAGCAGAAGTAGTTTCTGGAGCTTGAGTAGTTGATGGAGCAGCAGTAGTGGTTTCACTAGTAGCTTCTTCTTCTTGAGTTGAAGTCGGAGTAGTTTCAGCTTCAACAGTTGCAGCAGCATCTAAAGCAGATGAAGCACTTGCTGGAATCATCCAATAAGGTTCCCAAACACCAGCACTTGAACAAATTGAAGTAGCTAATGATTCAACATTAATAACTTCTTGACCTTTACAATTCTCAGCAACACAATTAGCAATTGCACCAGCAAATTGAGGCATAACACATAAACATCCGGTATCCCAATATGGACAAGGAGTTGAACCAGTTGATTCATGCATACATGATTTAGCACATTCTGGTAATTGATCATAAATTCTATCAGCAAAACCGTTAATTGATGCAGTTTTTGGAACACTTGGGAATTGAGAAAATCCACCTTCAATATTGAATCCTGAAGCCATTTTTAATTTATATAATTTTTTATTATTTGTATTTCAAAGTTTATGAGCGAATGACTTTTGATGAATCTTAAAGTTAAGTTAAAATTTAAATTTTTATTTGTAGCCAAGATATAATGAAAAAAGTAAAATATAATAAATAATCTTATAACTTGAGGGATTCAATTGATTTTTTATATGTCAAAATAATTCATTAAAAATTGTTTAAAGATTCACGATCAAAAAATTGTAAACAATAAATGCCAAAAAAACTAACTGAAAGAGTAATTTCAAAAATTGTACAAGAACATGTTTTAGAAAACAACCAAAAAATAAAGCAAATTTTAACCATTGCTGCGTTTTGAGAAATACTTCCTCAATAATACAAATTTTAACAAATAGATTAATGTTCTCAAGTAGGAATAATATTAAAAAAAAAAGCTTGTTCCAGGTACTTACAACCAAAGTCTAAAATTAAAATCACAAACTCAAGTTCTATTAATAACAATGTCAAGAAATCTATACGAATAATTTCTTGTATGAAAACTATTTCGTGAACGCAAAATGCCTATTTGTCAAATTCAAATTCAAACTCAATATTCATGCATCAAATGCTTGTTATGAGGTTTTGAGTAATTTCAATTTTAATAAAGTTTACATCTTTTTCATTCAGCCTTGACCCTTTGATTCCAAATTTGGTAATTAAAAATACAAATTTGAGTACGACCGAAAGTAAAACAATTAATGATTTGTTTAAAACAGAGGTTATTAGAGACTCAAAATAGCAAAAGTTTACTTCTTACTTATTGTTAACCAGAGCGGTTTTGAAACTTCCCGATCCTTTGTTTCTGGTTTGTACAACTAGACGTATATATTCTTCGAAAATATTAAAACAATTGAAGTTTTTCGATTATCGGATCTGATAAAAATTTCTTCTTATTATAATTTTTGTAATATTTATGCACCGTTTACTAAATATTTAATTAATACATCTCCATAAAAGATTACACTAAACGCATACTGAAACAAGGTTTCTTAGTTTCAACTATTTAATTTACCATGAAACTTTAAATTCTAGTAAGACCGATAAATTCATTCATTGATACTTTTCGTGACTAAATTTTAATATGGGGTTAATTATTCCTTCGAATAGTAGTTCTCGTAAGTAGAAAACGAGTTTATATTGGTGGATGCATTATAGGCATTTCTGATTTTGAATACTTGCAGCAATATGCAATTTTACTGGAAAAAAATAATTCATCTTATTCGATTACACAATTGAAAGACTTTTTTCACTCGTGGATTATGGATTAAGCCTTTCAAAAATTTTATCTATTTCATCGATTCGAGGAATTACAAAAAAATAATAAAATAATTAAAAATATTTACTAAATATTCACTAAAATTTCTTTGAATGATCACAAAAACTCACCATACTATAATCGGATCAAATTCAGATTTGAAGGATTCGGTAAATGTCAAACATCATACGATATAAAAATGTACTTTTCATAAAAGCCGATTGTAAAAATTTGATAGAGAGATTGATTGAAAAAATTGATATCTAAGTTTGGTGTCTTGAAGATTTGATTGATACCAGAAGTATCTTCATGTAAGAATATGCTATTCGAATCTGAATTATTTTTTATCATCACGATACGAAAAAGAGTACGTTTTTACATCACTCATTAAAAGACATTTATTATAACTACTTAATTAACTCCTATTAAGTTGTTTCAATAGACGTTATAGTTTAAAAAAATAAACTTACTAAAAATCCTAAAATAACTGTTCCAACACTACCTGTTTGTAAAATTGCCAAATTTGAAGTTGATGAAGTATTTGTAGTAGCACTTGTTGAAGAAGATCCAGTGTTACTAGCAGAAGATGAATTTTCTGTTGAAGTAGCAGCAGCTGAACCAGATCCAGAATTTGAATTTGAAGAAGCAGAATCAGTTGAACTTGCAAGATTAGTATCTGAACTTCCTGAACCAATAACCCATTGCATAGCAGTTTTATCTGTTAATGTAGTTACTTCTCTTGCATTTCCAGCAGCAGTTTCTAACATTGTTGAAATTGAAGCAGGCATCATCCAAGTATTAGCTCCAACAGTTGAACATAATGAAGTAGCAATATATCTTGCACTTTGAACATCTTCTCCTTGACAATTTTGAGCAATACATTGACCAACTAAACCTGACCATTGAGGCATAACACAGAAACAACCAGTATCCCAATAAGGACAAGGGGTATTACTTGTACTAAATTTAACACAATCTTTTGCACAATCTGGTAAAACATCAATTATGGGATCAGCAAAACCATTTATTGATGCAGTTTTTGGAATTTGTGGATAAGTAGCCCAATTATCTGCTGCTTGAGTTAATGAGAAAATATAAAGTGATAAAATTGAAATGAATAACATCTTTTTAATTTAATTTAGTATTAATCTTGAAGTTGATGAGTTTAGAAAATTTTGTGGATATATAAATTTAATGTAGTGATGATGATATTTTTGAGGATGATAATGAATGTGAACTTATTAAAATTTTCAAAAGTAATAAAACTTAAATTTGATGATTTGAGTTTTTATCTATAATGATAGAATTTGGAAAAATATTTGGTCTTAGTATACTTTTATATAAAATTATATAAGATGAAAATCTTATTAAGATTTAGGAATTTTAGCTTTCCGAACTAATGTTACTATTAAAATCCAGTATATAATAATTAAGGTAAGGATTTGATAGATTTTAGTATCCCAATAAACCGAAGGTAAAAAATACAATTGAAGAATACAAAATTATAAGACTTTTCATGACTATTAAGTTATTTAGGTTAGTTATTTTATTTCTAATATTATTGAAGTTATAATTATTATTTATTGAATTGATCAAATAGATAATTTATTATAATACTGCATAGAAATACGGTTTCAAAATATTAATGTTAAGTAAATGTACATTATACTAAACAAGCAACACAAAAACAAGTTACATATTGAAATTTATTTTTTTCACAATTGAAGTTAAAACTTGGCAATTTGGTTTTTCGATAATTCCACCAATCAACTAAATTCAAACTTTCATACTTTCTTTAATAAAGTAGTAATATAATATTCAACTATAAGACATTAATGTAAACTGTTTAATTTCATCCCTTATACTGGCTCTAAACAAAGTCTGTTAACACAAAAGAAACAAATTGATGAGTTTATGCTCTAACTGAAACCAAAGTATTGTTTGTTTAAAGTTTCTCGGTAAATTGAGTATTTTAACAATCACTCGTTTTCGATAAATATAAGAGTCTTCATTTGTGTATGAAATGTTAGCGATATGTCATCTATCCACTCTTACTCAGTTTACATTTGTGTATCTCTATATTTCACAAATTTTTTTTTTTTTTTTTTCTCAAAATCTCAAACACATTATTATCAGATTTAAAATTATTAAAAAGTATAATAAAGCATCTTGGAAATCAATTTAATACAAGTCAAAATATTTCATTTTTTTATTCAATCATAATTATTTTATTTTTAAGATTCTTTATATGGTTTTCCTTATCTTTTCAATCAATCTTACTTAAAAAGTTTTTTCAATAAATTTTTTTGCTTTAATTTCATATATAATTACCACTTAATTAAGGGATCTACAAGTTTTTTGTATTTTTTCATCATCATCATCAAATTCAATCAACTTTACTACCCACAGACCCAAATACAATAAAAGATGATTCCATTTGATCAACAATTTTTTGTTGAAAAACAAAGAAATAATACATATGAATGGTTAGTTTTTATAATTACATTAATACTACTAGGAGGTCATGGACTACTATTTCATTGGATACCTAAATTTTTAAGAATGAAAAGAACAGAAGAAGGTATAAAACATATTAAATTTTTTAAATTTTTGAAAAACTGGGATAAATTTACATCAGTTAGGAAATTTACAATATTTAAAAGATATTCATTTTTTTATCAACCAAGTCTTGTTTTATTTTGTTTTTTATTTGTTTGTTTTAATGTTGGATTATGTTTTGCACAAATTAAAGAAATTGATTATCAAGGACAAATGTATCCAATGTCAAAAAGAATTTCAAGAGTTGCTGTTGGTAATTTACCAATATTATTATTTAGTGTTGCAAAAAATGATATTTTAACAAATTTATCAGGATTTCAATTTGATAGGTTAGAATTTTTACATAAATGGTTAAGTAGATGGATGTGGATATTAATTTCAATTCATTTAGCTTTAGGAACATATTATTGGTTATCAATGAATTTTAGAATTATGATTATTATACCTCCTCAAATTTTTGGATTTATGGCTTATGGATCATTTTGTATTTTAACTTGGGGATCAATGAAATTTATAAGAAAATGGAGTTATGATTTTTTTTTAATTCAACATAGAGTTTTTGCTTTTATTATGTTATTTATGTCTTTCATTCATAATCCTGGAAATAGAGCTGCTGTTTTAATTTCAGTTCATGGATTAGTTATTGATAGAGTTATACTGAAAATTATGGCTTATATTCATAAAAATCATTCTCCAACTAAATGTAAATCAACTTTTGAAATTTTAGATGAAAATACAATTGAAGTTACAATACCAATAAAAACTGATGATTATAAATCAAATAAATGGTTTAATAAATTTTTATCTTATAAAAATTGGAAAGCTGGTCAACATATTTATTTAAATGTTGCAAAAGTTAAATGGTTTCAATATCATCCTTTTACAATTGCAAGTGTTTCTTCTTCAAATGATATGAAATTATTAATTAGAGTTCAAAAGGGATTTACTAAAAAATTAATGAAATATTTATCTGATGTTGATCATACAGAACATGATGATGAATTAACTACAATAAATACAATGTTTCATGGTCCTTATGGAGCTGTTCATCAACCATTTATAACTTTTGACCATTGTTTATTTTTTAGTGGTGGTTCAGGTGGTGCTTTTACATTCCCAGTATGTCTTGATTTATTAAAACAAATTGACGATAAAAATATGATTGGTGATTATTTATTTCGACCAAGAAATCCCAAAATTAGATTTGTTTGGGTTATTAAAAAGTATGAAAATATAATATGGTTTAAACATATATTAGATCAATTAATAGAATATTCAACATCAGGAAGATTAATTATTGATATTTATATAACTCAAGAAAGAAAACATAATTCAGTTTCATCAGAATCAACAAATGATATATTAATAGATCAAACTTCAATTGAATCAAATCTGGAATTATTAAAAAAGAATAATAATAATACATACGAAATACCTTTAAAACAACCTGATTTAATATATTCTGAAAAAACTATACCTTTACCAACAACATCAACCTCACAAACTTTACCAACTTTAAAATCATCTATATCTACATCTTCAAATATTGAAGATATTTCAAATTTGAATAAAGATACAATAGAAATTTTAACAACAAATGAACATGAGGAAGAAATTAAATTTCCAAAATATAATATATATTATGGTAGACCAAATATAGGAAAAATTATAAAAAATCATTCAATTGAATTAACAAAAGAAATGAAATTAATGAATTCTTACAAGACTTTATCTGTTGCTTCTTGTGGCCCTCCAATGTTTACAAATTTAATAAAGGAACAATGTCAGGAAGCAAGAAAAATAAAAAATTCTCCTGATGTTTATTGTTATACTGAATCATTTTAAATAACTACTTTTCATTTCAGTTCATTTCATTATTTATACTTGTTTATATTTATATAAGGTTTTAAAGGTTTTTCGTTTTTTCTTCTTTTGAATAAATATATTTATTTGAATGCTTTATAAAGTATTATCTAATGATTTTCTATTTTAGGTAATGTTTCAACATATTGAGCAGTATCTTGAGCTCTTCTTCTACCACTAATATATGTCATCATTTCAGAATAAGTTTGTGGTATAACTGAAAAATAACCATTTTCTTTACCAGCTGAACTAATTTTTGGAACAAAAAATGAATAAATAAAAGTACCTGCAGGTTTTGTATCTTTTGCTCCAAGATGCTGAATAAAAGTATCAACTTTAACTTGAACTAATGTACCTGGTTCATTTAAAAATACATCAGGTTGATTACTTATTTTATTCATTGATGGTAATTTAAAATCAAATGGTGAATCAACATAATCTTCTTCATTTCCATTATGTAAATGTTCAGTATATGATATTGAAGCATCCATTGTTAAAACTGATCCAACAGGAACCGGAGTTTTAAAAGTTGTTGTATCTAAACTTACAAATCTTGGAGCAGCAGCAAATGTAGCAGCAGTACAATATGCTAATTCAAAAGTTTGTCTTAATAAATAACCTCCAAAAATCATATATGAATGACGATTTCTATATTGAGGTTGCATAAATAATGTTGATTTTTGTAATGTATTTTTCATAAAAGCTATTCCATCAGATTTTGTTTTATCTATATTTTTTGATGATTTCCACATATCATAAATCAATTTTGATTCTTCAGCTGTTGGTTCTATCATTGTTTTATTTTTTGCCATAAGTTTCTTCTTTGTGTTATGACTTTCTGCTCTTCTATAATCTATCCAGTCTTTTTCAGTTACTGGTAACAATCTATTTATAGCAAAAGATTTATGAGTTAATGGGTTTCTTGCAACAAATGTAAAATTTGCAGATAAAAATACATTTTCATCAGGTAATGAATCAGCAGTTATATTTTCTTCATTTATATCATTTTCAAATGCATAACCTTTTACGGTAATTTCCATACTTGATTTACCTGTCCATGTTACTGAACCAGCTAAAACAAAATTGAATTTAAAAATTTCATCAACTTTTTTAACCATATAAATTCTATCAACACTTGCAGTTACATTAACAGGTTCAGCTGGAGAACAATGTCTATAAGCAATTCTACCAGCTAATGAATCAAGATCTAATAAAATATTACCAACTCTTAATCGACTATATGCATTGATATATGCATCACAAAGCCATTTATCTTTTTTAAAAGGTAGTAATAAATAAGTAAATGAATCATTTCTTGTTTTATCAGTTACTTCAGTAGTAACAGGATTAACATAACTAAAACTGTCAATTCTTTTTCCTTCAGCTTTTAATTTATCTCTTTCATTCATTGCATCCAACCAAGTTGCTTTATTTGGATTAATTTGTCTATCCCTTATCTCTGCTAGTATCGTAGCAGCCGCATCTGCAGCATCTGCTGGCTCTCTTGAACCTGCTTCATCAGGACGATGAAAATTTAAAGGTTTTGATGAAGACTCTTGCGAGTTATATCGAATAGTATTTAAATATACTCGTGGTTTTATTGACCTTTTTAATGTTTGAAATTGATTTCTTTGTAGTGTTTTGATCATGATAGATTTTAAAAGCTTTTTGCAATCTAGCTATACCATTGAATTGAGAATACTAAAGGGATGCAATTATTATTTTATAATAAGTATCGTTTGATGTTCTATAAGATTGTATCGTATTAAACTAAGCGCGATTATAATTCATCCCGGAAGCTAGCGGGGTAACAAATCTGCGCGCGTAAAGAGGGGAAGAGATTGGATCTCAAGATTCGAATTTTAGACCAACAATTAATTCGGAGTTTTAAATGTTTAGTTGAGTATGAATATTTCGTTGAATTAAGAATCCAACACTAAGAGTGCAACTCAAACGGAATGCTTCATACAAATCATGCGAAGTATAAACGATGATGATAAATCTCAAATTAATTGTAATCAAAAATTTTTGTGATAATTTCATCTTACAAATTTGTCTTCAAACCTAATCAAAGTGAAGATCTAGGTTAACCAAACGCTTGTGATGATTCTAATGTTCGGAAAGAGTACTAAATCAAGTAATTTCAGCATATTTCTTATTGGATCTAGGAGTGTGAATTTAAATTATTGAATGAGCAGATTTTGATAATGAAGACTAGGTCGTTCCTACTTAAAGTTTTTATAATGATCATAATGGTCCACCAAATCATTGAAAATTTCATTAGTTTTCTGAAAACTGGACGGAAAAACTTCAGTATTGCGACTCTCGTTTTTTGTGTAACATATATTTCAAGTTGGACATTAAAGTCCGATCGAGATGGATGAATCTAGTCCGCAATTAGATTCTATTATCTCAAAATTGGGACGAGCTCGAGGGAAGAACTAGCGGTGTAACGTTTAAAAATTAGACGCAAAACCTTAATTATCGACCGCACTCTCGGTATTAAATTAAATTTACTTTTCTCTACATCATCAGAAATTATAATATTTACAATAAAATTAATTGATTAATATTATACAACTATACTTCATAGTGAAAAAAAGATATCGGTTTCTTGAAACAATCAATTCATCTCATCAACTACTCACATAACATACCTATTCCATCATTCACATATATACAGATCCTCCACATACTTAGCAATGAGTCCAATAACATCGTCAGTTGCTAGAACGGCTCAATTAGCTGCACAAGCCGTTAGATATAACAAACCATTATCAAAAATTGGTCAACAATCGGCTTTAAGAATGTCATTCCCACTTTCACAAACATCAACCAGATTAAATAATTCCAAATCCGGTCCACAAGAAATGACTGTCAGAGATGCATTAAATTCTGCATTAGCCGAAGAATTAGATAAAGATGATGATGTTTTCTTAATGGGTGAAGAAGTTGGTCAATATAATGGTGCTTATAAAGTCAGTAGAGGTTTATTAGATAGATTTGGAGAAAGAAGAGTAATTGATACGCCAATTACTGAAATGGGTTTCACTGGATTAGCAGTTGGTGCTGCATTACATGGATTAAAACCAGTTTTAGAATTTATGACATTCAATTTTGCAATGCAAGCTATCGATCAAATAATAAATTCTGCTGCTAAAACATATTATATGAGTGGTGGTATTCAACCATGTAATATTACTTTTAGAGGTCCAAATGGTGCAGCAGCAGGTGTAGCTGCTCAACATTCTCAATGTTATGCAGCTTGGTATGGTTCAATTCCAGGTTTAAAAGTATTATCTCCATATTCAGCTGAAGATTATAAAGGTTTACTTAAAGCCGCCATCAGAGATCCAAATCCAGTTGTATTTTTAGAAAATGAAATTGCATATGGTGAATCATTCCCAGTAAGTGAAGAAGTATTATCATCAGATTTCATTTTACCAATTGGTAAAGCTAAAATAGAAAGAGAAGGTACTGATTTAACTATTGTTGGTCATTCAAGAGCAGTTAAATTTTGTATGGAAGCTGCAGACAAATTGAAAGAAGATTACGATATTAATGCAGAAGTTATTAATTTAAGATCAATTAAACCATTAGATGTACCTACAATTGTTGAATCAATTAAAAAGACCAACCATTTGATAACAGTAGAAAATGGATTCCCATCTTTTGGTGTTGGTTCAGAAATTTGTGCTCAAATCATGGAATCAGAAGGATTTGATTACTTAGATGCTCCAGTTGAAAGAGTTACCGGTTGTGAAGTTCCAACTCCATATGCTAAAGAATTAGAAGATTTTGCTTTCCCAGATACAGAAGTTGTATTAAGAGCTTCAAAAAAAGTTTTGGGTTTATAAATCATTCAGTAAAAGAAACCAAAATATAACTTGTATACTTAATCAAACATTCATAAATTAAAAAAGTTAGTAAAATGTTTTACCTTTAGCATATTGTAGTTTGTTCTGTATTTGTCTCAATGTAATAATATATTATTCCGAGTTTTTGTGTGTTTTTTGGTCTATCACTAATATCAGAATTTTAAAAGATCAAGACAACTAACAAGGAATCTATAAAATTTACCAACCACACATGAGTCCGTCTCAATTATGTCCGAAAAATTAAGTCATCCTCCCAAAAATGAGTCAAACACACTAGAAAACCAGCTCAATTACAGACATGCAGCGTTTGAAGAAGAAAACGATGGTCTACTACCAATAACTCAACAAGATTTAAAACCTAAAGTCAATAGCACTACTAAGTCAGATCATCTACTACCTCAAGATAGAAAAGCATTTTTTATTCTAGTGATATTGTATTTATTACAAGGTGTACCTGTTGGATTAGCATTTGGCTCAATACCTTTTATTTTGAAAAGTAAATTAAGTTACTCACAAGTTGGAATATTTACTTTAGCAGCATATCCTTATTCATTAAAATTGATTTGGTCTCCATTTGTTGACTCCATATATTCAAAAAAGATCGGAAGAAGAAAATCATGGATCATACCTATTCAAATAATTTCTGGTTTGATCCTAATTTATTTAGGTTTTATAATTGATAAATTAATGGAAAATCCAAAACAATATTTAAATTTAATAACTTTATGTTTTTTTGTTTTAGTACTTTGTTGTGCAACTCAAGATATTGCAGTTGATGGCTGGGCATTAACTTGTCTTTCACCAGAAAGTTTATCGTATGCATCAACTGCTCAAACAATTGGAATAAATACTGGATATTTTTCAAGTTTTACAATATTTTTAGCACTTAACTCTCCTGATTTTGCAAATAAATATTTAAGATCAATTCCGAAAGATGTTGGATTATTCACTTTAGGTCAATATTTGAGATTTTGGGGATTCATGTATTTATTAGTTACAGGGATTGTGTTTTTTGTTCCCGAAGATCCTCCACATTTGATTAATAGTATCAAAGATAAACGTGTAAAGAATCAAGATGTTTATAATTTAAAAGACAAATGGACTCAGTTGACACAAGTATATTCTTCAATGTATGAAGTTTTAAAATTACCAAATGTTCAAACATTTGTAATTATTTTATTATTAGCTAAATTGGGATTTCAGGTGAATGAAGCCGGAACGAATTTGAAATTACTAGAGAAGGGGTTATCAAAAGAAGATTTGTCAATAACGGTCTTAATAGATTTTCCATTTGAAATGATATTCGGATATTATGCAGGGAGATGGTCTACTGGTAAAGCTCCACTAAGGCCGTGGATATGGGGTTTCATTGGAAGATTAGTCGCCGCAAGCTTAGCTCAGATGATTGTATATTTCTTTCCTGAAGATAGACAAGTTTCCAAAACATATTTTTTAATGATCATCTTACAACATTTATTAGGCTCTTTCATGTCAACTATTCAATTTGTTTCATTATGTGCATTCCATACAAAAATAGCAGATCCAGCGATCGGAGGAACCTACATGACAACTTTAAATACTTTATCGAACTATGGAGGAACATGGCCAAGGATATTCATTTTCTTTTTAATTGATAAAATCACTATTTCAGAATGTAATTCTAGCAAAGGAACTTTCAGGATTGATTCCGAAAAAGGAAGAGAACTGTGTATAGCTGATGGTGGTGCTGTGAAAATCATCAGAGATGGTTATTACTATACAAATGCGTTATGTATTATATTAGGTATATGTATCTTGTTATGGGTCAAAAAGAAAGCTGTATATTTACAAAGCTTGCCAAACAGTGCCTGGAGAATTAAAAAGCAGTGATTTTTTATAGACAATGTTAAAAATCTTATTAATTGGTTGCAAAAAATAAATCCTCTCTATTCTTTTTCAAACATTCTTTTTTTTCTGATTTCTACATAGAATCATACACGTCTAAAAATGCTAAAACTAAATGAATACATAGAGAAGCAAAGGATTTACAATGATATAAGTACTGGTGTAGATAGCTTGGATAAGCTACTACGACAAAGTCTACCATTCAAAAACACAATATATGATTTTCAATCCTCGCCCAATTGTGATGGAATGTTTATAGTTACTGCTTCAATAATAATTTCACATTTAAAGCGCGGTCGAAAAGTCATTATCATTGATACAGGTTGGAACAAATTTTCATCATTCCATTATCTCAAATATCATTCTAAATATGAAGATACTTTCAAAAGCCAAATAACGTATTATCGGATTGATACTTTTGCCAAACTATATTACAAAATCTCACAGATCAAAGATCCAGACGTATTAATTATTTTAAACGGATTTCAACAATCAATTGAGTTTTATAAATTGGAATTGTCTTTAACATATGAAGAGTATAGGAATAAACATAGATTGGAGCAATATCTCACATTAAGAAACAATAAGTTGAATAATTTGAATGAAGCCATACCACAAATATCATCCTCATCTCAGCTATTCAATGTAAGTCCCACAACTAAATTTGAGAGTCATTTGAACTCTTTCATAGCGAAGCTCACACAACTATGCATAAATCTTAATGGCATGGTCATAATGTGTGGATTTTTGGATACTAAATTTAGACAATTTAAGACAATTTCCAGTCAAGAAAATATACCATCATCTCAATTATCGGCTCAAGGTAAAAACCGAGTGGTGTTAAGCCCTAGGATCTTTCATAAATCTATAGACTCAAGACTTATATTTTTTAAAGATTGGTATCATAAAACACCTCATTTTTTAAACAATCAACCGATCGATGATAAAAGATCAATAACTATAAATCAATCGATTTTGAGATTTGTCAACGCGGTCAAAGTAGAAGTACGAGATAAGTTATTTGCGCCAGTTTACTTCGATGTTGATGAGGAATTTTATCATGAAGATGAGGAGGATAAGGAAGAACTTGTATTTGATGATATTATAGATTTGTCGGATTTAAAAATTGCTCAAAATGTTCCTCCGACGTCTTCACCACCTATAGATTCCACAGTTATTAATATTACCGCCACTGATGTAGTACAGGATGAGATACAAGAGGTCGAGGAGGTTATAGATGAATCTGAAGAGGAACAAGTTCAAGAGATAAGGAGCGCTACCAATTAATATACGATTTTTTGAGTATCAAATCTCTCATCTCAGTAAACAACTTCAATATTGTAATAAACTTATCCTTATCATATTTAAAGATGGCGACAGTAATACCACCTCCTTCAAAAAAACAGAAAAGAGAAGCGCAGAAAGTAAGGGAAGTGGATATAGTACCGGAAGATGTGCCAAATGTTTTGATAAAGTTTCAAGCTTCTGATACTGGAGAATCAACTGGAGGATCAATACGAGTACCAGGTGGCATCACAGAAAAGCAATTAGAAGAATTATTAAATAAATTACAAGGAGAGACAGAGGAACCTGTGCCGTATACTTTTTCATTATTAGACCAAGAAAATGGAGATAATAAATTAATAGACATAAAAGATACAATATACCATTCAATATTAAAACCAGGATTGAAATCAACTGAAGATTTTTTAACACTTGTATATACACCAAGGGCTATTTTCAAAGTAAAGCCCGTCACAAGATCAAACGCAGCAATAGCGGGCCACGGATCGACCATTTTATGTTGTTCATTTGCACCAAATGATTCGGGACGAATGTGTTCAGGAGCTGGAGATTCAACTGCAAGAATATGGGATTGTAATACCTCAACGCCAATGCATACATTGCTGGGACATACCAATTGGGTTTTATGTGTTGCATATTCCCCATGTGGAACTATGATAGCAACAGGTTCAATGGATAATACTATACGGTTATGGGATGCCAACACAGGAAAATCAATAGGAAAACCTTTGACAGGTCATTCAAAATGGGTGAGTAGTCTAAGCTGGGAGCCATTACATTTAGTAGAACCGGATGCTACTCCAAGATTAGCTTCAAGTTCAAAAGATGGATCTGTTAAAATTTGGGACACGACATCTAGAACTTGCACATTAACTATGAGTGGTCATACAAACCTGGTGCTGTGTGTGAAATGGTCTGGATCAAATATTGTATATAGTGCTTCACATGATAAAACTATAAAAGCATGGGACATATCAGCAGGTGGAAAATGTATACAGACATTGAAAAGTCATGCCCACTGGGTGAATCATCTTTCATTGTCAACAGATTACGTTTTGAGAAAAGGGGGATTTGATCATACTTCGACCAGAGTATCGAAATATACACCTGAAGAACTTCGAAAGAGGGCAAAAGATCAATATGAGAAAGTTGCAAAACTAAATGGAGTTATTAGTGAAAGGTTGGTCACTGCAAGTGATGATTTTACGATGTACTTTTGGGAGCCTTTAAGATCATCGAAACCCATTTTAAGGATGACAGGTCATCAAAAATTAGTGAATCATGTAGGGTTTTCACCAGATGGAAGATATGTTGTGTCAAGTTCATTTGATAATTCAATCAAAATTTGGGATGGTATTAGAGGAACATTCATTGCGACTTTGAGGGGTCATGTTGCTCCTGTTTATCAAACAGCTTGGTCTGCTGATAATAGATTGTTAGTTAGTTGTTCCAAAGATACCACCTTGAAAGTATGGGATATACGTACTAAAAAATTAAATGTGGATTTACCAGGACATGCTGATGAGGTTTATGCTGTTGATTGGAGCTTGGATGGAAAAAGAGTTGCATCTGGTGGTAAGGATAAGATGATAAGATTATGGTCTCATTAGAAATTGATATAGTTGTATATTTACTTGTAATGCATCGCTTATTGCCATATCAACTTGTTGTACTGCATATAACCTAATATTTTTCCAATAACCACTATAATTTTGAAAATACAAAAATAATAAATTTTTAGTTTGCATTAATTAATCAATCGTTTAATCACCATACATTCAAAAACTTTAACATTCAAATCATTTAATAAATCTGAAAACTTTTTCAAATTCAAATTAAGATCAGATTTCAGTACTTAGTTTTGTCTCATCCAATCACGACATCGTTAAATCAGAAAGAAATCAACATTATTGAACTTACTACTTATCGAACATTTAAAAATCATTAAAATAAGATGAAGCTAGATAACAATACACCGCAGAATATTACCACTTGTAAGGACTCATTCTGTGATGAATTGGATGACTGTTTTTTTATAAATAATCATTGTGATGATGGTACTCATAACTCCAATTTTTTATGTGATTCAAGTTGTTGGACAGTTTGTTGTGATGATGAAAATTGTATACCTACATTAAAAAGTCAGCGTAAAAGTGCAAATCACGAGTGCTGTGAAGAACACATATCAAATAAGATAGAATGTTGCAATGAACCAGATTGTGATACTTTTGAAGTACCAGAAGATTTTAAATTTTGTCATGATGAACATTGCACTTTTAGTCCAAGAGATTTTCATAATGAATTAATGAACCAATGTGATTCATCCACTTTTAGATCTAACCTAAAGAGATCCAACTCAGAAATTCAGACCCACGATAGCGATATCCGCTCAACACTAAAAAGAATGAAGCACAACAATTTTCAGGAACTCGAAAATCACCTTACAAATGATGTTCAAGTATATGGAAAAGGTGAAACAAAGGAGCAAAATAGTTCCCTAAAAACACAAGAACACAATTATCAAACCACTTTGAATGAAAATCAAGCACAAAACTTAACAGAGATAGATCGTATTATGAAGTATAACATTCCAACATCAAATTGCAATTCATCTTCTAAAATTGATCAAGATATTTTGCAGTATTCATGTCAATGGGAACACTGCTTCAAAAAATTAAATGAAGATACGTTCATGAATCATATTGTTGGGGATCATATTAGTCAAGAACAAAACTTTGGAAAATCTTCATCTTTTCAATGTGAATGGAGAGATTGTAATTTCTCGAATATTAATCTTGAAAATTTGCTCGATCATTTAGAAACACATAAATTTAGTAATACGGTTTCATCAAGTTCGCCAAATGTCAATGTTTTAACACCTTTATCATCTACTAGTAACCCTCAAGATGATTCACCATCGGAACCTAAAACTCATCAAGAAGTGGATAGTGAAGTCAGTAATGCGTCTACAGCACAAGATCAATCGAATAAATCTGCTTGTTTCAGTTGCAATTGGCAAGTTGGTACAACTGAGAATGGTCAACCAATTCCTTGCTCGTCTGTCCATCATACAGAAGGAGAATTACAAGATCATATAGTTAACGAACATATAGGTTCCGGTAAATCGACATATTGTTGTGATTGGATTGGATGTGATCGTCACAAAGGTAAGATTTTCAATCAAAGACAAAAACTTTATCGTCATATACATGTGCACACAAATTATAAACCATGTAAGTGTAAAACATGTGGTGCGTCATTTGCTGTTGAGTCCATGTTGGTACAACATTTGAGAATACATTCAGGTGAAAAACCGTTTAGTTGTAAAATTTGTGGTAAAAAATTTGCAACTAGTAGTTCATTATCAATACATAATAGAGTACATACTGGTGAAAAACCATTAAAATGTAAATGGCCCGGTTGTGGTAAAAGTTTCAGTGAAAGTTCAAATTTAACGAAACATATGAAGATTCATACAAAAACGTTTGTGTGTGAAGTATGTGGTGAATCATTTATTAAGAAAACTGATCACACAAAACACATGAAATTTCATAACGAAAAAGAATTCAATAAGGATGGCAGCAACAATAATTTAATCACTTCAACAAATAGAGTTACTATGAGCAATCCGAATAGTGTTGAATACATATCTATTTAATTGAATATTCACTTCAATCTCTTGTTGTAGTATTTCTTAAAACTCTCGTCGTGTCTTGAACAAATTTTGTACTATGATCTTTTAAAAAATTTATCAGAGATTGTTTTGTAAAGTCAAGTTTCAAACAAGATCACTACAATGAAGCCAACAAAGACATTGCTTGCTCTTCGAGTCAAACCTATTATACCAGAACGTCCGAATTATAAACTACAAGAAATAACAAGCATATCACATGTGGATCTACCTAATAATGGTTTCGGTATAAAAAATTATTACATCCCTAAAACTAAATTTAATCATCTACCAATTTACAAAAAAGTTCAAAATACCAAAGTCACAACTGAAATCAAACGTATACAGGGAGATATTCATCAATTAAAACAAGATATACTAAATGAGTTTCCATCATTGAAAATCACGATGAATCAAAGTGCCGGAATAATCAATGTGAAAGGAGATTTGACGAAAGAGCTTACAAAATTCTTCACGAAAGAAATAAGGTGAGATGGAAAAGGAATTTTCTGTAAATAAGAGTTAGTGGATAATGTTTTAATATAAATCTTTACGAATTGTTTATCTATTCAAACCAAACTACCATTTTCAGATGAAGGGGTACTCAAATCTGATCCACCACTGAATGCGACTTGTCTTATAGATATCATCCATGGATCATTAAGTAATTCAACAGCACTTGGTCTTTTTGTAGGATCATGTTCAAGACATCTTGAAACAAATCTTCTTCCATCCTCACTTAATTGCTCTGGTGACGGTAGTTGAGGTTTATGGCCAGCTGCTATATGATACATAATGGCCCATTCATTATCCAAATTGGCCCATGGTCTTCTTCCTGTAGCCATTTCCAACACACAACAACCTAATGACCATATATCAACTACTCCACTTCTATCGGTTGAAGCACCTGTAATTACTTCTGGTGACATATACATTGGTGTACCAGTCATTGAGTTTAAATTTTCTTGATTTCCGGATTCTGGTCTCATTGATTTTGTTGCAACTCTTGTTCTACCACTGTTTGCGATAACTTTTGCAGCACCAAAATCAACAAATTTTATAACTCCATTATGATCAAGTAAAATATTTTCTGGTTTTATATCTCTATGAACAACTCCTGATTGATGTAAATAAGCTAAACCCTCAAGCATTTGTAATGTATAGACCTGCACAACCATTTCATCTTCAATACGACCATGAGTTAATAATCCAGATAATGAACCGCCTTCACAAAATTCCATAAAAATGTAAACTTTATCACGATGAACTTCAACTCCAAAATATTGGACAACATTCGGATGATTCAACATCTCGAGAACAGTCATTTCTTCTTTTATTTGAGGAACTATACTTTTAACCGATTGACTATCATGGAATCTAATTTCTTTGACAGCCATAATCCCACCAGTGTCAAGATTTACTGCACAGAAGACTTGACCAAAAGTACCACCACCAATATATCTTCCCTTTTGCCATCTTATTGAAACACTCGAAAATGAAGATGCTAATAATGTAACAAATTGATATTCCGTATCACTATTATCAATAACTTTTCCAATTGATTGATACTCATTTGACAATTCTTTCCTATAATCTTCAATTTCAGCAATTTGTTGCATAAGCTCATCATGATAAATTTGATACGAATACTCATCATTCTGTGAATTGGCAATGTTTTGTCTTTGTGAAGACCATTTTAGTAATTTATTCTTTTCAGCCTCACTAGATCTTGCTCCCATTATATCAAAATGTGAGATTAACAATGACATACATCTTGCAACTTTAGTTTTCAACTTACTAAATTGTTCATCATTTAATAGCAAAACATTGAATCCACGAGTCATATCCATAGCAAATTCCAAAGCCAACACACACCATCTAAAAGTTTTTCTATCAGTGGGTACACAATCATCACATATAAAACTTACCCAATCAATTGCTAATTGTATCAATTTCATTATCACTGCAGACTTTCTAGATGCATCCAAGTTTCTGGCAGCATTCTTACCGTAATCACGAGCAAACACGAAGTAATTATTAATAACAGCTTGATAATCACCTCCTGCTTTCAATTTTTTGAAATTATCTAATGCGATTTTGACTGATTCCAATACTGATAAACTCATACGAAAAAAGGCTTTGTTGGTTTTAGTTAATTCTTGATGAACTACAGCTAATGAACACCTTTGCTCAATTGGTTTTGCGCCTCCTGACATTATGACATCACCAACTATATCTAAAAATTTATCCCTTATTAGGTGTAAATCAAAATACTGGACTTTCGATATGACTAACAACTGACCATTTTTTAAATCTGTTATCGGAACTGAATCAATGTTTACATTTACTACAACGCCTTCCCATACAATTGGTTTCATTGGACATAATGCTGCAACATATGCGTGTTGTAATGGATCTTCTTCTTCTTCTTCTGTAACTAAAAGATCACTGGAGACTTCTAATAATTTCAATAATTCTGAAAAGTTTTTCTTTTTGGTTTTTGGATCCAATGCAACATATGAACCATTGATGATTTTTAATATCTCTTGTTCATTACCCATTAATTCAGGACTAGCAAAAAAATATGTACCTTGGGTTTCAACAGTATTTGTATACACCAAAAAATGGTTTGTAGTCCTTAATACATCTAACAATTGTTTTGTATTGTTATGATGTTGTTGAGATGGCACCTCAAAAACTAAAGAGTTTGTGAATGATCTAGATATATCACCAGTAAATCTTGCCAATTTACGACGTATTTGTCCAAAATTATCTAATGTGGTACTATACCATCTTATCAAATCTTGAGGAATATCAGTATGTGGAAATTTAATGGAATGATTGAAATACGCAAGAAGACGTAGATTTAGCCTCAGAGTCAACATTGCAATTTCTTCAGCAACAACTGCACATCCTCCATCAATATAATTACCCAATGATTGTAAAAAACTCCATGCTTCTTCCAATTCTTCTGGTTCTTTGAAAGTTCTGAAATTAGTTTGTGATCTTGAACTGTCTAATAATTTTTTGTTAAATAATGCCAAAAAATATCGTATACACCTTAAAACCACACTATCGAAATCATTAATTTCCGTATCAAATAAATCATTCAATAACCATTTGTTCTCCGGATCGGGTTGTTTATATTCCTGTATACCCAGTTTGACTTCTAACGCTATAGTTATATAAGATTGAAAATCATCAAGCATTTGATCAATCATCATTAACGTTGGATTTTGTAATTTCATTGCATAGCCTAAACGAACTATTATAATTTCTTTTATTAATTTCATTGGAATAATACAAATTTGAATTAAATCGTGAAGGTAGTCAGGTAATTTCATAATTTCAAACATATGACCCAACCGTATATGTGTTTCTTTAGACTTTATCATCCATGGAGAAATTGGTTTAAAAATTCTTTTCCTAAAAATAGTATGAACATCTTTTTCTTTCATAAGTCTTTCAGCTAATGATTTATTATCTTCATCAAATATCTTTTTCACAATTTTGCTGTTGGAAGTTGAGGATGAATTAATAGGAAGTTCTACTGGAGATTTTGTTATATCTAATTCGTCATTACCAATCCATAGCCTTAAAGATTGAGTTTCCCTATTTATAGCATCTGTAATAGTAAGCCATGCAGTCAAGGCATCAATTCTATTTTGAAATTCTTCACTACGACAAGCTGGTTTATCGATTCGCATATCTTCCAAATTCCTCCATAAGTTACAAGCTTCATCGTATCTGTTCAAAATCAGTTCAACTTGATCATGTATAGGGTTCCCCACTGTATCATCATAACTAACCTCGAACTGTAATATATCTTCAATTAATTGTTCGACCAAAGTCCTTCTATATGCAACTATTTTCCTCTGATCGTCTTCCGTTCTATTAAATATTTTGGCCCTTATACCAAACCAAATATCTTCTTTAAAAGCAGTATGTAAATAACTTTCTAAAGGATTATCAGGATTGTGATTATTTATTATTTTCGTTTTTTCGGATCTAACTACATCCCCCGTTAAAACTGTAGTTAATAAAGATTGCCAATCCAATCGTTCAATAACTGCCGGATCATCTGAATCATCTGTTGTAACATTTGCAATTTTTTTCAAATTCACGTTGGCATTTTTCATTAAGGAAAGTGCCATACTATAATCAATTTGATATTTATCATCATCTATAGCCGCTAAAAGATTTGCATTATCTCCGTCGTTATAGACCATATCATAATCTTCTTCATCATCATCTTCATCTTCAAAATTCTTTACGTCTTCATCGTCTGCACCAGTAATACCTTTTGTGTAGTAATCATCAACTAATTGGTTCTTTAATTTTCTTAAATATGATTTTTCTTGTGCCGCATATTGTGAATTTAAATGATGTTGCAATTGTTGCTGGTTGTATTGTAAGGTTGATGTCAAAGATCGAGATCGGGTTCGTAGTATAGATCCACTTGCAGATCTACTAATTGAAGGTCGGGATTTTTGTGCTGGATTATTGGGAGTTTGATTAATATGATAGGATAGTTTACTTGGATTTGACGGTGGTTTCGAATTTCCGTTATTATTGCCATTACTCAAAGTTCTTTTCACATGCAGTTGAGAATTTGAAGGTAATGCATTATTAGTTGATTGTGCTCTTAGCAAAGAAGGCTGTCTTGCCGAAGCTGATGATGATTGAGATGTTGTTGAAGCTTGTGAACTTTTTCGTTTAATACTGCTTGTTGTAGTTGCTGATGAATTGCTCCCATGCCTTGAAGATCCGGCTGTGCTTGGTTGTGAGTATGATATCGATGACGATTTGCTTTGCAGTTGTTGTTGATTTTGTAATTGTTGCTGTAAATGTTCCGCCGTTAATTGTACAACCCCTTCAGTTGGTATAGAGTCCTCAAGTTTGTTATTATCAGACATTGTTTGCTAGTTGAAGGTCATGTGAGATCACACTATATTGATCGATTCAGTTAAGGAATGAATTAATTATGTCTGTATAATGCTAGCAATTTTTACCTTTAAATTTATATATTTCGAAATTGATAGTGATAGACAAAATTCAATTCAGATTTGTACTTTAAAATTTTCAATTTAAATTTAAGGTAGTAAATTGAAGCAACATAAAAAAGCTACGCACACTACAAAGACCCGTCCAAAATGATTGAGATTCAAGCAAACGATAGGTTGGGGAAAAAGATAAAAGTAAAATGTTTACCAACAGATACAATTGGAGATTTGAAGAAAATTTTAGCACTACAAATTGGTACACCATATGATAAAATCATACTAAGAAAAGGTCATCAAGTATACAAAGATCACATAGAGTTAGATGATTATGAAATTCATGATGGATTCAATTTTGAGTTATACTATGGTTAAAAGTTGGAAATCATATTATGCATCTATTAAAATTTATTAATACAAGTATTACTAATTAAATTGAATAAGTTAAAAAAGTTTGTAAATAATACATATGAGGGAAAAGTCATTAACACATTAATACCATATGAGGGCTGTTCATAAAAAATACTCCACGGGTTTTCGTTTAGGTCTTTCTTGAAAGTAACCCGCAAAGAAATCATTTTCACTAGATCCATTAATTGAATCATCTGAGAAATTAATTCCATTAACACTTTTACCATTTGATGTATCTTCATCATTCTCCCTCGATGCTTCAAATATATTGAAAAATTGACCTGGTAAAACACCTTGTTCAATTCTTAATTTGGCTCTATAATCCAGTGATGTTATTTCTTTTGTTACAGTAGACTTTAAGTTATTATTGGTGTCATAATTTGTGTATAAAATTTCCAATACACTTGCTTTATTGCCACATCTATAACAATAATTCGGTGCAGACCATACGGTTAAACATTTTCCACTCCAATAACTTGTATAACCTTCATTACATAATTGATGTGCTCTAATCATTTGAACCAAATTATTCTCTTTACAAAATTTATTCATTATATCACTACCAAATAGGTAACCAGCACCTCTTGGACTCAATTTAAAATCAGTTATTTCAACATCTGGATCAGACCATACTAAATCAGCCATGATACCATCATGGGGAATCTCTCTAAATCTATCTATTGCTCTTATTTGATCTAATTGTTGACAGCTTGGTGATAAGCCACCATGACATGCAAAAATGGTACCATCGATTGTAGCACCTAAAGGTAAATAATCAAATAAATCAGTTATATATGTCCATACATCAGCTGATCCATTATATTTATTTAAAACTTCTGTGTAAAATCCATAATTCGTGGTAATAGTTCTTGATTCATGATTGCCTCTTATTAAGTTTATTCTATTTGGATATCGTAGTTTTAATACTAATAATAAAGATATAGTTTCAACTGAATAATAACCTCTATCAACATAATCTCCTAGAAATAAATAATTTGTATTTGGAGGTGATCCTCCTATTTGAAATATTTCAAGCAAGTCATGAAATTGACCATGAATATCTCCTACTACTGATATTGGTGATTGTAAAGATATTATATTGGGAACAGCTAAAAGTTCAGTTTTTAACATATGACATAGTTGTTGAATGGTCTCTGGTGGTAATATTTTAGGTGGTTTATGATCTAATAGCTGCTCTAGACAATAGTCTAGATCTGATATAGGAATATTGAAAGGTATTGTCATAAGTCATTCAATCTTAGTGGTTCGTCGTATAATGGTAATAGTAATAATGATTATGCTATGGACCAAATTTTGTTTCTAGTTGAATTGAAAAACTGTCAAACAATATAATTATTAAGTGATCAGTCCTCTTTCCAAAAAGTAAATCAACCGTTGTTTGAGTTATGATTTGAATTAATGAATATATAAAGTTTGATGGTTATGTTTATCGAAATATTTCTTTTTTTTTTCAGTAGACTAAATAATATTGATTAATATGAGACATCAAAAAAAAAAAAAAAAAAAATTATAGATAACGAAATTTAAATTACTTAAGGGGCAGTAAAATCTATGTGCAATAAAATCCAATCATTATCAATCTATACAATGTTCTAAGATACTTAACCCTTCATCTATCACTTCATCGGGTATGTTCAAAGCAGGTACCAATCTGATTGTATTCATACCAGCAGTTATTATCAATAAACCATTTTCTCTACATTTTGTTACAATTTTATTAATATCAACTCCTTCTTTAAATTGTAAACCAAGTAACAACCCTTTTCCTTTAACTTTTATAATCTTATCTGAGTGTGAGTCAGCAATTTCATTCAATTTAGTAATAAATTTTTTTGATTTTTCGTTAACTTTTGTTAAAAATTGTTCATTTGCAATTTCATCAACTACGAATGATCCAATTCTTGCACCCAATGGATTACCACCATATGTAGTTCCATGATCCCCTACTGATAAAACTTGTTCAACTTTATCGGTAATCATAGTAGCACCAATTGGGAATCCATTACCTAGTGCTTTAGCCATTGTAACAATATCTGGATGAGCTTCTTTTGATAAATGTGAATGAGCCCATAGTTTTCCTGATCTACCTAATCCACATTGTATTTCATCATAGATTAGCAAAGCATTATTTTCATCACATAATTTTCTCAACTCAACCAAGAAAGATTCGTCGATTGTGTTTACACCACCTTCACCTTGTATTGGCTCTATAATCACAGCACAAGTTTTATCTTTCGATATCAATTGTTTAACACTCTCTATATCATTTGGTATAGCGACATTAACACCCGGAATTAATGGAGCAAAAGGTTGTTGATATTTTGGATTTGGAGTTAATGATAATGCACCCATGGATCTACCATGAAATGAATTTTCAAAAGTAATAAATTCTGTTTTTTCATCACCTCCATGAGTCTTTCCGTATTTTCTTGCAAATTTCATAGCGGCTTCATTAGCTTCTGTACCAGAATTACATAAAAACACTCTTGAAGCATCATGCAAGCCATCAAATTCTTTTGTTTTGGTTACTAACTTATTCGCAAGTTCTCCAGCCGGTAAGTTATAATATAAATTAGAACAATGTAACAATTTTGTGGATTGATCTTGTAAAATTTTTGTAATTGACTCATTAGAATGACCTAAACATGTAACTGCTATACCTGCTGTGAAATCAACATATTTACGATTCTCCAAGTCATAAATGTAAGATCCTTTTCCGTGCGTCAATACTAGCTTTGGACGTGCATATGTTGTGACTGTGTAGGGTTCTGATACTGTTTTAACAAATTGTCCTGTATGTGAATCATCAGAGGCATCTGGGGTAGTTTCAAATTTCTTAGATGTGGTTGCCTTTGTAGCTGTTGTAGTTGAATAATTTGTAAGCGGTACTACACTTATGTATCCTTGAGGTCTCACATATCTCAATGTGTTTTTGAAAGATATTGATCTCAACATTTTGTTGATGTAGTTATTTAAAGAAGATGTGCTTAATTAAAAAATTTTGAAAAATTTCAGATATTTTTCATCGCGGTAAAAAAATTGACTCAAAATGAATTACTAAATTTGGAATATCTACAATCTAAGTTATATAAAAAAGTTCAAACACACCCGTAAATTTTCTAGATGATTTAAAATCGATCAATGTCGATTGTAATTTCTATATTGCTTTCTCTAGTGTTATCCAATTTTTTAACCTCATTTTCAATTATTCTATTAATTTCAAATCTCATCCTTACTTCTTCATCAGAATCGGCACCTTTCATTTTAACATTTACTCCTATAACATATAATTTATAACTAAACTTAGTAATGAATAATTTTTCAATTGCAAAATCTTGTTTGAAAAAATCCAATGACAAAATTTGTTGATTGATTTTTGAAATTAAAACATCATATTGATAATCCGAATATGGGAATGAACAAAGTAATATACCACCTAGTGATTTGACTAAATACCAACCATTGTACAAAATTAATGAAGCTACTAGACTTGTAGCGCATTTATTGACATCATAAGCTAAATCTTTTATAAAACTTTGGGGAATTAATGGTACTATCATTAAAAATATAACATATGTGATCGTAATGAGGTGAGTTGGATAATTTTTCCATACTTTTATGATTTTCATTAAATCGAGATTCTTTTTCTTTTCAGCAGGTTTGAATGGATTGGTGATCTTTGTATTGTTTGTATTAACTTGTAACATCTCGTTTATTCTGTCATAGGCAAGTATAAAATTTGAAGATATCAAAGATACCGTTAAAGTTATGAATAATATTGCTTGATAAACAACCCAATTTGTATTATCATGATTCAGTTCATCGTGTATATGATGACTTAAATGTTCATGATTTTCATGATCTTCATGAGATACCCAAGTTAAAACAAATTCTTCAACAAAATGACTAAATAGATCAAAACTTAGCATCACTAATGATGCACTTAATGCAAAACTTACCAAAACTTCTATACGTTCCAACCCAAACGGATAAGCAATCGATGCATTATTCCATACTTCAAAATTCGACATGATATCAACGAGTACAATAAATAATGAACCTAATGAATCATAAAATACTAAATGAGCTACCGTAGATAATGAACTAATTTTGAACTTGAATCCTACCACAAATACAATTATAGATAATACAACATGTGAGCTCGCCCATACAAGTCTCCATTTCTGATTCTTAGTGATTGATCCAAATGCTTCTTTATATGTGGGTATAGGATACAGATCAGGTATTGCTTTTAATTGTTTATCCGCTATTGAAGGAGGTGGTGGTTCTTGAAACAAATTCATTGAAATTGAAGAATGTTTATACTTATGACCTTTTCTATGAGCTGGTTTGACTTGTAATGATTGATTTGAACCATTATTATGCATGAACATTTCTTGAGATTGAAAATTAAAAGGATTTGTAATTTTTTTAGGTGATGAAGATCTTCGTATAGGTGATTTCGATCTATAATGCTTATTCAATCTTACCGGTGAAGTAGACCTAGATGGTGATGGTGATCTGTTATTATTTGTATAGTTTAGTATTGAATCCATTGTAACTGAGTTTCTTGACCTTGCTGTATTGCTAAATGCAAATGCTTTATTTTCACTCCCATCTTCCGATATTGAGTTGATTGAGTCCATTAAGAACGCAGATTTGGGTCTAGCTCTAGTTCCGTGTTGATTGTAATTATGTGAGGCAGATGATGGTGGTGCTAATACAGGTGAGTTTGACAACGATGAATTTGAATATCTTCTTGGTGCAGGTGGACTCATCGGAGTATTGGAAAATTGGAATGTGTTTGAGTTATATGAATTATAGGTACTATTATAGTTCTGGGAAGCATTAGCTGTGACAGTGGTCTCCCCCAAGGATTCTGTTGAGAAATTTGCACTTGATAAGAAACTTAAGTCTTTTCTTTCGTTATGATGTGATGATTCCTCATTGGTATCAAAAGTTCCAGCTTCTCCATCTTCTATGATAACAGGTATAGGGTGATCATTGTGTGTTATGTTTTCATCTTCAATAGTTTGTCCAGAGGGTGGACTATCCATTGGAAATGTATCCGGTTTGGCTGCTTTAGTGGTTAATATATAAACGCGTTTGGAATCAAAATTGACACCAATTTCATAAACATTACACAAAATTTTGTGGTTACAACTTTCATTTGCAATATCCAAGTGTTAGGTACTTAAATGTGATCAAAGAAAATTTGAGACAAATCTACTGAGTTTTCGACTGAAGTACGAACAATGATGGTCTCAAACAGTCACTAGTTTTTGCACAGGTCTATATTTGCATGTATAAGCCATTTTCTCGACGATCACTTTGCTTGACCAAAAGCCAATGATTGAGATAACAGTAGACTTTAATAATGTTCGAATTCGATCATACTCCACCGTATCTTTACAATTGACTTCATCATTCTTACGTTGTGGTATTTTCCAAATATTCATTAATTCATAGATTGTTTCAATGACAGTAACATAGATTCTTTCAATGACACTAAAAGATGAAAAGAGTTGAAATATTGACAAGAGTTAAAAGTATTGACATTAATTGACTAAAATCGACAAAATTAATATGATTAGCTCACTGTGATTAGTTCACTGCAAGGTTCTATAGTATTACATTTGGAGTATCCAATGACAGATTTTAAAAGAAGAAAGCAGTTCGAGTCAATTTGAAGATGTTTTACAACAACTAGATGTCACAAATTTAATTGATAATTTGTATAATTTGAAATGAAGGTTACAAAAGCGCAATGTAGTGTCTCTAATTCCGAACAATTAAAAATAAAAAAAAATCTCTTTTTGAAGGCTTAGGCGAGTGATTCTTTTGTGTAACAATTAAACATTGAAAGGGGTTCAATCAAAGCGGTCGATTTATCAAAAATATCCGTCCATTAAGGTTTACATACAAGGAGTTATTTTTGACAAATAATTCAAAAGAATGAATTAGCTGCTTTATAATTGGAGCAGTCATAACTTAAGATACAGTTAAGCCAAGCAATAGATAGAAAAAGCAAAATCTAATCCATATTTGACAATAATTTTCCCAAATTTAGCGGACTGTCCCTAAATATCCGATTCAAATTTCAATTGAGAATGTTTTTCGTTTTTTTTTAAAATTTTATATCCATACTGAAAAAGTCCTTAATCATTGCTGTACGGATCTGTTAGTTATTTATTTTAAATTGTATAAAATTCGTAAAATAATGAATTTATTTCTTGCTTTCTTGAATATTGCAAAATGGAAATATTGTTTATCAATTTAGATATTTTCAAAACATAAACACCTAAACAATAACTTCTGCAATACTGACATATACTGTTTATTTCTTACGAATGCAATGCATTGATTGACTCGAGAATATATCGTTCATTTGGAATAGCTCTACAATATTGGGTATGAACTTTTACCTTCCAATCTTTTAAATCTAAGATAATTAGTTTTATAAAAAAATTTCCTTCTTCAAGTTTCTATTGTGAATAAGAAGATTTTCATTCATTAGTTGCATTTGAATTTGTTAGTGATTTATTACTAACTAAATTCTTTCGGAAGATACACAAAATAAGTATCAGATGAACTGTAAATCTTATTTTTGTTATCTCCATTTTGTACTAAAAAATCTGCGTAATAGCAGAGCAATCTAATTCAGTTGATGAATCTAAAGATAGATCTACCTAGAGAAATCAATATTAAATGTTGCACAAGGTTATCAAAACTACATTCAACTAAATTATGATCACAAATACTACTAATATTTTAGTAGTCGGTTTGTTTGTTATATATTTTTAGTTATAAACGTTTGCTATTTAATAATATCACCAGACATATTATTATTTTTTTAGCTAATAAATGTATGATTTATTTTTTCAATTCTTGCAGGAAAATTTCACAAGTTTTGCAGTTAAAATTTCAATTGTTTAGATAATATTTCCCACCTCCACTAACTAACATTGAAAAATTATTTCATATTCTATTTTTAGATTGAAATTTATCCAAATAGGGTTGTTTTTTCAATAAGAAATACAGTAAAACGTATTGAGAATTGTGAAATTTGGAAGATTTAAGGCACAAGTTAAATTCCCTCCTATTTTATGTTTATACGACCAATGAATAGAATAATAAACAACAAGGAATAAAGTACTACATGTACTGGTTTTTTTTTCTCTCTTAAATTTTGTTGACAGGCTCTTAAATAAATAATACGAGCAAATTATCTTAATCGAAAATGCCAGGAGTAAAATGATACGAGATATCCCATATTGACGGCGGTTTTTTTGGAATCAATTCTAGTCTCAATCAAATGTTCATAAAGTAGGATCAAAAGATATATTTCTCCATGAGAACATTATATTTGAAGAGTAATCTATCTCAAAATCATTTACACAATATTAGCTATTTTTTTATACTTGTGTCAGTGCAAATATTATTAATAAAAATATAGTGAAATTTTTTCTATTTTTACATACATTAGTTGCATTTCCCATCTTACTCGATTCAGATGTTTTACAAACACGAATTATGTATTTTCAAATGATCTTAATTAGTTCAGTGGAAAAAAAAATACTGGATAACAGGAGATTCCATAATTAAACAGTCTCAATTGAATTCGTTTCTATGAAGTCTATCTAGATGGATTTAACGATTGATAAAACCTAAACCCCTTCTTTCAAATTATTTTTTAGCTTTTTGATTCGATTTTAATATTATTATTAAATTTAAGTTTTTAGTCAAAATAAACTTTCAAAAATTAATCGATACACAAAATATAATAAAAAAATTAATCTTCAATAACACATTATAATTGCCATTCAGAATGTTTACAACTATATCCATTAACTTTTCGTATTTGACCATAATATTTTCCATTTCAAATGAGTCAACAAAATTAATGAACGGCCATTTATAGGCTGATGACTTTTTCAATGCCAAGCTAGAGCGGAATAAAAAACTAACACAAAAAATAAAGATCTCTTGTGTTTTAGATTTTGTGCTCGAAACTGAATTTTAATTTTTCTTGGTACAAATATTTTCATAATACAAAATATCTTTATTTGTGTCCAAATTGATGAGAACGCAATTATTAATTGGAGTCAATTTGAACTACTTTAATCAAAAGGCAAATGAAACACAACACCAAAACACTTTTGACGCGGGTTATAGAAATTTCATTGCTAGACTAATGGTTGTTTTTGAATTGACTTGTATAAGTTCAAAATTCTAAACGGACTTGACAATTTTTTTCATTAATCCGAGAATCTTATAACTATTTAGGCCCTGGTTTAATTTTATTCTCTTATACTTAGTCGGCTTACAATAATTTAAATGAACCGACTGAGAGTAAACTTACGTAAAATAATAAAGATAAAAATAGTATGTAAATTTGTGTTATCTACTGCAATATTTGTTAGTTAATTTTCATGCAATATTTCTATTTCTTTTTTAATTCACAATAATTATCACAGATTTTTATTATACATCCTAGTCTACTCTGTTATTTTGCCGTATCTACATTTTGTTATTATCTTTTTATTCCTTTCTTATTGTACTTCTATTGTTTACAAATTGATCACTCTCATATTTTTTTAATTATTTTATTATTATTGTTATTAAAATACTTCCCAATTAAAATTTTTTTAATATTTTTACTTGCCAAAAATTTTTCCTAAAACATATGATTATCAATATAAATAGAAAACCATTTCTAACTTTTCGAGATATATTCTTCCTGCTTTTTTTTTCTTTTCTTCTTTTCCTCAAGTTTATTAACTCATCCATTCGCTTTCAAATTTTATAAATCAATTAATTTAAAAATGCAATTTTCAAAAGTCGCCGTTGTTTCAGCCATTTCAGGTTCAGCTTTAGCTTCATGGTCAAATTCTACAATCACTGATATTCAAACTAAAACTTTAACAATCACATCATGTAGTGAAGATAAATGTTCCCTTAAAACCATTGAAACGGGAATTTTGACAGTGACTGAATTAGATACCACTTATACAACTTATTGCCCATTACCATCAACCTCAGAAGCTCCAGAATCAACCAAAAAAGATATAGAATCAACAACAGTCACAATTACTAGCTGTCATGAAGATAAATGTGTCACTAAACCAGTAGTAACAGGATTAACAACTGTGACCGAAGGGACCACCGTATATACAACATATTGCCCATTAACTAGCACCGAAGAAGCTCCAGCTTCAACTCCAGCACCAGCTCCAGAAACTGAATCATCAGTTCCAGCTCCAGGTCCAGCTCCAACTGTTTCAAAAACTACTGTTGCTGAACAATCATCAGCAGCTCCATCATCAGCTGCTCCAACTGTTGTTGAAGGTTCTGCTGCTAAAGCTGTTCCAGCCTTAGCTGGTTTATTAGCTTTAGGTGCTTTCATTTAAACTCATTTAAATTAATATCTAAAATTTTAAAGTTTTAATTTTGTTGCATCATTCATTCATTATATTTAATTCGGTTTTTCTGTAAATCAAAGTGAGAAGAAATGGAGTTTATGTTTTCAATCTTCATAAAGTCATTTTTGGTTTGTTCATAAAATTAGAGGGATTTCAATGATTAGAATATCGAAGTAAATAAAAATCATTATTTTTTTGTTTATGGAATAATTTTATTCTTCTCATTCAATTAATTGGTTCTTTTGCTATTTTGCTTTGTCAGTTTATTTATTTTCTTTGTATACAGATTCAAATTAATAATTAATTTTCGCTATTAGATTTTTCGATTCATGTTGTTTTCTTTGGTTGTTCTTTAACTCAATATAATTTACCTTTAACACCTCTCAAAAATTTTGGTTCTGAAACAATTTTTTTTTTTTTCTTTGGCTCAAAAATTACACAAAAAAATTTAAAAGAGAACACAAAATCAAGAATTGGTTTACTCTGAAACAAATAATATTACATTAAATTTTACACATAAATATCATCATTTAAATCATAAACTTTATCATCTGAACCATGATAGTGCTCCCTAGATATATTGCCATCAATTTTATCATCACTTTTTTCAAATAGTCGTTTCAAATTTGAATCCAATTTGTCAATATTAAATTCATTTATACCATAAACTTTTATACTTTTTAAATCTACATTAGTAGAAAATTTAAAATATAAATCCCTACCAAATATTTGATAATTTAAAAACCTTAATGGTAATTTGATATGATTAATCTTGTTAGCTAATTTTGTACCTTTAATAAATTTAAACTTTGACGAGTAAACATTTGATGAATTGATGATTGGAAATTTTAATTCTTCAAATTCAGCTTTGGATTTTGGTTTAAAGCCAATTTCACAATCTACACTTTTGTCTGGTTCAATTAATTCTACAACTATGTCCGTTGGAATAATTGATTTACTTAATCTAATACCAATTTCATCACCACCTTTCCATATATAATCATCATCGATTATTACATGATTTGCATTTGTTTCAAAATTTTCATTAGTTTTGAATAAATCAAGCCAACCTAAAAACAATTTCTTAATTAAGTGTTCATTTTTTTGTGTAGTTGATGTTAAGAAACCTAAAATTCTTGCACCGGTATTAAAATCTGCGTAATTTATATAATTGGAATTTTGTAAGACGGATTCGATTATTGTGTTTAATATTATTGGATTATTCGGTTGCACTGTTTGATTTAATTTGTTGAAATCTAGAAATTTTAATTTATTTTCTAAATTTGTTTCAATCTCAGTTTTAGCTGATTCTATCGAGTTGAAAACTAGTTCATTCAATTCCAAAGCTGGTGTAGATATTGGTTTACTATTTGATGATTGATAAGTCTCCAAGAATTGATACAAAAATTGATGAAATTCAGGAGAAACTTGTACTTGACCATGCTTTAAAGTGATTGGATATATTTCATTTGATTTTTCATCAAGTTTTAGACTATTAATTTGTGATTCTAGTTTGTTGAATTTAAATTCTATTTCATAATTTTGGTTATTTAGCAATTCTTCCAAATTTTTGATTTTATTGGTTAATTTTCCTTCCTCGAAAGAGCCAAACATAAAATTTTGTGGTCCATCTTTTATTAAAAAGATTAATAATGTCAGCATGAAAGATATTATTACAATGGTGATAAATTTTATGAAATTTGAGATAGTGGAAAATGATTTACTTTTCGTCGTAGGTAAGATAGTTTTTCGATTCGATTTTTCATAAGGTATTGATCCTCCAATGTTTGCCTGGTTTTCTTTAATTTTTTCATCATATAAATTCGTACCTTTTTCATAGTCATATTTCTCTCGTTCCAAATCATCCAAATATTTATAATTCTCCTCTTCCTCCTCATCCTCAGTATACTCATCATCATAATACGTTTCATCTCCATCACTAAATTCATAATCTTCATCGTTATCTTCCACATAATTGTCAATATCATTGTAATCAAAATCTGAATTCAAAAACTTCACATAAGATTTATTCACATCTACTTCCTCTAATTCGCTTTGTGTACTGCCATCTTGATTCATGGTCATTGATATCGCATCATCAATTCCAGCTTGAGAAACGCGATCTTGGTATGGAGTTCGTAGATGATTTTGCGAGATAGTATTGGTGTTTTCAAACGTTTTAAAATGATCTGGAGATCGTAACGGTTTTGACTTACCAACCACTCGTTTCAAATTTATGGTATTGTCTTCCTCAGAATCAATGTTGTATCTAGGAATCATTGTGAAGCCATTTGACTTTTTCGTCGTAGACATCGATCTATCGATGCACTTGTTTCTTTCAAAGATCGATAAATACAAAAAAAAAATATTATTAATGGAACGCGTTAAAATTTGAATATTCAATTGTTCAAGTGTAAATAGATTTAAGTATCTACAAGCAGATTATTTACAATCATTGATCAATTTTCCTAATAATACAAAATTTGAACTTGTCTAACCAAGTTAAGCGTGAACCTTGCAAAGTTTGAAATTGTCTGACATGCTGGCAGGACTTAAGTATTTGAAACTTACTTTCAATGTTAGCATTTGTTACATTGATTTTTAACTTAAACATCAATATTATTATAAGCATTAGACTGAAGTAGGATTTTATTCATTGTGTTATGAAACAACGATAATACTCATCTTTTATTTTAAACTATTAATTTCTGCTTTGAAAATTTCAACTTTAATAACATATCGTTTGACTGAAAATTTGGAGAGTTATGTAAGATTTGGGATTCAAGATTATAGATCGAGTAGAATACTTAGGTCAAGATTGACATAGCAATAAGTCCAATTGCATCGAAGGGATTTTAATCTAGACGTAAAATCTTACGAAATCAATAGAGAAATCCCGACATGACCCCATTCAAAGCATAAATGACATCGAGGGAATTAAATTGAGAGATTTTCCCACAACGTGTAATGGTGCAACCTAATTCTTTTAAGAATTTCGCATGATAAATGGTACAAACCAAGTTTTTTGAAGTTTTCCATAGTGTAAGTGAATCAGATTAAAAAGTATTGAAAACACAAATTAATACGTCAATTCTTTCTATAAATGAAATCTACTACTAACGATATTAGATTCCCAAATAATCCTCCAATGTAACCTCCAATAAGTAAAGTTATAGGCCATTGCTGCCATGGTCTGTCCCAATCTAATGGTATTGGAATTACCCCCAACCAACATCCAGCCAATGCCATTAAAACCTGTGAAAGCACAGGATGGCTAAATATAGTGTAATAAACATGATCTTCTTCGAACAATTTTTTGAATTGGTTTAAGTTTAAGGAATATAAAATTAGTAAAGGATTGAATATCAATTGTGATAAATGTAATGATAAGGTGAAAGTTTTGAATGAATATTTGTACACTGGGGCCCCCATTAATATTATGACGAAGAACAATGGCACAGATAACAATATGCTTATTAAAATACTAGACATGACAAGTAACGGATTGTTATCATTTTTAGATTTCTTAACGATATTTGTAGCTAGTATATAGTTGTAAATTGCATGTATTGGTAAAATTGTGAAGAACGATTTAACCATGATTCCTTCTACATCACTCGTAATTCCATAATAAAATAAAGCCCATATGATTAGTAAATTCTGAATTGGTATTATAATAACAGGATTTTTGATCTTTGGAACAATTATTGCACTTTCTGAGTTTTGATGTTTAGTTTGATTTGCAAAAGAACCATTGAAATCTTGTTTGAATGAAACCGATTTCTTGATTGGTTTCGGTCTAATGACTTCTTTATCTAATTGTATCGCGCCTTTTTTCATATGTTTAGTAATTTCGATATTAGATTTGATTCAATGTTTACTGCTTGTTTATGAGAAAATTAATTTAAATTTACGAGTTTGAAAATAATACAACTATGCATATTATTGCAAACATATTTATTATCACCAGAATATCACTCCCTGTGTTTGAATGGATGTATATCAAGAATTCTTGGATCCGTCGAGGATATCAAGTTGCATTGGGTGTAATTTCATATCTCCAAATCATAAGAATTTAATTGTTGCAAAAGGTTCAATACTCCAGATATTTGAAACAATATTACTAAAACAATCAACTTCCAACAAACCTCAATATAGGTTGAAACTTATAGAACAGTTCAAATTACAAGGAACAATAACTGATATTAAAGCAATCAGAACTTCAGAGTCACCGAGTTTGGATTATCTTATTATATCTACCAAATTTGCAAAATTTTCAATTATTAAATGGGATCATCAAATACTGTCAATATCAACTGTATCACTACATTATTATGAAGATTGTATACAAAATTCAACATATGAAGAATTGGGTGTATCAGAATTAATATTGGAGCCTACATATAATCTGGTTTCTTGTCTTCGATATAAGAATTTATTATGTTTTTTACCATTTGATGGAGTGGATAACGAAAGTTATGATGATGATGATGATGATAAGGATGAGGATGATATAGATGAGGACGAGGGAGAGGAAAGTAATGGGCAATCAAAACTGGGACCGCTACTGTCACAACAATTTTATGATGCTAGTTTTATTCTTGATGCTCTGAATTTAGATTCGTCGATTGATACAGTTGTAGACATGCAATTTTTACACAATTATCGAGATCCAACCATAGCTATACTATCTCAAAAAGCACACACATGGGCAGGGAACTTAATCAAATTGAAAGATAACATTCAGTTAATATTAATGACATTAGATATACAGTTGAAATCAACGTTGCCTGTTTTCAAAATTGATAATTTACCATATGATATTGATAAAATAATTCCTTTACCTCTGCCATTAAATGGATGTTTGTTGATAGGATGCAATGAGGTGATACATGTTGATAATGGTGGTTTAGTCAAACGTATTGCTGTGAATCTGTTTACTTCATTGATCACATCATCTGTGAAAAGTTTTCAAGATCAGTCTGATTTAAACTTAAAATTAGAGGACTGTACTGTCGTTCCAATACCAGAAGATCACAGAGTGTTACTTGTGACAAATCATGGGGAATTTTATTTTATAAATTTCGAATTAGATGGTAGGTCCATAAAAAAAATATTTTTCGAGATTGTTGATAAAAAAATGTACAATGAAATTTACTTGACATATCCCGGAGAAGCTGCAGTATTGGATAAAAATTTAATATTTTTTGCAAATATGAACGGGGACAATCCTTTAGTACAAATAAAATATAGAAACTCACTGAAAATGATTGAAAAAGAAGAAGAAGTCGAAGATGAGATGGTAGATGCTAAAAAGGAGTCCGATGAGGATGATGATGATGATGATATATATAAAGAGGAAGAAGCCGAAGAGGAACAAAAAGTCTTTAGTAAGTCCCACATTGAATTCATTTTACAAGATAAATTAGTAAATAACGGTCCGATTTCATCATTCACATTGGGATTATGCTCTCGAGATAAATTCAAATGTAATTTACCAAACCCGAGCTACAATGAAGTGCTGATAGTTAGTAATGCAGGATCGCATAAACAAGGTAAATTAAATATTATAACTCCGACAATTCAACCAGATATTTCATCTTCATTATCTTTTTCACAAGTCAATCGTATGTGGAATTTAAATCAAACGTATTTGATAACATCTGATGATCTTAATGCAAAATCAGAAATTTTTCAAATTGAAAAACAATATACTAGGATGAAATCAAAAGATTTTATAAATAACGAGTTGACAATCAACGTACATGAATTAAACAATGGAAAATTTATATTACAGATCACTCCAAAACAAATTTTATTATTTGATTCAAAATTCAAGGTGAGATTAAATTTGAATGAAGAAATTAAAGATGATGAGATTTTGAGCAGTACATTACGTGATGAATTATTGATGATATTTTTAGCAAGTGGAGATGTAAAGATTTTTTCAATCAATACTTATAAAGAATCATATTCTAAAGTTGAAATTCCAAAGTTATTGGAAGATACAATTATTACTACCGGTTATATAACAAAATCCCATTTATTAAATGCAGTACTGAAGAATGCAGAGCTACTAACTAACCCCAAAAAAAGAAGACATAGCTCAATCACAACAACCAATTCCGATCCGATTAATATAGAACCACCTAAATCTCAAAAACACAATATATTTGTTTTGGTTACTGGTGATAATAGGATTGTTGCTTTCAATAGACATCACAACGAAAAATGCTATCAACTTAATGATATTTCCAAATTTAGCGATATTTTGGAATTAAGTTTTTTTGACATCAATCAAGCTCCACCTGATCCTTTCATCAAACAAGTGATTTTAAATGATCTTGGGGATAAAGATCACGAGGAGGAATATCTAACAGTACTTACAATTGGTGGTGAGATTTATTTGTATAAGCTATTTTTTGATGGGGAAAATTATGCATTCAAAAAAGAAAAAGATTTGAAAATTACTGGGGCTCCAGAAAATGCTTTCAACGTTGGAACCATGATAGAAAGAAGGTTAGTTTATTTTCCCAATTTGAATGGATTCACAAGCATATTTGTGACAGGTGTTATACCATTTCTCATAATAAAAAGTTTACATTCAATTCCAAGAATTTATCAATTTTCTAAAATTCCAGCAGTTTCAATTTCAGCTTTTTCTGATTCAAAAATCCAAAATGGACTAATTTTCTTAGATAATAATCAAAATGCAAGAATTTGTCAACTATCTTTAGATTATAATTATGAATTTAATTTACCAATTAAACAAATCCATATTGGAGAACTGATAAAATCAGTTACTTATCATGAACAAGCAGATGTATTTGTCATTTCAACGTTTAAGGAAATTCCCTATGATTGTGTTGATGAAGAGAATCAAACTATAGTTGGTGTTCTTAGGGACAAACCTCCGGCTACATCTTTCAAAGGGTATATTAAGCTCATATCACCATATAATTGGACTGTTATCGACGTTATTGAATTACAAGATAATGAAGTTGGTATGACAGTACAATCAATGGTATTAGATGTAGGATCTTCACTCAAAAAATTTAAAAACAAAAAAGAATTTATTGTGATTGGTACAGGTAAATTAAGAATGGAAGATTTAGCTGCAAATGGGTCTTTCAAGATATACGAAATCATTGATATTATACCAGAACCTGGTAAACCAGAAACTAATCATAAATTCAAAGAAGTTTTTCAAGAAGATACTAGAGGTACAGTGACAAATATATGTGACTTGAGTGGTCGATTTTTAGTAGCACAAGGTCAAAAAGTTATTGTTCGTGATTTACAAGATGATGGTGTTGTACCAGTAGCGTTTTTAGATACTCCAGTGTACGTGTCGGAAGCTAAAAGCTTTGGAAATCTTTTAATTTTAGGAGATCCTTTAAAGAGTATATGGTTTATTGGGTTTGAAGCGGAGCCATTTAGGATGGTGATGTTGGGTAAAGACACTCAACATTTAAATGTTGAATGCTCTGACTTTATAGTCAAAGATGAAGAGATTTATGTGTTGGTTGCAGATAATCGAAATGTTTTACACTTGATTCAATATGATCCAGATGATCCTTCATCAATTAATGGTACAATTTTATTGAATAAAGCATCGTTTCATATATCTTCAACTCCAACATGTATGAGGTCGATTCCAAAGGGAGATGTTGGAAACTATCAAGTTTTAGGTTCGACATTGGATGGATCATTCTTTAATGTATTTCCAGTTAACGAAGCTACCTACAGACGAATGTATATTTTGCAACAACAATTACTGGAGAAAGAATATCATTACTGTGGGTTAAATCCTAGAATGAATAGATTGGGCTCTTCTCTTATCAATGAAAATGAGATGAATAGTCGACCCATGCTTGATTATACTTTAATTAAGAAATTCACAAAATTAAATCTTAACAGGCAAGAAAATTTAGCTACTAAAATCAACATTAAAGGTTCAACTCAAGAAATTTGGAAAGATATTATAGAATTGGAGTATTCTTTAGAAGATTTATAGGTTATTGATCTCGAATAAAATTGTTCTACATTAATGTCAAAAGTTCTTAAACTCTATATTGAAATTATTACATATTAATGTTACAAGTAAAATTAAATAATTAGAAAATGTTCATGACCGAAAAGTAAAATGTCTTTAACCAAACATCATAATGCCTATCATATCAAAAATATTAATGAAAGCAAGGTTATAAAGAACTTGGTGGATTTCATTGATTCCGAAACACCGACACCCTCATAAGTGGTTACACTATAAGTATTAATGGCATCTGAACTTGATTGAGCAGCAATAGTAGTTTCTTGTGAACTTTGTTGTATTATAGTTGGAGTTTGTACGACAATATTGTCAGTTATAACATTGACAGTGACAGGAGATTTTGATTCAGTAGCAGAAGCAATGGTTTTGGTTGTTTCTTGAGGTTTTGATTCAATTGTGATTGTTGGAATTTCACTCAATGGACAATATGTGGTGTAAACTGTATCTATATTACTTATGATTTTAACCCCCGTAGTCTCTTTTGATACTTCTGAGCATTTGTTGTTACTACAAGATGTTTTAGTGATAATTTCAGTAGAGTATTGTGTATGAGTTGATTCTGGTTTAACACTTAGTTTGGTTGTTTCTGGAATAGGAGCAATTGATGATGAAGCTTCGTTGGTTAATGGACAATAGGTAGTATAAACTGTCGTATCTGATGTATAAACTTGGTAACCTGTTGTTTTTTCAACAACTGAACATGATCCATGTGAACAAGCAGTGATTGTGACTAAAGTCGTCTTTATTTCGGAAGAAGTTATATCTGACTCGGAACCAGCAGCTACTGAAGATGAATGCGATTGCACAACCGATGTGGTAATTACAGCGGAAGATTGAACAACAGATGAAGTTTGACTAGCAATGGTTGAAGTGGATTCAATTGAGGTGGATTCAGTTGAGGTTGGTTCCTCTGATGTTGATTCAGTTGAAGTTCCAATAATGTCCTGAGCTGTTTGTTGGATGTAACTTGGGTTCACTGCTGATGAATATGATGATGGAGCTGATAAGTCGTCTGTTTCCACAGGAATAGCTGTAGTGACCACTGTCAAAATACCATCAACGGTAGTTGTATAAGTTGTTAATTTTTGTAAATCTGTAGTGACGTAACAATATCCATCTGAATCACATGTTGTGTAAGTAATTTGATCGGTTTCATATTCAGTCTCGTATTCGTATGATGTTATTTGAACTCTTGAACTTGAACTTGCAAATGAAGTAGGCTCTGCATCGGCTTGAATAGATCCAGATGAGACATTACCATAAAAAACAGATGACAGTTGGGGTAAGACGGGAATATTTGACGCTGATGATGAACATGATGAGTAAGTTGATATTGATGTAGACCTTATAGTTAAAACATCCGATGCTGCAAGAGCTACAGACATAAAAGAACTTAATTTAAATATACTCCTCATTATGTGGTAAAATATTGATTAATGTGTGAATTTGAAATTGGAACTGAGTTTTCAAAAAGACACTAATGCTTGTATATTTATAACTCTATTGTTGAAAATAGATGAGTTAAATTCTCCACAAGAAACCAGCTCAAAACAAAAATCGTGCTTGCATTAAACTTAATCAAGCTAATTTGACGTAAGATTATCGATACTTTTAAGTTAAATTGCTTTTGTGAATTTTGTATATTTTATGATTTCGAAGTATGAAACATGGCTGGAAGTTAATTCTGGCTGCAAAAAGAAAATCACAGTACTGGCTGAAACAACCAAAAATAGAAGTATGTGCGGCGTCGGAGATTAATTTTTTTTTTTTTTTTTTTTTTTTTAATTTTTTTTTAAACTTTCACAACGTATTTATTAAAATTTGAAGAAATGAAGAAATACGAAACTTAATCATACAGATGCAAATCAAACCGATCATACAATTACGAGAAACTATACATTCCTGCATAATCGTTATACAACTATAGGAAAATAATTACAAAATACGGCATGTTGATTACGCTAATAATATTTGCACTTGTATTCAATCTCACGATTTCATATTTACCTACCAAAGACTATATCATAGAATTCAATGATTCATCAATAACCCAAACTCTAGAAAAGCTGGAATTTTCCTTGGTTTATTTCTACTCAGATACATGTAAATTTTGTCAACATTTTGAACCAGTTTTTGAGAATTTATGCGTCTTGTATAATGGGATTGATAGTGAAAAATCTAAATTTCAGATACTTGCCGTAAATGCCTTACAAAATAAAAGATTGAGTCAATTGTTTCAAATACAACATTATCCTTCGATAAAGCTCCTAGAGTATTCAAGTAAAAAGATAATACCCTTTGAGTATGATCGAGATTTACAAATCCTAATAAACTTTATCGAGCATCACGTATCAGTTCAGCCGAAATATGATAATTTTGTATCTAAAATACATGATTTCGAGGACTTGAAAACGTTGGGAAAGAGCAAGTCTAACAAAATTATTATTTTTGCTATGTCATTCTTGGACGAATGGCAAGACATTCACTTTCCTGCTCATTTTCTACAGAACTTGGCAATAAAGTATCCTGAGGTAGAATTCACTGTTGTATTGGGTGACAAAATTAATGATTCTTCGGTCTTACAAATTTTTGGAGTAAGCAACTTTCCCAGTGCAATTTATTTAAGAAATGGGAGCTTCAAAAGTCTAAATACGAAATCTCAAGACACTTTAAAGTATGGAGAACTTGATGAAGCACAATTGATCAAATTTATTGAAAATATTGAAAATAATGATTCCAATTGGAATAATCAGCGAAATGTTGAAGACATGACTGATATTGATCACACAATACTGATTCAACGAGTCGATGATTATGATGATGATGACATATTAGATCATATAGAGCTATAGATTTATTTTCAGATCTTATTGAATGAGTGAGTGATTGTAGTTTGTAAATTCCGACCAGTTTCCTGTATATTAGCCTACTCATTTTTTTTGCAAAATTGACGTGTTGAAATTCTTATTGAGAAATCAGAACGAATTCTTTTGTTGTTATTGAACAGGTAGCCTAACAATTTTCTTTTTCAAGTATCTCAATTCAGTCTAATATTACATATTTTTACTCGATTTTATACATAACATCATATATCATACAGTAAGACGATGAATATTTTTAGATTTTTTGGTGATCTTTCACATTTAGCTAGTATATTTATACTATTGTACGCAATTGAAACAAATCGATCAATCAATGGTATATCATTAAAAACTCAAGCATTGTACGTTGTAGTATTCATTACAAGATATTTGAACTTATTCACAAAATTTTATTCATTATACAATACATTGTTAAAAATTATATTTATCGCAAGTTCCATATACACAGTTTATGTCATGATATATAAATATCAAAAAACAATTACAAATCATGTGGATACATTTCCTGTAAAATATTTAATTGGAGGAGCAGTAATTGCAAGTTTAATATTCACTCATAAATATACGCCAAGTGAAATTGTATGGAGTTTTAGTTTATGGCTTGAGGCTGTTGCCATTTTACCACAATTATATATTTTGCAAAGAACAGGAGAAGCCGAAAATATTACTACTCATTATATATTTGCTTTAGGATTGTACAGAGCTTTGTATATTCCCAATTGGATTTATAGATATTTTGTTGAAGGTCATTTTGATTTTGTATCTGTATTATCAGGACTTTTACAAACTGCTATTTATTCAGATTTTTTTTATATTTATTATAATAAGGTTTTAAAAGGTAAAAAATTTGAATTGCCAGTATAGAATGAAATATCGTATATAGCGAATGAAAAGAATCGGGAGAATTTTATATTGTAAATTAAAGTATATTAATCTCTTTTTAAAGGGAAATATTCGGTTCTAACACCTTCTTTTGTTACAATCATAATTTCTAGTCCATCCCCAACATAAATATGTCTTTCACCAGCTGACGTAAAAGCATCCCTCACCAATTGTATTACTTCCTCTAATGACAAATCTTTTAAAGGTCTTCTTTCTTTACCATCTGTACCCGGTACAAATTGATTTTTGAACATAACTTGATTATCCAAGAATGGCATAATTAAACTTGCTGCTGCACCACCTGCTCTACATTTTTCTCTTTCATAACTTCCAACAGGATCATAAGAATATACTGCTCCTTTACCTTCATTATCTAATCCTGCAATTAAAGTACTTACGTAATATGGAAAAAATCGTTTACCATACAATAGATGTTGAATATATCTTGCAGCACTGCTAATTTCTAGTTTTCTATTTTCATTATCGAATTTATACCATACAAATGATTGTTTAAATTTATCAATTAAGGCAACACCATCAGCTGCAAATCCATTTGCAGTCATTAATATATTATCTCCAACATTATGAATTTTAGGTTCATATCTTGATTGTATAGAATATCCTTCAACTTGTCTTGTATCTCCTGCTAATACCGCAAAATCTTCTCCAGCAATTCCCAAAACTGTTCCCCCATTATCTGAGTATGGATTAAATCTATGTTCAATGGGTACTTGATTTATTTCTGCCGAATATTCAGATGCAACCGTCGTTTGTCCAGACATGTTAAGTATAACTCTCTGCTGGATTTGTCTTTGATTTAACGGTAAAGTTGATTCTAATCAATTAATAAATGGTAAAAAGTTACTTCTATTATGCAAAACTTGATTTCTGTTGTATTATCGTAGCTCGCCACTTTAAAAAAAGCGTAAGGCTTGCTACCAAATTTTATGCGTAAAAATATATAAAAGTTCTGCGCTCAATTTAAGATCAATAATTTTTGACAATAATATTAATAATAGTTTAGAGTTAAAAATCTATTTAGATATGCAATAACAAAGCTCTATCATTAGAATCTCTAAAAAAAAATCAAATCAAATAGCTTGAAATTTGAATAAATTACAAATCGACAATCGTTTCCTCCTCAATAATTGACTTCCTATTAGATTGTTTTAGGTGGTTTCTTAATATCGATAGCCAAACACCCATAGTTGCACAACTTTTTACATTTAAATTCCCTCTACTGACTATATTATCATGACTATTAAATACATCAAGATAAACTGGTAATTTCACCCAATTAATTTGGTTCAATGATTCTAGAATGAATTTTCTTTCATCATCCAATTCCAATTTAAATTTTGAATCAAATAGTTCAAAATTTTCGTAATTTTTTAATCTATTTATGTGCTGATCAATGATTTCGTCATTCAATTTAAAATCAATATCAATTAATGTATCTTTTGTTGTTGTTCTATTTGATTTTACATCATTCCTTTGTTTATCTACTGAAGTATCTCCAACTTTAAAATTACCTTTTTCATAATCTTGTTTTCCTCTAACATTTACCTGTCCTTCAACCACATCACTTCTTTTCTCTCCGTCATCATCGTAATCTTCATCGTAATCTTCATCAGCTGAAGAGTTTTTTCGGGTTCTACCCATAAACCTTTCTTCTGCATAAAGCATTTGATCCATAGCGTTCTCAGTAATATGAGAAGTATCCCCTTTAAAACTTTCATGTTTCGATAAATGTTTTCTTTTGGCTCTTTGTTTTTCACTTTCTTTCGCATCCTCTGGATCAATATGCTGATTTGGAAGATCATTATAAACATATGATTTTACCTTTGACCAATGATCTGCAACATTAGGAATACTGTGAACTTTTACTTTAATATAACTGTATATGGATACAATTGAACTTGTCGTGAAAACAAATGGTATCCAGACTGGTAATAAAAAACACGCTAGGCATATGATTAAAATGATTTTCGCAAATTTATTTCGTATCACAAACGGTGTCTCTTCTTGATGATTTCCATTAAATTTTTTTGAATCCTCAAGTCCTACTAAATCAGTTCTTGTTAAATCAACTATCTTAGGTCTTACTAATTTGTTTTTGATCCTAGATTGTGGTAAATTTTTCAAATATTTTATTTTAATTTTATCTAATTGATCAAATGGTGAATATGGGGTTATATAGGATGTAAAAAATGCTACTGTTCTATCATTTTTTATGTTGGCCAACAAAACATGTTTTTGAAACTTAATTAAACCTTGAAAATATTTGCCTTTTGGATCAGCTAAATGAACCAAGATTTTATCATAATCAGAAATAAATAACTGACCTCCAGTTTTACCAAATAAATAAGGCCCAACATTATTAGCAACATGATCAAAAATATTATCTTTGAAAAAACGAACACCTAAGTGTGGTGTTGCAAAAGTTGAAAAAAATACAGGCTGTACAAAATCAAAGAAATTCAATTCATTCAATAATCCAATGACATATCTCGATAATAAACCTCCTAAAGAATATCCAATAAAACTTATTTTAGTCACTTTCAATTGATTTGTTTCTTTTAATGACTCAATCTCATAAAATATTTCTGTGATTATCTTTCTGGCATTTAAATCTAAACCATCATAAGTTTTCCAAAATCTGAAGCTTACAGGTTTTAATGTAGTGATTACATCATTGGTAATGATATTTTTTTCATCGGTAGATGTTGATAGGGAATCCGTTATGAACCTTTCGATATGATTCATATGATTTGGTGAGCCAAACAATCCATGGACTAACACAAACAAATGCGCCGGCTTCTCTTCTTTGGTAAAAGTTGAAGATGTTGTTGAAGACATGTTGGTTATCATATTAATGGTACAAACTAATGCTGAAAACTCTCTCTGTATCAAATGTTCTGATGACTAATGAAACAATTGATAAATTCTTTTAGGGTGGAGCACTTCAAATGTCTCTGCTTTAAGTTATTTGTAGTCTTGTAGTCAAACTCAATGAATGTTTTTGATATGTATAATTATCAATTTTAAATCGCTTATGATTTTTTTTTTCCGAGTTTTGCAACCAAAACCGATAAGAGATTACTTGATAAATAATAATTTAAAATCAATCAAGATAAGAGAGATCTTGATAGGATACATCAACATGAAAATTCAAAACAGCCAAGCAATTTAGAGTTGAGAAACAAATCTATACACATCAATATTCTCCAATTACCGCTTATTTAAATCTTACTTGTTGAACGAGCAAATATAGGTTACTATTACTGTTTTTCTTTAGGAACAAATTTCAAACTACAAAGTATTCAAATTAACTTTGGAAACAGCAAGTCTTTCAAATCACATTTGAATAAACCTGTTTAAACTCCGTTTATGTGATCAATGTAGTTGTTACATCGTCTGGTATCAATTATTTGTCACTCCCATATCATTCAATCTCAATCCTAGTAACACGTGACCCGGATTTATGTGAGCTGAAAAAATCAGCTACAACAACCTGTTAATTCAAATAGATCATATATTTCATATCAACTTATCTCAACTAATCGTTATGGCGTTTTGGAACACAACGCTGTCGAGCAAACCTGCCTTAGAGCAATCATCATTGAATCAATCATCCCCAGAATCCACCAAATTAAGATTAGAAATTCAAAGTCAAATCAGTCAAGAATTAGCAGCTGCGAATGCTTCAGAATTAGTGAAAACTATCACTGAAAATTGTTTTGAAAAATGTATCATTGGTGTACCTAAAAATTCATTGGATGCTCAAGATGACATATGTATAAATCAATGTAGAGAAAAGTATATGAGGTCATGGAATGTTATTTCTAGAGCATATATTACAAGAATTCAAGAACAGCTGGGTCAAATATAGGAAAATAAAGAGTAATGTAAATAACCAACTAACGAAGTAATGATCTTATAGATTAATATAAAGGTGAAAATTGGAGCCATGTATTCTGTTATAATGTTCCTGCCCATTCTGCAGGCATAACTCTATATACGTATAATTCTCCTTCCACTAAATTCTTTGGAATATATTCTCCATCCTTAACTTTTCTTATACCATTCACATTTTGCTCGACAACTTTTATTTTATCACCTATAACTCCAGTAACAATACTTGTATGATCCGGCATTCCAACTGTTTGACTTGAACCATTTTGAGGATTGAAAAATTTACAAGATTTAAATTGTAAAATATCACCTCTTCTAATCTCATCTAATTGTGTGGAACCGTTTAAAAAGTGATAATTTTTACCTATCTGTAATATAGGATAACCATGAATATAATATGTCGAAACAAATGCATGATTTCCACAACCTTTTGATAATGCATATTTCGCTAAATCCCAACACTCACCATTTCCTACTTGTTGTCCTTTATGATGCTCACTCCAAGCTGCTATATAATTTCCAAATCTTTCATTATTACTAATAAGTTCTTCTTTAGTTGGAGTCTGAAATAAAGGTGATGGTATAAATTTATCTATAGTCACTTTAACACCCGAAACTTTATTGGATTCCCATTCAAATTTATATGAAAGGATAGATAAATCTTTTAATCGTATTGTAATGATTCTGTTGTTTCTTTCAATTGAGCCATGAGTTGAATACAGGTAATTTGTTTGGTAATTAAGGCCCTGTAAAGAGCGTGGGAGTTGCATTTTGTCTCTATTTGCAAACCATTGAGTTTCTAGTTCTAAATCTAAATCTGGTGGTTTGTTTAATTGTTGAGATGGAATCGGTACGGCTTGTCTTTTATAAGTCCTTGGTTTAGGTACCGGGGGTGGAGTCAATTCTTTAGAAGGGCTTGATACCAGTGCAGAGGATGGAACAGACGCTTCATTTGGAGTTTTCAACGTTGCCACCGGTACTTTGGGTTTAATTTCAGGTTTTTGTTTCAATGTTGGCTTGGTTCCAATAGACGGTTTAGCTTTAACTGGCTGTAGGGTATCTTTTTCAGAAATTGAGTCGCTGTTGCTAATATTTTTCATATTCATTTTCTTGAACATAGTTTCCAATTCATTCAGCACATCGGAGCCTCCTTTATTTGCTCTAAAATCCAGGTCTAGCTTTGGTTTTTTCATAGGTTTTGGAGGAGGCTTCTTTTTTTGCGCCAATTCATTTAGATCAACCGATTTTCTTGATGGCATTGGTGGTGGAGTTAACTCTGCAGGCGCATTGGTAGGTCTGATTGGCATTGGTGGTGCAGCAGACTCATTGGTTTCACTTTCAATACCTGATACTTTCGATTTATCTGGTTTGTTGTTTTTGGTAGATTTCGCTATTTGCTCCTGACTTCCCCTATAAATCTGCGGAGGAGGAGGAAGGGAATTCAAATTCAAAGGCTGGGACACTGGCTTGTTGGGCATTTCATTTGAAATCAACAGTGAATTATTGTGAGCACTTGATCTTGAAGGTAATACAGGCGGTTGAGAATGACTTGTGGACGATGAATTTAAGCTTGTTTGGCTTCCCTTTGAGGCAGTCGAATTTGTGTAAACTCTGTTAGATGACCTTGGAGGAGTAGAAGGAGCAGCATTTCCTCTGATCGGTGGAGGAGCAAATGATCTTGGATCAGGTGCAGGCTTTTTGGGTTTTTGTTGTTCAACAGGTGGTTCAATTTGCTGAGTTGATTGATGGATATTTTGAGTATAATTAGGTATTGGTGAAGAAAATTGCGGAGTAGGCTGAGGCACTGTATTTACATGACTTGTTTGTGGTTGAGCTGATGTTGATGAGTCCTGTTGCTGATAGGATTGTATCTGTTGATTGGGTGTATAAGTAATGGGAGGAATTGTGTTTTGATCTCTTAATTGATCGTGTGGCTGATACACCGGAGGAGGATTGTTTTGGTTGAGCTCGTTCGTTGACTGTCCATTATGATTATTAGGTTGCAATTGCAGATATTGTTGCAGCGACTGTTGATATTGTTGGCTGTCCTGGATCGGGGTCGAATTTGTTGATGTCTGGTAATTTGCCTCATAACCGAGCACAGCTTGACTGTGTTGTGACGTATACGACTGAGGCTGAGGTTGAGGTCGAGAATTTGGCGGTTGTACCTCCTGCTGAAATTGTTGTTGTTGATATTGTTGTTGAGGTTGCTGATATTGTTGTTGAGGTTGTTGATATTGCTGCTGATATTGTTGTTGAGGTTGCTGATATTGCTGCTGAGGTTGTTGATATTGTTGTTGATATTGTTGTTGAGGTTGTTGATACTGCTGCTGAGGTTGTTGATATTGTTGTTGAGGCTGCTGAGGTTGTTGATACTGCTGTTGCGGTTGTTGTTGATACTGCTGTTGAGGTTGTGTTTGATACTGATTCGATGTTGATTGCGGTGATGCATATTTTCCGTCCTTAACACTATATGTTCCAACATTTCTTTTTGGAGGTGGAGCAAATGCTTGTAATGATTCTTTAGTTGGTAATGGTTTAGCTACATATGGGGTGTATTCTTGATCATTGGGAGATCCTTCTTTTTCTAACTTGTCTTCCTTCTTTATTGGATCAACATATTCTGTACCATTCCTCTTTGCTTCATGTTTTTTATATGTTCTATATCCTGCTTGACCCAATGATTTTGAACCTTTACCAATTCCTTTTATCGTAGCAATTCCTACCGCTTTGAATTGATCACTCGACATTTTGGCAATTAACTAGGTTTTTTAGTGTTGAGAAGAATTATGGTTTACGTTTATAAGTATGCCATTATCTAGTTTTAAATTTATGACATTTATTAATTGGTCAAATTTTACATTTTTTTGACACCACTAACAAACACTACACTTCATAACTCTAAGAAAATGAGATGGCTCGATGATACTCAGGCCTAGTACGTGTAATAAGATTTTATATTTTCTAATTCAAATATAAGACTAATAAATAACTAAAAACACTTCCTGCCATTAGACCAAAACTTAAAAATACAGTAGTAAAACCACCGGCAGCTTCTTTTTCATCATCATTATCACAAAATTTTCCAACAATCATAAATGATGAAGTACACAACTGACCGTTCGAAATACCAAATAGTAGTTGTAAAAGGATATACCATAAATCCGAATTCACGAGTGGATTCGATACACCAGGTTTAACATTACATGTGAAAAATAACGGTATGAAAACAATCCTTGATACTGAGTATATAATTAAAACTTTTGGATTCGTAATTAACATTTTTAATTTTGGATAACCGCATAATATCCTTCCTAATAAATCTCCAAGATTCCAAATAAGATAAATGAACGGAATAAAAATTTGTTTATTGAAAAATTTGAATTCAGATTCATCATTGACTGATTCAACAATTGAGGCAAAAACTGGAAATATTAATGTAATTGAAAAAGTAAGAAAAATCGTCATAACTATGAGATTCAATTTTGACCACAAATCCGAAAAAGAAACAAAATTCTTCTGGGTAACTGTTTCGTATTCTTCTTCTCCATCCCCTAATTCAGTTGTAGTATGTTCTTCCTCCATCAATTCGTCTAATCTTTCATAGATTGCATGCTCTTTTCGTTCATCTATCAAGTATAACAAGCTGATCGACAACATGCAAACCAAGCTAGCCGTAATGTAATAAACGAATACACCAAAATCTTTTTCAATCTTATGATTTTCTAAAGTCTTTTCCCCAACTGCTAATATCGAGATGATCAAAGCACAAGATGGTAGAACTCCAGCAACGGCTTGACCAACCATTACTGAATTTGCGTAAATGCTTCCCATGACATTTACTATAGCCATTGTTCCATTTTGAGCTAAACAAGTTGCACCTGCTGATAGTAAAACCATTATCATCAAAATTGAAAAGAAGAAACTATCGTTCATATTTATGAATATCTGTGTTATGCATGTGATAGCCATGAATATAAAAATGATAATAGTCAAATTAAAGCCTAATTTAACTCTATTAGAATAGTTGACTCCAGTTTGTTGTTGTGATAAATAGTAATTGAAAATAGCCGAAGTTATGGTTGACACAGACATCATGGTCGAGCTGTATATCTTGACTAATGAGGGCGAATTTATAAATCTTGTCCCATAGTAAGCAGATGCTGATAGGAAGCAATTCCATGGCCATAATAGAGCGATTCCAATTATCAAGAACGTGAAATATCTTAGTTGTGATAATTTTATTTCCAAAAGTTTGGAAATTTTGAGCACTACCCTGTCATTATGATGAGTACCAGCATCTTCGGACATGCTAATCTATTTCTATTCGAAGGACGTGAAGGAAAGTAATAAACTTGAATATGCTTTTGACCTTGTGAATTTAATATCACAAGTTGATATCGCTAAGACGAAGATTCCAATTTTTTTTCGCGTATTATACAACACAAAATGTATTGATAAGAGATTCAAATTAGAATTGATAAGACATAGCGATACAACATTTGAGAAAATTATCGTGCATCATTATTTCATACAAAAGATATGTTTAATTAGTGTTTTAAAAACTTAGGGATATGTTTGCTGCTGTGTAATACTCCATCATTTTCATCAGCCTCATTTCTTTCGTCTTCGACACCTTTATTCAATAGCTTTAAGTCTTCATTCTCGGAATTGATCATTTCTTGTAATGATTCTTCTATTTTAAAATATACTCTTAATAATAAATAGTTTGGCTCTTTTAATGGTAAACGTAATGGACTCCAGTCACCAAGCCAAAATCCATCAACTTTTTTATCTTCATCTGGTTCTTCTGGTACATCTCTTAAATCTAATGCGTTCATTATCTCTTTCCATTGTTTATGAGTGTATTTTTTCTTCGGATTCGATATAGAATCAGCCATTAACGGTCGTAATCTATTCATGTACCTGAGCAAGACTTTATGATCTCTTCTTTTTCTCAATATTCGTTTTTTTAATTTCTCCAAATCCGTTGAAATTAAATCATCATCAGATGAGCCTTGAGAATCTGAAGTATCACAGCTCGCTAGATCATCTTCAATGCTCTTTATAGTAGACTCTGCACGATCAGTTTCTAAACTTCCTCTATGTGCTATTTCTCTCTCTATCTCCATTGACTCGATATCTAAATCTTCTCTTACTTCATCCTGAATCAATTCTGAGCTCATAGTCAAATCATCTTCTTGATTCTCTTTCATTTCTTTTTTTAATCTTTTCTTAGCTTCGTAATTCATATCTGGTTGAAAAATCCATTTACTAAACCATTCACTCAACTCATTAAAGACATCATACAATTTATCACCTACGTTTGATACCAAGATAGTCATAAGAGGAACTGCACCTGTTGCCCACAGAACAAAAAACAGTCTACCCAATCCAGTTTTTGGAGCAAAGTCCCCATACCCAATTGTCAATAAACAAAGAAAACAAAAATATATTGAATGGAAGTACGTCCAGCCTTCAATAAAATGAAATACCAATCCTCCAATCAACCAAAAAGCCATAAACATTAATACTGTTAAAGCTAATGAAAAATTTGTATGCTTTCTTCTAACTTTCGTACGAATCATCCTCATTTGTCGGAATGAATCTTCGGGAGTAATTTTCTTTTGTTCCTCTTTTAATTTGTTCACCAACTTTCGTCTAGCAATTTCAATGTCATTCCAAAAGATAGCGGGTGACGCTGATGATAAAATTACAGATCTTAAAGTGGCAATGATTAAACCCATTATCAAAACACCTCCCAATGAAAAAATTAACACTAAAACTTTAGCCCCCGACGAGTTTGGTGTAATATCACCTAATCCTATTGTTAAAAAGGATACAATACAATAGTACAAGGACGATCCATAAGTTAAGTCATCAATCAAATGCTCCATTGCAACTGCACCAACTATCGTCCAAATTGCGAACAAAATAGTAAATAACATTAAGGTTCTTTGTTTTTGATCAAGATTGAAAGTAGGAGGGTATTTTTTCAATCTATAGCCCATAAAGTTTATCAACAATATTAAAGTACATGCGAAGTAATATCCTGCGGTAAAACAGGCAAACCAAAACCCTTCTGATGGAATTAACCCGGATTCATCATTCATAGTATTATAATTTGTCAATAACAAAGCTGCAACTAACAATATAGAAGCACAAAACCACGAAAATATGGAAACACACTGAGTTATTAAATATTTCACTGATCTTGAGAAATTCATTAATAAAGACATGTTACCAATAATCCCTAATACAAGAGATAAGGCATTCATTGCAATAACAGGACCTGGATCTGGTAACAACTCACCAGTCAATTCATCCATTCTCCAATGTTGTATTAGTGCTATAATTGAAATCATATTGGCTAGTGGACCTAAACATGCGGCTATTAATGGGAAGTATGAAGATATTAAAAACCACATCACAAAGTGTTTCTCACCCGGTCTTACATTTAAATTCAATACTGCTTCAATGGGAACATTTAGAGCATTTTTTAAAGCAATTGGTCCAACTTGTTGTTTATTCTTGTCATCTTTGTTCGTATTCGTGAAAGATTTTGATGACGGATACTTATGATATTTATTTATTAATAAAGGGTTAAGAATATCTTGATAATCGTCTAATTTGTCAAAAGTTGCTTTCTTGTTGATGTTTGGATCTGGTTGTAATTTTGTTCTAGCTTTTTGTAAAGCATTTTTGAAATCTAATGATAAATCGGTAGCTGATCTTTGAAACATCGGACCCGTTTTTCAGTTATCAATATTCACAAATTTATATTCAACATTGTCGACTTTGATACATTGAGTGTTGAAGTTGAGCTTTATTTGAAATTCATAAGTGGCTTTCAATAGTGTTATAAATTTAAGTTAGAATTCATAGTTTTTTAAATCCGAGATTTTCTACGGTCCTGTTTACAAAAGAGTTTTTACGAATCTAAACTTCCAAACCAGGACTATCAAAAATATGAGTAGATTACATGTTGATCAAACTAACAAATGGTGTTTGTTTATCACCCTAGTAGTTGAAGACCAAGACGGGATTGTCGCTATAATTGGCCAAGCTTGTAATCGACTACGATTTGATTCAAAGTCAAAAAGCGTATAGTTCAAGCTGAACTAGTTTAATTTTTCGAGTCAAAAACCTACATCGATATATTCAAAATTCTAATTTACTAATAATTACACCATTAAAAGAATTAAATAAATATATATATGAATACGGAATTAATAACAACTTAGGATCTTTTTTAATTTAAAAGGATTGATGGGATTTAACACTTCGACAGCAATGTTACAATTCATTAGAATATATTCTTTGATATCGTTCAATGACCTTTCGCTATGATTCTCAGTTGACTTTTGTTGTAGTGGCTCATCGCTTTTTATAGACGAACCGGCATTTTTAAATTGGAAACTTGCATAATTTTTTGATAAATCTTCCTCTGAGTCAAATTCATCAGGAATTTCATCTTCTATTTTCAAAATTTTACCATTTGATTCCATTACATATCGCGGCCTAGGTAATTCATTATAATTCTGCTTCTCTCCAATCGAATTACGTTGAGATATGGTTTGATAGTCGAGTAAACTTGAAAGTGAATTTTTATTTGAACTTTCTGGAGTTCTACATATCGATGATTTATAATTTAAGCTAGGAAATTTTATAAATAAAGACAACTTATTATCATTAGTCGTCAATTTATTTAAATTCTGCACAATAGTTTGTGTTGTTATTTGATTGATCAAATCAATATTTTTTTGTAAAATGCTTTTATTTTTCAAGTCTTTGAAATACATGGTGTCTTTGTCTTTTGTAGATATCCCAATGGCATGTATACTATGTTCAACATTTACATCGTTTAACATATTTTTAATTACATTATCGTTATTGTTATCGTCATTTGGTCCTATTATGACCAAATCAACTTTAAACTCTGGGTAGAATTTGGGTAAAATTGTATTGAATGCAATATTGATCATTGATTCTGCATTCGAATTGGTATACCAAGCATTAAAGTTTTCGGGGTCTTGGCCGTATTGATTATTGAGGATTGAGGATTCAAAACTCTGAAAGTTATATCGTTCTGTAATGAATTCTTCAGGTTGTTCGAATATAACTTGTTTTGCACCACGTTTTCCAAGATATTTGGTTGAGTCGTGACGAATTTTTTGTTTTAAGTGACCATACTCACCACCATTTTTGATTGCATTATTACCAATTTTAAAAGTTTCAGGAATTTCTAGATTCAAATTTTGTTGGTACAAGGGTGATATTGATATGGTATTATGACCTTTTTCCATTAAATGTTGTTGTAAACGTCGAGTCTTACTTGAACACCAATTATCTGTTGAAGTAATTATAATATTCAAAGCTACTGTGATAGACAAAACAAATTGAATTAATATTGCAGAAATGATCATTTTTGGTTGAATTTTATATTATGGTATATGAAGTCATTAGTATGTTTATTCACTGTTAGATGTGATAAAGGTTCTGAATAAAATTTATGGAGTGATTAAATATTTAAAGTCCGGTATATTTTCAAGAAAAAAACGTTAAGGGACAATTTATAATTGGGTTTGGAGAAACCATTAGAGTTTTATACATTTGAGTTTCAAAGATTTTCGTATGTAGGTAGATAATAGTTTAATTTTTTCTTTAGTTTAATAATTTGAATGGTTAGTGTTACAAATTAAAATAAGATGGCTGCAAATTGAATTAAACAAAAAAAAAAAAAATACACAAATTAAATATAAAACGTGGGATTACTAAGTAGGTTCAAAAAAAAAAATTTGTTTTAACACTTATTCATTAAAAATTCTAAAATTAAACTTCGAGATCTTCCAAATAAATTAGGTTTTCACGAGCCCAGGCTAGCCGTTCAATAGAACAACAGTATTAATCACGAGACCAATATATTTGAACCCGACGAATAGTGAATGTCTTTTAATACTCACAACCCTTTATTCTCTCATATCTATGGTATGAGTTAATTTTTATCTTACAATATTATATTGAGTATTTAGGAGGAAGAAAGTTTATGGCTTATCTTGTAAAAGTTTGAATAATAGCCCAATTTTATTTTAAATGTGGAATGAAGATGATTTAACGAATTAATGGCTTAAATTTTGGGAGAACTAAATAATATAAATCTATTGATAGAACTTCTATACTCGTACTATTGCTCTTTTCTGAACAAGAGGTATGAACGATGTTCACACATTGATAAAAAATCTCTCTCGTGTCGATGTAGATTAAACTATTACCACAGTTTTGTCAGAAGAAGTTCTCATACATAACGCTTTAAATTTTAAACATAAATTGGGACTATTTTTTACATCCGCCTCAGTATAATTATGTGGTTTTTGCACATCTTATATATTAGACCTATAAATCATAACGCTAGTAGATTCGGTAAGACCTGATAATTCGAGGATATTCCTATAAATAGGAGTTTTTAGAATAATATTGGCAGATGGGCTAATAAATAGTATAAATACAAAATGTGAATATTAGAAAAAGCCTTGCTTCAATCAAATTTTATATTCAACAAAACTTTTACTTTGAATTCGAAATATGTTGTATTTTATCTATATTAAAAGGATTGTCTATAAAGTTCCTACTGTTGAATTGAATATAAACCAAAAATATTAGAGATTAATCAAATCAATAATCAACTTTTGGTCATCTTCATTTAAGTTTCCAAATAAACTTTGAAATTTTGAAATTTGATTTGTTTGCAAATCTTTTAAATAATCTTTAAAAATTTCAAAAGGATTAATTTCATCTAATGGAGTATTTTGTAAAGGATCTTCATGTACTGTTTCTTCACTCTGATCAAAAAATCCTGAATTTTGTAATTTCGAATCTTCTGAATTTAAAAATTCAATATATTGTTGAGTTGCTTCATCATTGTTTGTTTCATCATTATCTTCTAATTGATTTGCTTCGTTTGCTTCAATATCTTCAAAGTCTTCCTCCCAGTCATCATCATCATCCTCGTTTCCTCCAATACGATTAATTATTTCTTCATTGAATTCAAAATTTGGATTTGAATTGATTTCATCTATGTTCTTCCTTTTCTTGTCCAAATTTGGTATTGCTGTAGATAGCTTTTTGAGAAGTGTAATATATTTGATTGATATGGAATCATGAATTTGTTGATCGATGTTCGATATTTTTGATAGACTGACTAATGCTAATAATGATAACTTTAAATCATAAACTCTTTGCAATTCTGGAATTAGATTGAACCAATTTGTTAAAAATTTGATTAAAAAGTTTGAATTACTTAAAATTGATAATGTTGTTTCATAACAATATACAATTGATGCGATTATGACATTGTATGAATTAATAGAATATGAACTATTAAGTTTCCTTTTATCATTTATTGAATCATTCGACAAAACAATTTCTAAAAATTTTGAAATCAACGGTTCAGCTTTGTTTTCTAAACACAAAATCAAAGTTTGTGCAAATTCATAAGCTAAAATTAAATCAATAACTCCTAAATCATCACCTGAATCAGCAGTCATAAGTTGGAATATGATAACCATTGATTGTACTAAAGTATCATCACTTTGCAATGCTGATTTACCATAAATTAAATAATTTTGTAAACATGGCATTAATTCTTCAATATACATTAATGCAGAACCGTTTTCAAAATCATTAAATAATAATTTAAAATTATTCCACATGATTGGACTAATTGATCTCAATAAAAACGTTGAATTTTCAATCAATTCACCAGTTTCTGCAAAAAATTCATCCATTTGATTAATCAATACATATTCGATAGCAGGTGAGAAAATTTCCTCCAATTTATGACAAATTTCTTGAGAATTTTCAAACGATAGTAAGACGGTTATCATAGTGTTCAAGAATCCTAAAGCTGCCATTTGTTTATCAGTTTGATCATCATAATTCGAGTCAAATTCATCAATATCAACTTTTGAGGCTTCATGTATTTCCACTGCTAATTTCAAAAATTGTTGAACTAACTTACTCATTAAATCAACTCCAAATGGCTGTAATTGTTCTGAAAAGTTTTCAACACATTCTTGCATAACTACTGAAATAGCATCATTATCAATTTCGTTTGATAAGTTTAACAATTTAGACATTGTTGGTAAAACAATTGTTGATAAAACTTGTTTAAATTCGTCTTTTACTATAAAAGCTTGAATTGATAATGCACTATTAAATTGCACAGGTAACGAAGAATTTGGATCATCGAAATTTTTCAATATGCCTTGTATTAAATTTGATAAGATCTCCTTGTCTTGGAAATCAATTTCTGAAAATTGTGATAATACTTCAATTGTTCTTGCTTTTAAAAATTCATGCTTAGAATTTAAATTTGGAATTACTAATTTAGATATTATTTGTTCAACAAACTCGTCTTTTGGAATATAGCCTGATATACTTCCTAATATTCTCAACAAACCTTCCTTCTTTTTAGCTACATCTAAAGTTTCTTCTTGTTGTTGTAAAGTTGAAAGTTCTGAATTTATTAAGTTCGATACTGGACCCCAACATGATTTTTTTCGTTTATATAAAGCAGTTATAAAAAATCCTATTGCTGCAGATTCTGGGTTTTCAAATCCACTAGTCAGATCAAAACATAAATGGATATATTCTTGGGGATCCTCTTCATAAATTTCTAAAACCTGATCTGTAGGGCATACGGTTGGATAAACTAAATGAGTTATTAATGTGTCGAAATATGGATGTATAATTGTCCAAGTTGGTTTTTCCACTATGCAATGACTCAAAAAGTCCAACAATTGGTACAACGTTGTGATGGATAACCATCTTTCACCATGACAATATTCTTCAGTTATAGTTAAAAATTGTTGAATGAAATGTGGGATAAAATCAGTAATAAATAATTCATGAAATCCTTTATAGGATACTTTTTTACTTAAAGTATTTGATGAAGCATATCTTGTAAATAATCTTAAAACATTTGCAATTGCCCATTTGTAACATTTAGAAATTTGTAAGAAAGATTTTTCTTGCTCACTTAAAGACGAATTTGTTACGTATGATGGAGGTTTTAAATTTATAACTGATGCGTGGAATTCACCCCATTGAAATACTTGGTCTTTTACTCTTAAAGGTTCAGGTAAATCATAATACGTAACAAATTTATAACATTTCAAAATTAATTTTATGATTTCCGCTTGTATTTCGGTAATATCTCTACCTTGAGTAACATCATTAATTATAGACTTTCCTATATTTAATATATATGGAAATGCTTGATTTATGATCGGATATAATTTTGTTTCTCTAGATGGATTGTCGGACCATTTAAATTTTCTTGTAATTTCGTTAAAACAAAGCATAGCAGTATATAAATTTTGTTCAGAATTTTGCAGTTGTGATAATAATTGACCAATTTGATCTAATAAGGAATCCCATTTATCGAATTCTATTGCTATTAGTAATCTTAATACTGGTATTAATTGTTGCTTTATATTATAATCAACCACTAGAATAGTGGGTAATATTCTATCTTTAATTATATTTTTTTCATCTTGACCGATTTTAGGATGAGTTTGTTCATCTTTTGATTTCCAAAACCTAGTGATTCTATTTTTGAAATATACTGCAATTGCTTTTTTAATATGAGTTGGAGTGGTTAGTTCATTTAATAAATTTAAACAACATTCTAAAAATCCTTGTTGAGATGATAATTCCTTTAAATTTTTTTCACATTGATTTCTTAATTGCAAATCTGCTTGTAATGTTCCTGCAAAACACTCGAGGATTAGATGTGAATCCATAGTTTTCAAAATTTAAATATCATAAATGTATATATGAAACTTAGGTGCAATATAGTTGTAACTACTTGGTAAATAAATTCAATAAAAATAATTCAATGTCTCTCATTTTCTTATTGAAAAAAAAAGTTGTGAAGTTCTTCTAATTCTTCCCTAATTATTTTGAAATCTCATTTTTTGTATCCAAGATATTACTGAGAACACTGAAATATAGTATTATGAGGTATTGAAGATTTATAGAATGTATGATATAAGGAAAACCCAAAACTCTGTCGAATTCAACCTTGAAATGCATTTCCTTCGATATGACGGGCACTACTAAGTTGATAATTTTCAGGGTAAGACATTTTCAATTAATAACTTAGCTCAAATCGACTGTTGCCCTCTAGACTCAATTGCATCGTACCAAACAACTACCAAGGTAAAGAGAATATCAAAACGGAAGACTTTAACCTTTCAAGAACGAAGATTCATATTCAATCAAAGCTATTTCAATAGATCCATCAGTGTCGTGGATTGAACAAGTTTCACAGAAATTGATTTGAGATATTAAAATTTAAGCTTCGATATGATACTCGAATACCTCCAAGAAAGTTTATATGAATAAGAGTCAATTCAAAATAGGTGCAAGAATGTCTGAATAATCCAACATATTGTTGAGGTATGAATAATATATGAAATAAATTACAGTATAAAATTAAGGTTTCGTAAATAAATGTCTAAGCAACAAAGCATTAAAAAACTTCGAAACGTACACACCAAGAGCTAACTAAGTATTTCGAGCCATCAATGAATGATGAGTTTTTGTAAAATACACTTTTTTTATGGGATTGGTACTTACTAATTTCGAAATTTAAGCTCACTGACTTTTACTTCATTACCACCTAAAGAATAATACTTTTCAAACTTTAAAACATGCCATTTACTCTCAAAATCGGCACAGGCCCGTGATCAAGCGACATTGAAGTTAATAGTCACTTATACTCAAGCCTCATCCATTCATTAATAATAAATAATTTTCTTGTTACTTCAAATTCTCAAGGTATCGTTGTAATATTTTATTATAATCGTTATAAAGTCTTGTTATTTTTACTTTTAGGTTTTGAGAAGAACCCTTCCTCGGTAAAACCGCGTATTACCAAGTAAAATGTTTATGCTTTGATATGATTGTAGAGTCAGTAATTTACTCTGAATTGTCAAAAATAAACTTCTTTACGAAAAATAATTTAATTTTAAAAGTAAAACGTTTAACTGTTGACATTCAGTATTAGGCACAAACTAAATAAAGTTTTAAAAACAAACAAGTACGCGTATTTTGTCCCAAAACTTTAACCAATTTAAAGTGCTTTGTCATATTAATGCCAAAATAATCAATTTAAAAACCAAAACTGGGTAAATAATCAAATAAGAATAATTGATCGTATATGGTATATTCAAGACATCATGAACTATTCTACTTAAATTACATGATAATAATTTCTTTTTCTTTTTGTTCTCGTTTTTGAAACAAAAAAAGAAAATATTTGAAAACAAATGTAACACAAAAAAACAGTCACTACTTTAGGAAAAGTATACAAATTTCCATAAAAAATAATTTGAAAAAAAACTCAATTTTACAATTTATTAACCCCAAATTTTGTTTCAAATCATTTCAATATTCTAGATGTTGTACGCTTTTTTAAATTATAAAGGTCATAAACTTTAAAGTTCGATTATTATTTAAAAAAGTATTGCTAAACATGGAAATATGAGAGAGAATTAAAATTTGGTTGCAAATTATAACAATCTCAAATCCAAATTCAATTCTCAATCGTGATCTATATATACTTCTTAAACTTTCTTTGATCTACTTAGGTATTCAATAATTTACTTAACAGACTCATTGAAAAATTATCAACAATCACAATGGTCAAAACCAGTTTCATTGCTGTGGCATTTGCAATTTTGCAACTTACAAGTGCAACTGTTAAAAAAACAACCACTCTGAAAAAATCTACTACAACGGCCAAATCAACTTCATCAAAAAGTGTTAGTACACCAACATCAGTTGTTGTAGAAAAGGAATATCATGATTTTACCAAAGAATATTCATTAATTGTTAATAATTTTGATTGTGAAGGAAACTTTATAACTTATCAACCATTCACCTTGGATGAAATTGAAACTTCCATTAAATCAATTGATGAAAAAGAAAAAGCCACTGAAACTAAAACTGATCCTCATGCCAAAGAAGAAACTGATAAAAAAAATCATAAAAGAAGTGTAGCTAAACCTTCTGATTCACCAGAAACTGCAAATAAATACTATCCAACCGTTGACTTTAGTGTTTCAAAAATTGAAAAAATTGATGAATCAAATTGGAAAGTTGATTTTCATTTGAGTGCTTTGAAAAATCCAACTGATCTCAAAGAGCTTTTGGAAACATCAGAACTTAATGTTGAAGTAAATCCTTGTGGTTCTACAATTATGGGAGATTCAATTAAGTTATTTGGTAAAAATGCAAAATATACCTATAAATCTGGATTCAATATGGATGCTACTATTTTAATTAAACCATCAATTCATGGAGATTATTATTGTTTACCTGATGATTTTGGTTTTGAATATAAAATTACAAATTTAGCGCATTTATGGCCCCAAATATTTTTTAGTGATTTTAAATATACGGTTGGAAAAAATTTTGATAAACTTTTAAATTCAAAAGATAAAAGAACTATTAAAACAGATGATAAATCCAAGGAAAATGAAGTTGATGATCATCCTATAATTAATATATATGATTCTGAAATTGTTGATTGGGCAGAATGGACTGGTTTTTACACAAAAAATTTGGAAATTAATAATTATTGTTGGAAAGTACCTGTTTGTGAAGTAAAAGAAAATATTAAAGAAGTGGAATCTACTGAATCTAAAGTTAAGACTACTGAATCTAAAACAACTGAAGATAAAATTACTGAAGCTAAGACTACCACAGACAAAGTTACTGAATCTAAAACAACTGAATCTAAAGCAACTGAAGATAAAATTACAGAAGCTAAGACAATTAAAGACAAACATACTGAATCTACAACTACTGAAGATATAATTACTGAAGCTCCAACTACTAAAGATAAGGCTACAACTACTGAAGATAAGGCTACAACTACTAAAGATAAAACTACTGAATCTACAACTACTGAAGATAAGACTACTGAATTCACAACTGCTGAAGATGAAACTACTAAGGCTACAACCACTGAATTTACAACTACTGAAGAAGAAACTACTGAATTCACAACTGCTGAAGATGAAACTACTGAGGCTACAACCACTGAATTTACAACTACTGAAGAAGAAACTACTGAATTTACAACTACCGTTGATGAAACTACCGAAGCTACAACTACTGAATTTACAAGTATTGAAGAAGAAACTACTGAATTTACAACTACAGAAGATGAAACTACTGAAGCTACAACCACTGAATTTACAACTACTGAAGAAGAAACTACTGAATTCACAACTATTGAAGAAGAAACTACTGAAGCTACAACTACTGAATTTACAAGTATTGAAGAAGAAACCACTGAATTCACAAGTACTGAAGCTACAACTACTGAATTTACAAGTATTGAAGAAGAAACTACTGAATTTACAACTACAGAAGATGAAACTACTGAAGCTACAACCACTGAATTTACAACAACTGAATTTACAGCCACCGAAGATGAAACTACTGAAGCTACAACAACTGAAAATGAAACTACTGAAGCTACAACTACTGAATTTACAAGTATTGAAGAAGAAACTACTGAAGATGAAACTACTGAGGCTATAACTACTGAATTTACAACTACTGAAGATGAAACTACTGAATTTACAACAACTGAATTTACAGCCACCGAAGATGAAACTACTGAAGCTACAACAACTGAAAATGAAACTACTGAAGCTACAACTACTGAATTTACAAGTATTGAAGAAGAAACTACTGAAGATGAAACTACTGAGGCTATAACTACTGAATTTACAACTACTGAAGATGAAACTACTGAATTTACAACAACTGAATTTACAGCCACCGAAGATGAAACTACTGAAGCTACAACAACTGAAAATGAAACTACTGAAGCTACAACTACTGAATTTACAAGTATTGAAGAAGAAACTACTGAAGATGAAACTACTGAGGCTATAACTACTGAATTTACAACTACTGAAGATGAAACTACTGAATTTACAACAACTGAATTTACAGCCACCGAAGATGAAACTACTGAAGCTACAACAACTGAAAATGAAACTACTGAAGCTACAACTACTGAATTTACAACTACTGAAGAAGAAACAACCGAATTCACAACTATTGAAGATGAAACTACTGAATTAACAACAACTGAGTTTACAAGTGTTGCAGCTATAACTACTGAATTTACAACTACAGAAGATGAAACTACAGAAGCTAAGACAAGTAAAGACGAATCTTTTGAGACAACTACTACTGAAGGTAAGACAACTAAAAGTAAAATTTATGAAGATAAAGCTACTGAAGCTAAGACGACTAAGGACAAAGTTATTGAATCTACAACAACTGAAGATAAAAGTATCGAAACTAAGACAACTAAAGACAAAATTACTGAAGAGAAAACTACTGAAGCTAAAACAACTAAGACAACTAAAGACAAAACTAAAGAGAAAACTACTGAAGATAAATCCAATAAATCTACAACTGCAGAAGCTAAGACAACCAAAGACAAATCTACTGAGACAACAACTACTGAAGATAAAATTACTAAATCTAAAACTACCGAAGCTTTAACTACTGGATCCACAACTACTGAAGATGAGACTACCGAATTTGAAACAACTAAAGACAAAGCTACTGAAGCTACATCAATTGAAGTGAAAAGTTCTAAACACAAGACTTCTGCAGATACAACTACTAAAGACAAAATTACTAAAGGGAAAATTACTGATTCTACAACTGATGAAGCTACAACTACTGATATCACAACGTGGGAAGATGAAACAATTGAAGATAAAACTACTGAAGATAAAACTACTAAAGACAAATCCACGAAAGCTAAGACGATTGAAGTTGCAACCACTGAAGAACCTGCTACAACTGAAGAACCTGCTACAACCGAAGAAGAAATCATAACAGAAGAGCCAATCATTACTGATGAACCAATCACAACTGAAGAACCTGCTACAACCGAAGAAGAAATCATAACAGAAGAGCCAATCATTACTGATGAACCAATCACAACTGAAGAACCATCATTAATTGATACATTTGAGACAGATTCTCAATTTACTGAAGAGTTTGAAGACTTTTTTGCTGAATCTTTTGGAGCTATTGAAACTACTGAAATTAAAACATATTCACAATCAAGCTTGGAAGAAATTTTAGAGACAGATGTTATAGAATATGTTGAGGAGTCGAAATCATTTGTCAAATCTGAAAAAACTACTGAAACCGATGGTATGTTTTTTACTTCAAGCTATTCATCATCAATTGAGGCTACTTTAGAACCAGAAACTTCAATAATTTATTCATATTCCGTGGGAACACCTGTTTACACATTTTACACTTTAGAGGAAAGTTCAACAGAATCAAAATCAACAACAACAAAAACAAAAACTACAGAACCTGAAGAAGAATCATTAGAATCATTAGAAAAAGAATTAGTTGAAGAAGTGTTCAGTGAAGTAGAAAAAATTTTGACTCATACAACGGAAAAAATTGAAGGTAAATCAACCGCAATTGAAATTGGTACTTACTCTACTCAGCAATTTGATGTTGTTGAAACCAGCTGTCCAGATATTGAAGGTGATGAGGATGATGAAGCTGATGAAGATGATGAAGATGAAAATTGTGAATATATCCCAACATCAACTTTTGAAGGTTATGCACCAGTGGTTTCCCAATATGTTACAATTGAAACCATCAGTGATGAAGAATCAACAACAACTATAACTAAGACTATAGGAATTACAATTACCTCATATTCAGAACCATTTACACTCATTCCAGCTACTATTTCGGAAGAATCAAATTTTGTCGATTCTACTTCATACTCAAGCAGTGCTGTTTCAATTCCTTCTGACAGTGAATACACTGGTGCTGCAAATACCATGAGTTATAATGCATTTGCATTCATTGGTTTACCATTAGCTTTTTTGTTTTAGATGTTTAAGTTCTATTTAAGAATGCCATTTATTGTCATAATTAATTTTATAAAAGTTTGACCTAATTAGTTTTTTTTTATATACTTTATAATATTTGATTTAAATTTACATTATGCAATTAGTTTTTGCTTTACTTTTTACATTCTCTTGAAGTTATAAGTTTAGGTATATGAGCTTTTGTTGAAAAATGGAAGTCAGTGCTTTTTTATACTTTTTTACCATTTCGTTTTTTTACGAGGATTTACAGCATAGAACAAATAACTAGCTAATTTTTATTTCTTTATAACTTGTCAAAATTAACGGACAGTAGAAACCGTATGATTGATTTAAGACAAAATCAAAATGATTGTCATTTAGATTTTCGATTTTTTTCATAAGTTTATCAGAGTTTTATTCAGCATCAAGTTTAACTTTACTCTCTTAAATAAAATCTGGTCCTTGCATGAGCGCCTCAAACTTTAATTTCAAAGATTTGTTGTAATTCGTAAATGAAACGGTATTCTTTTTCAACCTATCATTCATTTAATCAAACATAAGTTAGCTAAGAAGAAATAATGTACCAAACTACGCCTTCAAACAAAGCTATCATCAATTCATGTATTAAAATTTCATCTATCCTACTTTTGAATAAACCGGACCGCCTTAAATTAGATTCTTTAAAATTCCATTTTTTTTTAAGCCCAAATACATTTTGCTGTTTATAGTGTATGTATCACCTCCTAACTGATTAAAGACCCCATTTTTCATTTTAAAATTTAAAATGATTTTCTTCTGAACGATAAAACCTCCGAACATACATACATTAATGGTAAGACTGAAAACCTGGTTTGGGGTAATACATTTTGGTTTCAGGTTAAAAACGAGGAAGGAACTAGTGAGAAAAACAGGAGGTTCAGTAGTTATTGGCTCCTTCAATCCGTACTTTCACTCGAGTTGTTATTGACAAGAGAGAAAATATTAACCACTCACTCAAATTTGCAGGTTTTAGTACTAGAATAAGTTTAAAATGAAGATTTTTTTCGTAAAACATAAGAAATTAGAGACATCCGTACTAATTCATCAATTTTTATCTTTATTTAATAAAGATTTACTCGACCAGAATTTTAGTTTGTGATTAGGACTGGGTTCAAATGAGTATTAGTATTCAAAATGACTTGTCAACTTTATATCATAGATTGAATGTTTGTTATTAATCGAGTGGAGTAAAAATTTTACACTTTTATTTCAAAAATTGACGATAAAACCTTATTGAATACATTTTAACTTAGCCTAAAGCTTATGTCTCAAAAGTAATTCAAATGTATGATGGAGAAATAAAATATTTTATTTCTAGATGCTAAACAGGGTATATCTAAATTTTAGTCACCTTTTTAAATTATCGTCTTTTAAGTCTTGTTACATTCAATGAAGCTTTTTACCCTTTCAATCCAAATTTCCACATTGCTATTAAAGATTTATATCTGATAAAGAAAACTGAACTAACGCCGTTTAATCTGATCTCATCTACTATAGAATTTCTTTTTTGATAACCGAGCAAACAAGGATGATTATTCTTGAATGATTTCATGAAGGCATCCAAATTAAGCAATATCACGAGACTCAACCCCCTTTCAATAATAATTGGTTAACTAAAACTTTAAGGAAAGTTTCCTGTTATACTATTAATGGAACTAAGAAAAAGGCTTTCTGATCATGTTAACATCTAAGTTTTTATTTCAAAGCAGACATCCTGCAAAAGATGATCGTCGATCATCCAAACGAACAATTAAGCGAAATATTTCAATCTAAATGACAACACCCAACAACATCATAAATTTCATTCCATATCATATCTGATTAAGGCAAAATTGTAAAAAGAAAAGAAATCAATAATTGTGGAACCCTTTTACTAGGCTTTGTTTAAAAATTTAAGTACTCATCACTGAATGGCTCGATTGTAATAGTAATTGACAAATGGGCAAAAGTTTTTATGTAGATTTGTAATATTTTGGTATTCCAATATATTGGTAATTTTACATTTAATTAGGAAGTATCACATTTACCCGAATTAAGTTTAATTGAGCTGAAGATTGTATCACAAACAGAGAAATCATAACCAATGTTTTTTAGAAGTTGGTCAAACGTATAAATTGATGATTTGAATTAAGTTTAAGTTTCCTTTGTAAATTAAGTTTAAGTTTCCTTTGTAAATTCATAAAACAATAGATCATATTCGGATAGTGGAGACCCTATTATTGCTGATCCTCTATCGATTTAAACAAGAAATCTCACCACATCAAAATCCAAAGGTTTCAATTGACCGAAGATGAATTCATATGGATCTCTAATATAGATTTTGTTTGGGACAGAAGTTGGAGTTTGCCACATATATGCGATACATCAGTATTAGAATTAACAATCTTGTTTTTGTAAATTGAATTGCCACTCAATGCATCGATACAAATGTTATTTGTCCATATAAATTTTAATTATTATTGAATGTTTGATACTTAACTTTAAGCTTGCTTTTGTGACACAATGACATTTGTAGTACTTTTTTACACAAAACAAATTAACAATAGGTTAACTATAATTGAAAATCAATAGAAATTTACGAGAGATTTACAGAAGTTTAATAATCTTGAACCTAAGATTTCAAGATACGATATTGATCATCTAGAATAGGAATAATATTGCTCTTTCTCTCTCAAATTTACATAACTGAATACAATTCTTTACACACACTCATATTTTCAAATTCTATATAACTGGAAATATTCCGAAAAACTAATATAGGTTGCATTACCTAAAAATTTAAAGAATGACTTAGTCACAAAATCCCCTATTCCCTAATTCAAATTTCTTTTGTCTAAAATTTGTATGTTCTTTTTGAATCAATTTAAAATTAATTAACTGGTGAGTTTAACATTTGAATTATAGTTTTAATCAAAATTTAAATCTTTTTGAAACTCCTTTATTATGCAATTTTCCGTAATCATTTTTTGTGCATCCTATTGCCCTAGTAGATGCTACTAATTGCTCATAATCTTTAATTATTTACTAATTCCTCATTACTCATAATCATTTACAATTTAGCTACTCAATATAATTAAAAAGGGGGGATTGTAATTAAGTCTTTTAGGACAATCATAAAAGGAAAGACCCAGTTGAACAAACACAAACTTATCTAGCAAGAAGTTAAGATAAATTGAATCAAACCGTTTAAAATTATTGTTCCTTTTGTATCCCATACTATTTTAGAGAAATTTAAAGTTTATTGATTTAAATTTTAAAACATTCATTCTTTACTCATTTTATGGATATTTTTTACCTTATTTCAACTTGATCCCTCTTTAGTCTTAGTACTTTTTAATACCTAAAATTTTTTCTTAGTTCTATTTAGTAGGCTCTGGATGCTAAAAATGTTAAACTTTCTGTACTTTTAAACTTATTGTATAACTTGCATTCAAAAAAGAATAATTACTTATTATGTACATACAAAATTGAAAAACCCTTTTCTGCATCGTAAATAAAATTATAAGAGATTAACATGTAATAGCTACCAATTTAGCTCATTAAAATTGTTTTAATACAAATTTATATCACAAATCAAGTAGTAAAGAATGGAAGGATAAATGCATACAATGTTAATCATAAGGATGGCATGATTTTCTATTCGGTAATTTAATGAAAGAAAGGGTAGTAGAATTAAATTCTTCTTTAAAAGTTAGATTTACTGAAAAATTGACTTTCAAACATTACTAAAGAATTATCGTAAAACTAAATAATTTCAAAACCCATGTAGATTTGAATATATATGTTTTATAATACATTATATTCATAATTTTTCAACTTTAACATTTTTATCATCACTTTTCATTCACATCAACAACTCAATAATTTCAATTTCTAGCTTTCAATTCTTCATTTTTCAATTTTTCAGTTCAATACTATCAAAAAGTTTATGTTAAAAAATTCAATCTAAAGTTACACAAAATTTCAACTCTACTTTATTACTATTATCCATTAACATTAATAAAATAATATTATTTTTTCTATGCGAGTATCATTAATAATAGTACTTTCATCAATATTACATTTGATTACAACAGTTTTTGCAGCAGATTATTATGATTATACACAATCATTAGGACTCCAAAAGATACCTTTAGTTTGTAATGGTCAATCTCAAGATTATATATTGACTAGAATTGGGAGTCAAGGAAACGGTGGAGGAGGAACCCTTTTTGACCCAGTTCCTTCAACAATATTTAACGTTCAAAGTGTTACAAATGTTGGTAATGGAAATTTTGCAATAACTTTTTATTTTGAAATCAATGGTGATACAAGTTCATTTTTTAATTTATTTGGAGGTACTTCAATTACAACCACTGTGAATAATTTGAATTCTCAATATCAATCATCAGTTTTAATAAATGGTTTTAACGCTTTATTTACTTATTCATCAAAATTTCAATTCACTTCAACTGTTGTCGTTGCTGCATCTCAGCACAATGGATTATGGTGTTTGCCAGATAATTTTAATGTTTATTATCAATCTGCTACATTATTAGGGTTATTTACAAAGACTTTCACATATACCTTAAATCAGAATTTCAATAATCCTTCACAATCAACTTCAAATGCAGTTATACCAAATTATTGTTGGATAAATCCTCAATGTGCTACAACTACAACCCAATTTTGGTCCAATACTTTTACTTCAACAACAACTCAAACAAATGGTATATCTGCAACGAATACTGTAGTGGTCCAAGTACCTTCAAATACTGCTACCGTCATTACAACCAATTGGAATAATGCTTATACTTCAACTACGAGACAAGTTAATACTCCTGGTGGAACAGATACAATTATTGTTAATTATCCTTTCAATCCAACTAAAACTATTACTCAATATTATTCTGGTTCAACATTAACCACTATGACTTCTACGAATGGATTTGGAAGTACAGATTCAGTAATTGTTAACTATCCATCAAATCCAACCACTTCAAAAACTCAATTTTATACTGGATCAACTACATCAACCTCCACAATAACAAATAGTTATGGAGGATTAAATTCAGTTATTGTTAATTATCCATCAAATCCAACTGCATCAAGAACTCAATTCTATTCCGGATCAACTATATCGACCTCTACAATCACTAACACCTATGGAGGTATAAATTCAGTTATCGTTAATTACCCATCGAATCCAACCACATCTAAAACACAGTTCTACTCAGGATCAACTATTTCAACATCCACAATAACAAATAGCTATGGAGGACAAGATTCAGTTATCGTCAATTACCCCTCTAATCCTACTACAACTAAAAATCAGTTTTATTCAGGATCAACTATTTCAATATCAACTGCTACAAATAGTTTTGGAGGACAAGATTCAGTAATTGTTAATTATCCATCAAATCCAACGACTTCGAAAACTCAATTTTATTCCGGATCAACTATTTCAACATCTACAATAACCAACAGCTTTGGAGGTCAAGATTCAGTAATTGTCAATTATCCATCTAATCCGACTACATCAAAGACACAGTTTTACTCAGGATCAACTATATTGACTTCCACAATCACGAACACTTTTGGAGGACTAAATTCAGTAATCGTCAATTATCCGTCAAATCCAACTACTTCAAAAACTCAGTTTTACTCAGGCTCAACTATATTAACATCGACAATAACAAACAGTTTTGGTGGCCAAGATTCAGTTATAGTTAATTACCCATCAAATCCAACTTCAACTAAAACTCAATATTATTCAGGATCTACTATTTTTACATCAACTGCTACAGCTAATTACGGTGGTCAAGATTCAGTTATAGTTAATTATCCTTCAAATCCGACTACAACTAAAACTCAATATTATTCAGGTGCAACTATATCAACATCGACAATTACAAACAGTTTTGGTGGCCAAGATTCAGTTATTGTAAATTATCCATTAAATCCAACTTTAACTAAAACTCAATATTATTCAGGATCCACAATATTTACATTAACTGCTACAGCTACATTTGGAGGTCAAGATTCAGTTATTGTTAATTATCCATCAAATCCAACTACAACTAAAACTCAGTTCTATTCAGGTTCAACTATTTCAACATCAACTGCTACAAATAGTTTTGGTGGCCAGGATTCAGTAATTGTTAATTACCCGTCAAATCCTATTAAAACTAGAACTCAGTTTTATTCAGGAACAACTATTTCAACATCAACTGCTACAGCT